CTACACGAGAGTGGTTTGTATCCAGAATCTGAAGAGGGCGTTCGTACGGGTCCGGACCGTAAACGCTGCAGACGAAGGACGAAACCACGTTGAGCCAAAAGACCAGAAGCGACCGTAACGACCAAGTTCGAGACCAAGCGTGTGCCAAGCATTCGAAACCAATATATCGACTGAGTACGTTGACAAGAGCGTGGGTGGCCAATCCAGCTTTCGCCAAAGTTGACTGAAGTCGACGGAACCAAACGGAGATGATCGAAGGCGTGGGCTCAGGAAACAAAAAGAAAATCAAAAAAAAGAAGAGTGTAGCATACGTGTAGTATAGGAATAATCCTACACCGTATCGGTTGTTGACTGTGCGACTATTCGCGGAAGCGTACGGGTAACCGTACTCGGCGACCGGAACGTGAGACGGCAGTCTCGTTCGCGTCGCGTGAGCCTGCAATCTCATCCGAAGTCAAGGGCGGCGTGGTCTGCTGATCTGGAAGTGAGACTGTCGTCTCGTCCGTAGACGGTGCAGATGACGCGTGCTGTTGACTGGGACGTGAGAATGAGGTCTCAGGTGTATCTAGCGTGGGACCTGAAGATGGTTTGAGGATCCCGCTAGGTTTGATAGGTCTAGCATTGAATCTCAGGGTGTCAGATAGGGCACTGTCATCGACGTGTGCTGGTTTGAGACGATCAATGCTGAGGATCTCGACGCGTCCATATCGATCAACCTTGAAGGTCTTTTCGTGACGAGCGATCACGTGAAAAGGGCCTTCGTAAGGTTGTTGCCAAGGTTTGCGTACCGAATCTACTCGTACAAAAACATGTGAACAGGTAGATAACTCTCGAGGGAGAGCGACCTGTCGATGTTGTATTCGAGTTGACACCGGAGACAGCGTTCGCATAAATGCAGACAGTCGATGGACGTAGTCTGATATACTGAAATTAGGTCTGCTCCGTGGTGTGAAGAATTCTCCGGGCAGACGCAATGTCGTGCCGTATACAAGCTCAGTGGCGGAACATTAGATATCTGCCTTTAAGCTCGTTCTCACCCCTAAAAGAACGAGCGGTAAGGTTTCGTGCCAGTTGCCGTTTTCGTGTGCTCGTAGAACACTTTTAAGTTGGCAGTGAAACCGTTCAACTTAACCATTTGGTGCTGGGTGGCAGACGGATATGCTTATGCGTATGCATTCCGTGCCAAGCAGCCGGGTCAGCGAGGAGAATCGTTAATAGGGTAACATTTCTCGAATAAAGCGTGGAATTCATCATCACGCGAATAAAAAGTGACAAGGGTTCGGTACACATACGTGTGAGTCTATTATATTAATACTATTCTTATCGTTATCCGTCATGTCGCGTATATTATATATTAAAAAATATGAAAATATACGACAGACGTGGATAGATAAATCATAGACTCACCGAATGGGCTTCCTTGGAAGATTTGATCAGAAGTTGAGGCGTGTTCCAAAATACGGGTCACCAATTGTATTCGTTTTGGGATTACCAATTGTAGCGTGGCGTCGAGTTGAGATTAACTATGAACACCGCTACCAAGAAACACTTGCCAAATAGATCAGAAGGCGTAAGAAGCTCGTTCCAAATGACTCCATAAAATCCCCGAGAAGCCGAATATCAGAAGGCAATTAATGGACCAAGTCGAGGTTTATTTGCTGGCGATCTCGTGGCATCGAAAGGATACCGAGATCGTGCCAGGATACAACCTTGGTTACAGAACGTAACCGAATCCGCGCGAAGTTACAATCGAAGTGTGTAAGTATAAGAATGGAAGCACAAAATAGCTGTCATTAGCACAGTCAAACAAAAGCACGTTAAAACAAACACTGGTACAGTTGGTTATAATAATAATTGTTTTTATTAAACCAGTCGTGTTCTCGTGATAAACGTGAGTCACTACAGGAGCCCCCCGCTAGAAAGGGTTTACACTTTCGATAAATAGCGGTTTAAATCGTGGGACTGATCGGCTGACGAGCGATTGTAGGACGGAAGAATTGGCGAACAGGAAAGCGATCGTTGATCGTCGAGTTGCCAACGAAGTTCGTTTTCGGAGAACGGTACCAGGAGCGATGTGCTGTATGTATTGCTTGAGTTGGCATGCTACACGAGAGTGGTTTGTATCCAGAATCTGAAGAGGGCGTTCGTACGGGTCCGGACCGTAAACGCTGCAGACGAAGGACGAAACCACGTTGAGCCAAAAGACCAGAAGCGACCGTAACGACCAAGTTCGAGACCAAGCGTGTGCCAAGCATTCGAAACCAATATATCGACTGAGTACGTTGACAAGAGCGTGGGTGGCCAATCCAGCTTTCGCCAAAGTTGACTGAAGTCGACGGAACCAAACGGAGATGATCGAAGGCGTGGGCTCAGGAAACAAAAAGAAAATCAAAAAAAAGAAGAGTGTAGCATACGTGTAGTATAGGAATAATCCTACACCGTATCGGTTGTTGACTGTGCGACTATTCGCGGAAGCGTACGGGTAACCGTACTCGGCGACCGGAACGTGAGACGGCAGTCTCGTTCGCGTCGCGTGAGCCTGCAATCTCATCCGAAGTCAAGGGCGGCGTGGTCTGCTGATCTGGAAGTGAGACTGTCGTCTCGTCCGTAGACGGTGCAGATGACGCGTGCTGTTGACTGGGACGTGAGAATGAGGTCTCAGGTGTATCTAGCGTGGGACCTGAAGATGGTTTGAGGATCCCGCTAGGTTTGATAGGTCTAGCATTGAATCTCAGGGTGTCAGATAGGGCACTGTCATCGACGTGTGCTGGTTTGAGACGATCAATGCTGAGGATCTCGACGCGTCCATATCGATCAACCTTGAAGGTCTTTTCGTGACGAGCGATCACGTGAAAAGGGCCTTCGTAAGGTTGTTGCCAAGGTTTGCGTACCGAATCTACTCGTACAAAAACATGTGAACAGGTAGATAACTCTCGAGGGAGAGCGACCTGTCGATGTTGTATTCGAGTTGACACCGGAGACAGCGTTCGCATAAATGCAGACAGTCGATGGACGTAGTCTGATATACTGAAATTAGGTCTGCTCCGTGGTGTGAAGAATTCTCCGGGCAGACGCAATGTCGTGCCGTATACAAGCTCAGTGGCGGAACATTAGATATCTGCCTTTAAGCTCGTTCTCACCCCTAAAAGAACGAGCGGTAAGGTTTCGTGCCAGTTGCCGTTTTCGTGTGCTCGTAGAACACTTTTAAGTTGGCAGTGAAACCGTTCAACTTAACCATTTGGTGCTGGGTGGCAGACGGATATGCTTATGCGTATGCATTCCGTGCCAAGCAGCCGGGTCAGCGAGGAGAATCGTTAATAGGGTAACATTTCTCGAATAAAGCGTGGAATTCATCATCACGCGAATAAAAAGTGACAAGGGTTCGGTACACATACGTGTGAGTCTATTATATTAATACTATTCTTATCGTTATCCGTCATGTCGCGTATATTATATATTAAAAAATATGAAAATATACGACAGACGTGGATAGATAAATCATAGACTCACCGAATGGGCTTCCTTGGAAGATTTGATCAGAAGTTGAGGCGTGTTCCAAAATACGGGTCACCAATTGTATTCGTTTTGGGATTACCAATTGTAGCGTGGCGTCGAGTTGAGATTAACTATGAACACCGCTACCAAGAAACACTTGCCAAATAGATCAGAAGGCGTAAGAAGCTCGTTCCAAATGACTCCATAAAATCCCCGAGAAGCCGAATATCAGAAGGCAATTAATGGACCAAGTCGAGGTTTATTTGCTGGCGATCTCGTGGCATCGAAAGGATACCGAGATCGTGCCAGGATACAACCTTGGTTACAGAACGTAACCGAATCCGCGCGAAGTTACAATCGAAGTGTGTAAGTATAAGAATGGAAGCACAAAATAGCTGTCATTAGCACAGTCAAACAAAAGCACGTTAAAACAAACACTGGTACAGTTGGTTATAATAATAATTGTTTTTATTAAACCAGTCGTGTTCTCGTGATAAACGTGAGTCACTACAGGAGCCCCCCGCTAGAAAGGGTTTACACTTTCGATAAATAGCGGTTTAAATCGTGGGACTGATCGGCTGACGAGCGATTGTAGGACGGAAGAATTGGCGAACAGGAAAGCGATCGTTGATCGTCGAGTTGCCAACGAAGTTCGTTTTCGGAGAACGGTACCAGGAGCGATGTGCTGTATGTATTGCTTGAGTTGGCATGCTACACGAGAGTGGTTTGTATCCAGAATCTGAAGAGGGCGTTCGTACGGGTCCGGACCGTAAACGCTGCAGACGAAGGACGAAACCACGTTGAGCCAAAAGACCAGAAGCGACCGTAACGACCAAGTTCGAGACCAAGCGTGTGCCAAGCATTCGAAACCAATATATCGACTGAGTACGTTGACAAGAGCGTGGGTGGCCAATCCAGCTTTCGCCAAAGTTGACTGAAGTCGACGGAACCAAACGGAGATGATCGAAGGCGTGGGCTCAGGAAACAAAAAGAAAATCAAAAAAAAGAAGAGTGTAGCATACGTGTAGTATAGGAATAATCCTACACCGTATCGGTTGTTGACTGTGCGACTATTCGCGGAAGCGTACGGGTAACCGTACTCGGCGACCGGAACGTGAGACGGCAGTCTCGTTCGCGTCGCGTGAGCCTGCAATCTCATCCGAAGTCAAGGGCGGCGTGGTCTGCTGATCTGGAAGTGAGACTGTCGTCTCGTCCGTAGACGGTGCAGATGACGCGTGCTGTTGACTGGGACGTGAGAATGAGGTCTCAGGTGTATCTAGCGTGGGACCTGAAGATGGTTTGAGGATCCCGCTAGGTTTGATAGGTCTAGCATTGAATCTCAGGGTGTCAGATAGGGCACTGTCATCGACGTGTGCTGGTTTGAGACGATCAATGCTGAGGATCTCGACGCGTCCATATCGATCAACCTTGAAGGTCTTTTCGTGACGAGCGATCACGTGAAAAGGGCCTTCGTAAGGTTGTTGCCAAGGTTTGCGTACCGAATCTACTCGTACAAAAACATGTGAACAGGTAGATAACTCTCGAGGGAGAGCGACCTGTCGATGTTGTATTCGAGTTGACACCGGAGACAGCGTTCGCATAAATGCAGACAGTCGATGGACGTAGTCTGATATACTGAAATTAGGTCTGCTCCGTGGTGTGAAGAATTCTCCGGGCAGACGCAATGTCGTGCCGTATACAAGCTCAGTGGCGGAACATTAGATATCTGCCTTTAAGCTCGTTCTCACCCCTAAAAGAACGAGCGGTAAGGTTTCGTGCCAGTTGCCGTTTTCGTGTGCTCGTAGAACACTTTTAAGTTGGCAGTGAAACCGTTCAACTTAACCATTTGGTGCTGGGTGGCAGACGGATATGCTTATGCGTATGCATTCCGTGCCAAGCAGCCGGGTCAGCGAGGAGAATCGTTAATAGGGTAACATTTCTCGAATAAAGCGTGGAATTCATCATCACGCGAATAAAAAGTGACAAGGGTTCGGTACACATACGTGTGAGTCTATTATATTAATACTATTCTTATCGTTATCCGTCATGTCGCGTATATTATATATTAAAAAATATGAAAATATACGACAGACGTGGATAGATAAATCATAGACTCACCGAATGGGCTTCCTTGGAAGATTTGATCAGAAGTTGAGGCGTGTTCCAAAATACGGGTCACCAATTGTATTCGTTTTGGGATTACCAATTGTAGCGTGGCGTCGAGTTGAGATTAACTATGAACACCGCTACCAAGAAACACTTGCCAAATAGATCAGAAGGCGTAAGAAGCTCGTTCCAAATGACTCCATAAAATCCCCGAGAAGCCGAATATCAGAAGGCAATTAATGGACCAAGTCGAGGTTTATTTGCTGGCGATCTCGTGGCATCGAAAGGATACCGAGATCGTGCCAGGATACAACCTTGGTTACAGAACGTAACCGAATCCGCGCGAAGTTACAATCGAAGTGTGTAAGTATAAGAATGGAAGCACAAAATAGCTGTCATTAGCACAGTCAAACAAAAGCACGTTAAAACAAACACTGGTACAGTTGGTTATAATAATAATTGTTTTTATTAAACCAGTCGTGTTCTCGTGATAAACGTGAGTCACTTCAAGTTAATATATTTATCACGATTCCAATTGCTATTTATGGCGTGACTTCTAATGAATTCAAGGACTGTTAAATTTATCCGGTTACATCAAACGCATCAAAAACCCACACTTTTGGTTTACTCTGTTTGTCTTTGTTCATTTGGTTTGGCGAACCAGCACTTACATAGCCTGATCTCTTGCTGTCCTTTTTGTTAGATCTCCAATGCACCTCACTAAATAAGTCCTTTCATCATGGTACTTAGCTGATTCTTCAGAACTGAATAAAGAATGTCTGTACAGCTACCAAATTGAGGTCAAGTAAGCCAGTCTCAGATAGCTTTACTAAAGTCTACCCAGTCGATCTAGTCTAGCACATTTCAGGCTGGGTGCTGCAATCACCCACTTGGGAATCCAGTACTTCCGACCCTTTAAAATTTTATATTTACAAGCTCTTTCGAGGGTAAAAATATGCTTCTGTGAGACTGATTCTCAGGAGAGATAAAATACTGACGCCATCGACTGTTTGGTTACTTCAAAGTCCCATTTTGTAACACCAATTCTCCGGTTTCAGATATGCTGTTGGTGGCAAATATCTGGAGCGCTTCCAATACGCAGTTAGTTTCAAGATGAAGGGATTGCTCATTTAGAGTAGCTATCTAATTTCTGTTAGTACAACCATGTAGACATCAACTCACACTGTTCTTCATATATCATATCGGAGTTATAGCTTTGCTAAATAGACAGGTCTCATTTTTTGTTGATTTCTCGTTCTGATTTTCTGTTTTCGTTCAACGTTAGTTACTCGTCCTTGAGCTTCGGATTAGGAAATAAACTCAACTTTCTGCTACAGCGGTCATGACTTATAATCTTTTTATAGAAATTCAATTTGAATATTTAGATATTGTAGTGGCATTAGACAATACATTGGTGAGCCCAACTAAAGAAACGCAACCTATTATTGTTAATCCTTATTTCCACCCTAACCTCCTCAATCGGTTTTTATTTCTGTAAACCTAGTATTCTTATAGTCCTTTGATTAATGGTCACATATATTATCGTAATGTTATATCTATTAGTTCACATAACTTACTAGCTCAATCGATAATAAAAGTTGATCATCTATATCAACTAATTAGCTTTGATGGTTCGTTAACAAGCTTTAATAGCATTTACCTGCTTCAGCGACATAGACTTGTTTAAACATCAAGCTCTTGCAAATATAACCTGTAAATAGAGTAAATATACATTGACTAGCAATGCAATCAAGGACTAAATAGTTATCTGGATCTAATTCTCAGTGTTCCTTCACTTAACGCCTCATCCTGTTTTAAACTATGCACTATCCTGTAATATCTTTTCTTCCGACCACTGCCTGCCTAATTTCATATTCTCGAGTTCCATTGCCAAACAACAAGGATGACACTTCTCTAAAAACACGGTGAGTTTCAGCAATAAGTTTTCTGCAATCATAAGCTCATTTTAGATGGCTCGTTCAATGGTGACCGCACAATTATCTGGATTCATTCGATTGTTCTGATCCGAGCGAGTGGCAAAAACGTCAACAGCATCAAGGACCCTGGAATTAATTGCCATACTGCATGTTTTATTCTGGATACTTTTGGATCATTACTACTCCTCACGAATGGCGTTATATATGTCGTCCACTGAATAATATAATTTTCAAAAATAACCCAGGCGAGTTCAACTATTTTACTTAATGATTTTTTTAATTAACATGTATATGTTTTCCGGTTCCTTTTGCCATATATTTTTAAGTGTCCCTAGGCTAAATGCAGTAACTTCTTATGGAATGTTTATAACGCATCATATTCCTGCCTGAAGTTTCACAAGCAGTCTAAACTTTAAAATTATTTTCTGGTCATGTTCATTATTTTTAAATCGTCATATACGTCAACAACCTGCATGTTAACCTGGCCCATACATACGTTACACTATATCTCCATTTCTTCTAAATTTAGAAATCATCTGGATCGCCTTTAACATTTCTTAATAAACCCATCATAGTCGTTGTTGCTAATCGTATTTGGGTTTATGACTTGGTTTATCACATTAGCAGCCTAAAATGCGAACATAGTTTAGATAATAAGATTAAAAATTTAGGTACTATCAACTGCACTAGTCAAATAACTAAATCACCAGGTAGCTGTTGGCTAAACAAACGTTTAAAATCAAAACTTCGTAGCCTACTAGAATTAACACTAAACGAATATTTCTAAATTAAAATTTATAATTAAATTAGGCGTCTCGGATTCTTTAACGTTATAAATTTCTGATGATTTTGAATCACCTAAAGCAACTACCTATTTTTCCATTGACTAATCCTTAATCAACACTATAACTAGTTAAATTTAATAGTTTCAGGATATCGTCATAAAGCATTGTCATAACTTGACAATCACGTAATATGACTGATAAAATTAATGAAACCATTAACGAAATCGGTCAACAAATTGACTTATAAATACCATTAAAAGGTGTTGTTTTCTTGGTATCTTCATCCATCACGGATGATTACAGTATGTTTCTCTATCAGCTGCTCATTCAGTAAATATCTCAAATCTTGTCAGTCTAATTGATGGTTTAGCGACACAATCATGCATGCAAATAATCAGTATAAGCAGTCGAGCAAATCTCCTGCAAACTGAAAACATCAATGTCGAATTTACCACAACACTGACTAAGGTTCAAGCCATTATCATAGACATGAGTTGGGAGTGTACTCCCCCTGGTTACAACTTATGTTCTCCCTGATAATCACATGAGCATCACTCACTATTAATCATCTTGTAAAAACTTATTTAGCTAAATACATCTTGCAGCTTCACATCACTTCGTAATATGACACAGGCCTAAGTGATTTTAATAACTTATAACCACTATATCTCAATTAAATCGTATTCCGCCTTATGATAAACTGCATACTTGCAACTAACTTGTATGCCCAATCAGCCGGCAAGTATAAATATAAATAAATAGTCTGCCACAGATCAGAACATTGAGTCTAGAGCATGTCTCTTACGAATACACTCATGTTTAACGATTTGTTTCTAGCTATCTGTCCAAAATTCATATAATTATCACTCACGTATTTAAATTTTGTTTTGATAAACATTCATGTGTATTAGTAGTATTACTAAATTCTATCACGGTCAAGTAAAAATGAGGTTGAGAAAATCTCCCCGTAACTAAATAAACCGTATCAAACTAACAGGAACACTAGTTGGAATTCTTCTCCACGTTAATACTTTTGTTCTTTCAGTTAGCCTACTAATACAGATGCAATTGGAAATCACATATGGACAGGTTACCGGCATAATTGTAAATTGATTTCATAAGTTAAACCAAAACTAATACCAATATTAACATTCTACAATATTGATTATTTTAATATTTCTAAACACAAAATAATTACTACCTATAAGTTAAGTTATTAACACGCATCGTTTTATTATTATTATTGTAATCCCATTTTTTATAGTTCAAATAATCTTCAACCAAGTTTTCATTTTAAGCGTGTTAATCATGAAAGCAGATATTTTAAGATTAATACATGTATTTCCCGATCAGATACTGCCGCTTTCTTTTTGATTTATCTTTCAGCTTACCAATACCCGGAGGATTCTTATTATTCTTGGTAACCTCCGGCGCGCGACGATCCCATCCAATTCGGTATCGAACCAACATCACGTTGATTCTGGTGGGAGAGTAGTGTAGTGGCATTAGACAATAGCCACACAATCCACAAAGCTGTGAACACGAGACTGCTCAGAAAATAGATATTCAATATTTAACGCGGATAAATACCGAACGATGGAGAAGGCGCGAATAATGAATTGAATGGGCTGGAGTTGATCGAGTGGCATGGCTCGGCCATGCAGGCGTGGTCTCTGCTGAATGTTACCTTATATCTTCTATTCATATTAAATATATTGTTCTTTCTCTAGCCTAACCTTGTTCTACATCATGTATTGGTAATTGATGCGATACAGTGAGTTGGTGTAGTCGATGGTGTGACTTCCACGTAAGATCTTATAGATTAGGCAGTTATATCATGACAAGTCTACAAATTTAGGATTAGGTCTATTATTAGAGCAGTACTAATATCATACTAGACCATAATTCTACAATATGTCACCAGGAGCTTTATGACTTTGTTTTCCAAACACGCCATCCTTGATTCTGAACTCAATATTACTGAGAAGATATTTATGAGCCGTCGAACGCTTGGAGAAGGCGAATAGATGTTAACACGAAGACTCTTAATTGGGAAGGCAATGCTTAAGTATGATGGTGGTCACTCTGAAAACTTATTTCTTTTGTAATAAATCCATTATGCTATTTCCACATTGAATGTATCCTGTAGCAGTTTTTTAAAAAGCACTGTTGGTTGTCACAATAGGATAAGTCAGTGTGGGCAACGATGGGACTTCAAAGTAAAATCTTACAGGTTGGGTAGTTTTATGATGGCTATTTCACAGTAATGGGTTAAGTTTGTGGTTGTAGTAACCACGATATATAACAGCTTCCTTATAATAACATAACAGACACACAAAAAGGCACAGAATATATACTGTTGTGAAACTTTTAATTGCAAGTAAAATGGGTTATACGTGAACAGTAATTTGTTCACCTATTGCAGTCACTTAATAAAATTTAACTATTACAGTAGGAACAAATCAGAATTCTGAAATGAAGGGATCCGATGATATATTTCGGAAGCTATCGATAAGTTGAGAAGCGTTTGATCTAAACTGGCTAGTAATTGTAAAGTATGAGTAGCAGGACGTATCCAGTCGTGAACTGGCGCGTGTGCATGAATCAATGTCTCTAACTAGGGTGCATCCGGTGAAAATAAGGAGATCAGTGTCAAAGTCGAAGAATTACAGATATATATATTTTTGCGGTTTATTTATCGCTAAACTTCTTATAATATCGTAACAGACGTTCAGGATGGTAGAAGAGAGTACAGAAAAAGTACTCTAGGAGAAAAATAAATATAGGCAAAACTAATCGTACCCCAACGATACTTTTCTCAAATGGTATGCGAAACTGCTTCATGTTCGTTCGATACCGATATACAGATAGTGTGAATCTGTCGTAGTCGCTTTATCAAAATACCTACAACTTTAGGTCCAGACATCATTAGAACAGTGTCCAACTGATTTATGTTTTTATTTTCTCTGTATGTACTACATGTTTTGTTTTAAATCATCAACGTCTTTAAATATCATAGCAAAGAAAAGCGATATTTTGAAATGGCAACGCAAAATCCTGATAAAATTGGTGGACTCCTTTTAAAGGTATAGTAGTCTTCTAAATTAAATTTTGCTAAGACGAGAGATAATTTGGCACTGATGAATATGATTTTTGCGGATGGTTACAAAGGAGATGTAGACGAATCCTCCCTACTACAGTCACTTTTAAACAAAGCACATTTGAATATTAAAGTAACCGCTTTTCATCATATTGAATTCAGAATTTATCTCATGAACTTGCCTTAAAAGCGACGGAAGAATACTGTTCGCCAGCAGAGTTTGCTGATGATATACTAAAGCTCAATGATCGATGTTTGTTGGCACAACGATCAAAAGTTTCTTTCGAAAGAACTGAGAATAAAGAAATGTTAGTTCAATGAATTTGAACAGTTTTGTCACTCAATGTTAATTTTGTAGGTGCCGAAGAGTGTTAAGGCGTGTTATTCTGTGTACCATTTGTTACTTTCTTTTCTCTTCAAAATATTTTTTCAACGCATTTTCCCTTTTATTTCACCTATGTTAGTTGATTGAGATTGTAAAAAAACAATCTAATATCAGCTCAAGTGGACCCTTTGGGTGTTATTAGGCAACATGAGTTAGATGATTGCCTTAAAGAGCGTTTAATATCTTCCTGAGTGATGGCGAAAGCTTCAAAGTAGAGCTGGCTAGTTCAGAGAACTCAGAAATTTTTCGTAGTATTATTGCTCTTAAGATAAATTTAAAAACCAGATATTAATGATCTTGTTTGTTACGATACTCATGGCTAAGGCTTCACACTTATTTTCATGGTAATAGACATTTTTAAAGGAGTTAATTCTTATCTCATCGCTGTCCGGAAACAGGCATCGGTTACGATTATTAAATGAATTATGGGTCAGTCACCGCATAGAATCAAGTAGGTGTTATTTTTTTTGTTCAGTTTAAGAACATGCATCCTAGATATTACTATCAAAATATCATTGTGAATTTGAGATATTCTATTGACTTACAACAGCTAAGCTTTTAATGGCTTTTCTCCATTACTTGACAGAAATATGAACACAAAAGAAAATGGTCAGGTAGATGCAATAGATCTTTATCCGTTAAAACATTTGAGCCCCGGTGAAAAGGTAAGAAATAATTGAACTTGTTTTATCTTTAATGTGGAATGAAAGTATGGTGGACAGATTTTATCCAAAAAATATCAAAGTGTATCAATTTTGTTTGTGACATTTACTTGTACCCGAAAATCGCCGGTCAAACTATGTGATATTCGCATAAAGTGTCTTTTAAACAGAATAATCAGCTTATAAGTAGTGGTGTTGATTAATTAATCGCAGTCGAGGTATGACTAGAAACAACGGAATCCCATCTGTAATGATAAGCACCTACAAAACAAACTTATTTCTGCGAATCTCCTTCATCAAAAATGATTAATTGTCTACCGTATTGCTTCATTTCAACGTAGATTGTATCACGTAGCAACAATGTTTTACCGCTCAACATTTGCACAGCTAAGATAAGGAATACTAAAAATGGTATATTCAGCTTGCAATAATTTCCTGCTTAACATACAGATGTATGAAGAGTTTTTTCAACATACTTCCCTCAATTCATACAGTTGTGAGCCAAAATGACTGATCAGTGGTAATAAGTGTGAAATAAGCAAATGTTTAGAAAATTACAAGACATCCTTTTCAGATCTTTTGTAAAGTAAATCCGTTGACGTTAAAATAAAAATAGGTATATCTAAATTAAGCTAATAAAACTAGTCTAACCGTGAATTATTATTGATATTCACATTCATTCTCTCATTGATCTGAAATTTTTCATATCGTTTCCTCGTGAAGCCTGCACTTGTTTCTTAAAAATAATGTCAAAAGTTATGTATTGATCAATACCGGTTTAATGATGTATATGTACCCTGCCAGTAATTGATATAAAAACACCATTTTTGATAAAGATTAGCCCTAATGTGTGCTTGGCTCCAACCTACAATGTTGTCACGATAACTGAAGAGGCATTCCTAAGCGTGTTGTGTTCAGCACCTTACCCCTCACTAGAAGAATTTTAAGGGAATTTTACTGCTTTTGTAGAATGTTGTGGCTAAAACCGATCAATACCAGTTACATATACGTGCATCATCACTGTCTCTCTCATAAATGTTTAAAAATGAGTTTATTGATCTTAATTTTGCACATCGTTCTCGAGTTTGTTTCAACTGATCTTTTCGTGTTGTGTTAAGATTGTAAGTAACTAAAGAAGACCTGCGAAATAGAGAGAATAATCTTGTTTTACCTCGTCCTTTCTTCTTGTTCGGATTAATTTTGGCCTGGTTATTTATTCTCTGAAGAAATGGCTTACACTGTGTCATGAAACGTCAGAAAATCTCCTTTTTCTACTCACTGGGTTATTAAAAATATATTATCTTTATTTATAACAATCTCCTTAATGCTCAATTTATTTGAATTTATTAAGTCAAACCTTGGTAATGATACCTAAAAAGTACTATAATGTTTGGTTTCATGTACTTTTCACCGGTTATGTATTTTAATATAATGGATGAAATAATATATTCGTTCTTCTTTCATCTTTTATTTTCATAATTCAGTTTAAATTAGAAAATGCTTTGAAAATATTAAGCGACCCAAGTCATCCATTTAATCGTCAAACAGTACAGAATGCATATGGAATACAACTTCCAACAATATTACAAACACGAGTAACTGAAGAGCAACAACGACAAAACGTGAGTGTGGTTTATCAGTAATCAAAATAACATTCACAAACAGATTTACGGATTTCATAATTAAAAACTTGTTGGTGTTTTACTGGGTTGATAGATAAATTTATTATGAAACGAAATATTATTAAAACGTGAACTCTTGTACACTCCTGTACCAATATTTGTGTGTTCAAATAAACAAATAAACTATTCCTAGAAAATAAGGCACCATCACTAAAACCAGTTATTATTGGTATTCAGCTGTTGACTTTATTTTAAGTCATACAGTAAAGTAGATTGAAGAAATACTGAAATCACTAAGGTAGCTAAATTTATCGTTTGCATTGACTCTCAAATTTTTAATCGAACGGATTTTGAAAGTCTTACTGATCAGTTCAATGAAAATTTTCTAGAAAACTAAAGCTGTCAACCAATAACAGTCTAAGATGGTAAAACACGGATAAAAGTGAAGATCACATACAACTAGTGAGGTATAACTTCTGTTTAATCATATCAATTGATAAGAAAAGAACAACGTTTTTTAGTTGTTGAGGTATTTGGTTTTACACAGGTGTTGCTTCTGGTTTCTTAACCCTATAGAAATATTGATAAGAAGGTCCTTCAATAAAGTAACGACATTTAGAAGGACGAATTGAAAACAAGCACTATCTGTCAACTTTCAAGCATAATAATTATGAAGTAATTCAATTACACAGTAAAGGTTTATGCAATTTATTTCAAATCATACCACTTTTGTAGGGGCTTGTCATATTATTACTAAGTGGTATAAACGGACATAGATGAAGGAGTTATTGAAAATCCAATTTATCTTCCTGAACGTTGATCGCTATTACCGTTCATTCATCACTTATGCATAAGTTTCACAATATATCAAAGGAGTGGATCTTTCAATTAAATTATTTTTATCTCTTTTGTTGAAATTCAGAAAAGGATGCAAGAAAGTAAAAGTCAGTCAAATGTCGCACTAACTACCGTCAGAAAAAAGAAGAGAGATTTAAAAGTATGCATGAATTACTATAATCACTTGGCCTTTTTAAACGCTATCCACATTCAATGTCTAATGTTACAAGCAACTTCAAGTTTGTTCAAATATAACCGAATATATTTAGTCTACTTACCGAACTGGTCATTTTCAGTAGGCCTATAGGCAACTAATGATCACTTCAGTCAAAATTACTGTCATTCCACTCATTGTTTTCTGATGATTTTGTATTGAACGGGAAATTTTTTAATAATTTATATCAGGTATTAATCCAGGTTGAATATTTCTGTCAGGTATTGTTTTAAGTGATTCAATTATAAAAACACCTTCCATGACAACCAAGATAGTTATGATCGTATGACGTCGAATATGCCATATTTATCGACCACAATAACCTTATTTACTATAAATATATGTGAGCACTTACTAGCTTACTAACAATACGCATATTTAACTGATCCCATTCATCTGCATAATTTACCGATACCACAGTTAATATTTCGTATAATATAACCTGTTGGCTATGAGGATTTCAGACAAATCAGTCCATTAGTGCACCTTAGTTTTTAGTAATCTTTTTGGTCACATAAGTTCGTGAGGAAAACCGATGACGAAATCTTCTTAATGTGTTTCAGCTTGTTTCATGAGTGGTTATTGTAATAGTAGTTAGGACTAAATTAACCACCCTAGATATTTCTATTATGTATATTGGCTGTATCGTATTCACCAGCTGCAGCTGTTAGTCTGTAATCTCAAAGACAATCTCGAGGAACTGAGATACTAGTAACTAACCTTCCGACTCATTGCTCAGTGCGTGTAGTGCACGTCGAAGTAGGTACGTTAGAGTAGACGTCAAAATAAGCAGATCCCCAACAAGTGCGAGACACAAATCTCTCAACCACTAGGTAGTCCAGCTGCGTCAGCAGCTGAGGAACTAGGAAATTTCGTGTCTTCTCATCAACAGAGTCTACTCCATAAAATGACTCCTTCACCCAACCCCACAGCAACGTCCCCATAGCCATCACCACATCCCACCTCAGTACCTCAAACATCTGCAGCTAGGGCACTTTCATCTTGATTCTGTGATTTGTGAATAACATGTGTATATACAAAGGGTAAAATATTCAGTTTTTTTTCAATCTTCATTCAATGACAAAAATTGAAGTTGATTCAATATGATGAAACGTCGGATAATAATTGCAATGCTTTAAATTTGATTCAACGTGGTCTAATTCCATCGAATGCACAAATTACATTTGATCCATCACCAATGCAAACAAAATCAATGCATTTAATATCACCAAGTACAAAATTACCACAACAGCCTATTACAATTAATGGTAAATTCCTTTGTCCTTATCATTATTTTTAATAATGATTTCAGATTTTGTAGAATGGATAGAATGTAACTAGAAGTAGTGAAATTCAAGACGCGTGTTTTGTCCTACTAGCAACTTATTAGTTAGGTGTCCCTGTGTTCTCGGTTTGATCCTCACACTGGGACTCGAATGAAGTACCTTTATCCTCAAACGCCATTGAGTTATTTATTTAGATACTGAGTCCAAACAGTCATTCACTAATGGCCACATTCCATCAACTCCATATAAACATATGTTATAATGGCTATATCCAAACAACCCACATAGGATGCACATATGTCAACCAAAACTGCCCAAATTTTGGTCAGTATGTCAACTATAGGATGATTCGAACCATTATAAATCAAATTAATAATTTAAGTGTTGTCATGTTTTCACTTGTTAGGTGGTTAGATGAAGTAAACAGAAGTTCCTGGTCATTCATGACCGGAATATGTTAGTAGTAACGTCTCAGACAGTAGAATTGAGTGAAATAGATGTTAATCCTATAAAAAATGTTGATTCCTTCAGGGTTGATTGTATTCCATAGTTTATTGTACACTCACGGTTTAGCATAAGATCAATTACATGACGTCTAAATCTCATAGAGAATCCCATTAAAGTTGAAATTCAGTCATTTATATGACTAATTTTTGAGTTGATTCACAAAATTACGTGTTATAATTGTGAACCGAACTTGAAAGCAAACAACTGAGATATTGATCAACGCACAGAAAAGGAAAACGATAAATAGTAGATTTGTTTCACAATCTAGAACATAAAAACTGTGACAGATTTTTAACTGAATATGTCCAGTAATATACAGACATTACTTGTATTGATTATTAGTCAGCGTATATTACACATAACAGAAACAGTGGGAATAAAAAATGGATTTTACATTAAATTCATATAAATGATTGTTATACTGAATCTATATATGATTTCACATTTGGCCGCTTTCTAACGTTAGACAAAATATCATTCAATAATATCAATGTTTTCTGGCTCATACTATCCTAACATAGTTGGACTCCAGTACTCCTTAGTTTTCAGCAGTTATCTAGACGGTTTCAGTTTGGCAGTAATTATGAACTACCATGTTGGTGGGTACAGACTACCTGAATGAAGTCTGCGCGATAATTGTAACCAACGAATGGAGACATTGACTGATATGGTTCATAATTAGTTATAGTGGCTCACATATATTCACGCTTTGTCCTCTTCAGTTTCAAAATGATCTCATACTTTTTACTCTTCTAATTAATTGTTTCTTCTCAAACTATATTGTTTATGCCTTAGGTTTTCTATTACTACTGATACTGTTGTTACTTCTACAATGGTGGCATTTATCTTGAAAATTTCACCACGTCCTGCCAAGATTTAGTTTTGTAATTTGAACCGTAGCATATATGTTCTAGGCTTTAAGTTGCTTAAGATTGACTATTCAAATTTACACAAATCCTCTTATCCATCTTAAAAATATTTGTTTTTGTTAAATCTCATTAGACTTATGTCCAGTCTATGAACCTACTAATATTCATGAAGTCCCAAAACCCATAACACTTAAAAAGAAATCACGTAGTGTTCTATCTGACTCAAAATCTGTTGCCGTACGTGATGTAAGCAAAGTTGATAGAAATACAGAATCTGTAAGTTATCATCATTTTACGGAGTCAAAACTCTTTATTTACATAATATATAATGATAAACATCCATTTCAGTTGATCGTACGAAATAAATTGACTCATTGATAGTACAAACACTTGGCAAATATACTTTTGTTGTAACACAATGAAATATGACCAGAATGAAAAAAATCATTTAATTTTTGTAGCGTATTGAGATGGTTGCTGAATTTCACAGTTTACATCATAACCTGACGTTTAGTTCGACAATCAGCGAAAACTACGTAGCAATAAGTAGTTGTTTCGTCCTGGTTTGTGACTCCTTAGCGATTGCCATCAACAATCCTAGGGGGGGGGGTCCGAATCCAGGACCTTAAGATCTCGAGGCAAACACAATTTAAAGAGTCTTTTTAATTGGAATACCGCAGAAATTTCTAGGTGTTGAAAAACAAAACTAACCTAAGCAGATAAATGTGAACAGTATGTTTATGTTAACGGTAGATATCCTGTATTGAAGATTCTGACTTTAACGTTGGCTGACAGTCGTTTTGAGTTTTATATGTTCTTCAATTATAGAAATATTGCCCTTGCTTTACCAATCCTTGCCGTCACATCTGCATTAGATTTTCCTTGTTCATCGATAATTCTGCCCAGATACATGAAAGTTCCTCTTGTAGCTCTTCTAGGGTTACTGCTGGTCTCAAGACCGGGTAAAGGAGGAGGGTTGGACATGAGGTCAGCAACCCGACCTCATAGAAAAAAATATGTCACTAATTTATGATTGGCATTCTATTCATATTAAGTTTGTTTGAAACAAATCAGAACTTGGTATTGATATCTAAATCAGTATTATCCTACTTTATTCACATTCATTGTCTTTACATCTAAAGGTATTTATCACAGAAAATCCTACCTTGTCAAGAAGACAGGCATCTTCCAAAGCTACTGTAAGTTACAGTTAATAAAATATCGATACATATAGGTCAGTTTATCAAATCTATTTATATATTCTTCACTTGTGATAATCATTAGTTTTATTGGTAACGACCTGCATTTTGTCGCTGTTGATGTTAAAGACTACGACTGTTCCATCTGTATTAGTATTTGTATATTTTGAGCAGATGATGTTCATATTGATGTTTGGTGACAAGTTTTAGCAAAGTGTGAACATGTACACTAGAAGCCAGATACATCCTGGTGAGAAGTTCTAAATAGAACGAAGTTTTTAACCGATTGTTTCGCACTACTAGCCAGGAATCAACAGTACTCTTTGTAATGAATGTACTTTTTTCTGTAGCCTCCTCCTTGTACACCGATAACTACTTGTTCATCACATGGCAATTTTTGGCTAACTACAGAAGAAGGACTATTTCAAACACAATCAGAAGATTATCAAGCATTTGAAGCACAATTTACTGATAACTGGGACAAGTAAGCAATTCCTATGTAAATATTTTAATGGTCTTTTTCATCAAATACTGACAATTAGAAAATTATCATAAGCCAGGTAACATCTAACAGTTGTTTAGTATGTAATGAACATCATAATTTGCATCAAAAATAAATAAACTACTCATGATTATGTTGCCATTATTTAACTTTTAACGGATTCTAGTGACAAAACATCATCTGTGAATTTGACGAAATCGAGAGTTGAACGATTAATTACGAAATAGCCCTTTTCGTTGAAGACGGTGAAAAAATGAAGGGTTTTTGGGTTGCTATAACCAAAAATCCAAAAATGTTTGGGTTGGGTTTCCCCCCTCTAAATTCAAGTTGTTGCTTCAGGACTGGTCTCCGTCCACACCTGAACTAAGGATAGGGAGGGAAGTAGTCGAACGCGTTGACAACTTCCCCTATCTTGGAAGTCTGATCAGCCCTAATGGGTTGGTGTTTGACGAAATCTCAGCACGGATTCGAAAAGCTCGTTTGGCTTTGCCAACTTACGTCACCTTTGGCGAAGGCGAGATATCCGTCTATCAATAAAAGGACGAGTATACTGCGCGGCAGTTCGTTCTGTTTTAATTTACGGCAGCGAAACATGGCCCTTAAGAGTAGAAGACACCCGTAAGCTACTAGTATTTGATCACAGATGCCTTAGAAATATTGCTGGTATCTGCTGGGATCACCGGGTAAGTAATAGTGAGGTTAGACGCAGGGTATTAGGGAATGATGGTAAATCAGTTGATGAGGTTATGAATTTTCATCGACTGAGATGGTTGGGCCACGTGTTACGTATGCCCGAACAAAGATTACCACGACGTGCAATGCTAACCGGTGTTCGGGATGGCTGGAAGAAAGTTAGGGGCGGTCAAACCAAAACGTGGCATCAGTGCTTGAAGACATTAACTTGTAGTCTGAGCCATGTTGGTAGATGCAGACTACTTGGTTGGGGTCCGCGTGACTATCGTAGTCAATGGTTGGAGACTGGTGACATGGCTCAGAATCGATCACAATGGCGTCGGTGTATACACTCCCTGTCTTCCCTTAAACTAAGAGACTAAAATCACTCCATTCTTTCTGTCTACGAACTATATACTATATATACTATATCCTTATTGCAACCTTTGACCTAACCACTCCTATGAATCCGGTGTTCATCTTGCTGTGCTAATGAGGTATGGCAACCTGGGCCGATGCACATATGTGCCTGGTCCTACGTTGTAGCTGACTGACTGACTGACGATTAATTACCAAGTATAAAAAGCCCCTGATCGCTGTATATCGCAACCCGATTGATTATGACAGTATGAACATTTGTGTTGTAAACTCTAATGACTGAATATTATATTGGTTGTTTAAAGACTAAACAGGTCTTTCTAGTTTCGATCTTTATATGACCTTGAATTCATGTTAATAGTTACCGTTTGATGATTGTCAATGATTCTGTATGGCATAATACTCCCTAGTAAAAACTAACTTCCTAATAATGGAAGCGTTTTTTAGGGAATAAGAGAAATGTTAATTGTGATCGAGTGATAGTTTTGTAAAATAAACAGTTATTTTTATATGCCTTTTAACTCATTTTTGTTTTCTTTTTCAAAGAATATCAATTCTCCTATGTGAACTCGAAAATTTATTCGATTTCTATGGCATATCAGTGGCTGTTGTTAACGGTATAAAGTGAGTTTCATTTTATCGTTGACATGGTTACCTCCAACCATAAAAAATCTCAACACAGTGCACCTAATATCAAGTCACTTAGACTAGTTGGTTGGTAGAATACAATCAACACTGAAGATTAGCTAGATAAGAACTTGAGAAATATTAGTTGTTTAATCATCTGCGAAATCACAGTCCTATAAGAGGTCAGTCACTGCCCGTAAAACTCAGTGGTAGCAACTCATACTTCGAAGCTGAATGACGATGGAGAGAAAGTCCCCTCGGAATTATAGGTACACCATGCAAAAGAGTGCCGAATAACACGAAGTCGAGGTCCGAAGTTTCTGGACAACTACCTAAAAATACCTAATGTATTACTTATATACTAGGTTAGTCTTATTACCTCTTGTAGAGTATAGGCCGCCGACCAGGATTTTCCAACCAACTCTGTCCCGAGCTCTCTTTCCCGGTTGTTTCCAAGTGCTAATCATTTATTTGATGTTTCCCTCCGATTCCTGTTGCAATGTGTTCATTGGTCTGCCTCTTATCCTTTTGACTTCAGGTTCAAAAGATTTATTATGATGTGTGTTGCTGGTTTTTAAACTTTCTAACAAATTTCTACTCAACTTGGAATTTCGTACATTAAACCATACTACTTAAAATAATGGTCAGTAGCTTATGTCAACTATTTTCAGGATAATATATATTGATATTGCGTCTCTTTGTCATAAGCCAGTTATCTATTCCATTTGTACTCCTATTTATATGATTCATTTCAGTTTTTCTACTTGAAGCATTGTTTTTTTATTTTTAAATCATGTGTTTCGCTCATTATAATCTCTGAAGTTTTCTTCAGATAAATCGCCTAATTCCGAAACACAGTGCTTTTCGAAAATCTCTCATGTTATCACTTGACTTTACCATGTGATATTTCTTGATTTGTAGTGCATGTTGTAATGAAGAAATCATGAGAAAAATCGTTTACAAGTTTTTCATCCGTATATCTATATTAAGCACTGTTGAGGAGTCTCTTTTGCAGATTTGTCTCCAAATCTTCAAAATTTATTATGGGTTCATATTGCTTAAGTACTAGAATACTAATGATCCATAATTTTCCGACTGTATAAATAAAGAGTCAACTGGGAGCATTCATAGAACAATACGCAACAACAATACGCAACGGAACAACCAGAATAATCCAATAGCGTAAAATATTCTCAAATATATCATGCATAGGTAAACTGATAAGTCTTGCGAATTGAACGCTATATTCGTTTCCTAAGCTATTCTGGAAACCCGCAAGCTAGAACTACACAGCGACCTGAACACCAGAGAGAAGACGCAAAGTATGAGAGAAATACTTTACTCCAAGGTTCGTTTTTGTTCAGAAAACATGGGTATTTATAGATGTTAGCGTATGTTAAATCAACATCATATTTAGGCCAATCCGTTAACGACATATTATGCTACTGACCAATAGTAGCACGCCACGTTGGAATTCAAGAATGCTCCACCGTGTTGTGATTGGCTAGGACTCTTCGGCTCCTTTCGGGCCTCTGGGGACTCCATTGAAGTTCTCCGAAAGCCGATTCAACACAAACCTTACAAAGTGTTCATTTGTAAAGGATTCAATTAAATCTTAAATATCACATGAAATTACAATACTACAGTAATAAATTACATAAGAGACAATAAACATTATGTCATAACGAGACGAATATTGTAAAAATTGAAGCTTTTGGAACCATTTCCAGAATTATTTTTACTTATTTTTTTCCATTCAGTAATTGATAGATAAATATATCTTTATATTTCTATGTTCTATTCATTGTTAGCTTTCAAAGGACCTATTAACTGCTGTTATAGGTTTTACTATTCCTTAATTATTGCTAATTAATTCTAGACTGTTTGCCTCATTCTCTACCACTTGTGGTATGCTTGTGTTCAATACATGGGTTGGTGTCCAATGCTGTCTTATAATTCGTGTATGTAAGCCAATGTGTGCTTGAAATAGTTGTTTGCTGTGAAGATTGTCTCGGCTAGGTGATTAAAGTATAAGTATAGTAAATACTGGCTGCTGGTTTCTCTTCGGATAAAGAAAAGCTAATAGATAACTGACTACTAGGAGTTTAGCTTGTGTAGGTTCACTGTCAATTGCGCAGGTCAGACGTATAATTAGTCAAGTCTAAAACACTAGGCTATAGACGGAGTAGTAGATGCGGAATAATAAAAATTATAATCGGAATTTTAATTGGTGAATTTAGCACGTCATGTCGATTAGCTTCTCAAGTCATAACATACTGAATAATTATGATAATGTAGCCCATAATGCCAAGTCATATTGTGCATAAATTTACGACACAAGTTTGTATAACTTCTAAGGGAAATACACAAATAGTGAATGAGCACTGTGATGGCAGGATGGTGGATACGATTTGTTGGGAAGCCCCATACTGGGACAAAACAACTGTCTAATGCTTCCAGGCCTTCAGTGGTTATCTAATCTAGATCAGTTCATGATCTCAGTAATATATACTTGAGCCACTAATGCCATATTCAGTCAATTTAATTCATTTATTTCTTTTTTATCTAACAGATTAGCAAAATTAGCCAAAGACTATGAAAATAATTTGGGAAGTTTAACAAGTGATATTTTATTGACCAGTATAGAAGATTCTCAAACAATTCGACGAATTATGACAGAACCAGTATGTTTATTTTTGTTCATAGTGATTTCGATCTGTTAATGTCTTTTCATAATCACCAAAAACTGAAATTCTAACCAGTTTAATACAATGTAGGATAAAAGAGAAAATTGATGGCAATATGAGTATGGTATTCACATTTCAAAAATACAATGACAACTTATTAAGATTTAGTGGGGCCCTTTATTTTCGTCGTCATTTAGATCGGACGATGTTGTCGAAGGGCTCTTCACTTTAGTGGCCCGGGATCTGACTCTAATCTGATCGTATGAATGATTGTTATTGTTATAATCTCTTTCTTACAGTTATGACTCAGCTATTCCTATTGCTTAGTATTCTCGGACACCGATTCACTCGACAAGTTCTCAAATCAGAACACGGTTGAACAGGAAAGAGATTATATTCCAAATAACAAGGTTAGATGGAAGCAAGAAACAAGTCAGTAGTGAAATAGGGAAAACGCTAGTTTATTTATAGTTTTTCACATGAGATTTCTCGAGTGTTCACTAAGTATTGACTAACGCTGATTGGGTAAGAATTAGCCAATCAGTGTGCACCAAAGCAATCATGCATTAAGTATGCTTTAATCCAGTCTATGTCCCGCTAACAGTTATTGAAATACATATGTCCCGTATCCTCGTATATGATCATCGACTTAAATCGCGTCGGTCAATGACGGAATTAAATTAGTCAAATAACGATAATGGACTTTTGGATACATATATTTTGTATGTGGAGCGAATGGAATAGAGGGAAGCGAAACGACGCGCAGTGGAGATGATGGGTAAGCCAACTCCATTTAGTCGAGCGTTAATCAATATTTATAGTAACGCGAAAATAAGGATAAGAAATGTACACAAAGCTTGCGTAGGGATCGAGAAGCCTGGTGGTCGGAGCGCGCTAATCAGCTAGAAGCAGCAGCTGAATTTGGTAACTACCGGAAGCTCTTCCAACTTATCCGAGCCACTAGCAGCAAGAAGTCTGGTGTGAGCGAAACAATCTGTGAGGATGACGGAATGCCAATCACTAACATCCATCGACGTCTTGGACGATGGGCAGAATTCTTCGAAGGGCAGTTCAACATCGGTCAGACTGTCCTGCCCTCCATGGCCGGTGACGACTGATCCACCAAATGAGGCGGAAGTCCACAAGTAACTCCAACTCTTGAAGCGCTACAAATCACCTGGCCCATATGACTTACCTTCGGCTCTTTTTAAAGATGGTGGTGACTTTCTGACTAAGAAACTGACTGTGTTGTTTACAAAGGTCTGGGAACTAGAGAGTGTACCAACGTTGTGGAATGAGTCAATAGTTGTCCCTATCTTTAAAAAGGATTCATGTCGTTTCTGTAGCAACTGTCGGGGGATAAGTGTACTTCCGATTGCGTCCAAGCTATTGGCTTCCGTCATACTTCGTAGGTTGTTCAAAACCCGAGAAAGATTGACTCGCAGAAGGAACAGGATGGGTTTCGTTCTGGTCGAGGATGTATTGATCATATCTTCACCCTCCGCCAAATGTTAGAACACCGCCATACTTTTCAAAGGCCAACAATCGTAGGGTCTCTTGACATCAGGGCTGCCTTAGATTCGTTGGACAGGACTGTTCTCTGGGATTGTCTATTGGAGAAGGGTGTGTCTGAGAATTTTTTAACATCCTAAAAGCCCTATATACAAACACCTCAGGCAGAGTGAGGGCATACAACCACCTTTCTCCATTGTTCTATTCAAGCAGTGGGGTTAGACAGGGTTGCCCAATATCACCATTCCTCTTCAACTTTGCGATCGATGACATTCTGGAAACAGCTCTGATGAATGTAAGTAATGGTGGTGTGGACCCGTTGCCTGGAGAAGGACTTCTCGACCTTGAGTATGCGGATGATATTGTCTTACTGTGCGATAATGCCCAAGGCATGCAATCCGCACTTAATCAGTTGGCAATCAATGTCCGTAGGTATGGTATGTGTTTTGCACCTTCGAAGTGCAAAGTACTTCTACAAGACTGGCGGGATTCTAATCCTGTACTTACTCTGGATGGTGAGCAGATAGAAGTAGTCGAGAAGTTCGTGTATCTGGGTAGCTGCATAAGTGCTGGTGGGGGTGTGAGTGGTGAGATCAATGCACGAATAGTGAAAGCCAGAGCGGCTTATGCCAATCTGGGCCATCTTTGGCGCCTTCGTGATGTTATTGTGACTGTAAAAGGCCAGATCTACAAAGCATCGGTGAGAGCAGTTTTGCTCTATGTTTGTGAAACCTGACCTCTCCGAGTTGTGGACGTTAGACGACTCTCTGTGTTCGATTATCGTTGTCTCCGAAGGATTGCTGACATCCAGTGGCAACACCATGTTAGTAATGCAGAGGTTCGGCATCGTGTGTTCGGGCACAGAGACGATAATTCAATTGGTGTCACCATCTTGAAACACCGACTTCGGTGGCTTGGACATGTTCTATGAATGTCGTCCCAGAGAATTCCACGTCGTGCATTATTTGCCGACTCTGGGACTGGTTGGAGAAAGCGGAGAGGTGGTCAGTGTATGACATGGTGTCGGGTATGAAAGAAAGCTGCAAAGGACTAGCTTCTGTTGGTCCTTCACGACTCCCTGGCTGAGGTCCGAGAGATGGTGCGATACAGTGGCCAGAGACGTTATCAGATATGGCTCAGAATAGGAGCCAGTGGCGATCCTGCTGTAACCTTTTACTTTCTTCATAAAAAGTGGCTGATTCGTCCTTAACTGAAAGAGTTCTTCTGGTTGTACCTGTCTGTTTCCCTCATTATTATTATTACACTACTTACACTAACCTGGTCGTTATTGTTCTTTTTTTTCTTTTACGCTCCTTAGCTTCTTTTTTCTCTTCGAATTCTCATTGTTTTGTGTGGCGCATATATATTGGCGCTCTCTTGTACCAATATTTATGTGTTCAAATAAATAAATAAACACACACATATGCGCTCACATAAAAAAACAGTCAAGATTGATAAGCGAATAATTAACAAGGTCAGAATACTACTCCACTAGGATGAATAGATTGGCCTGTTCGAAAGCTAGAATAAGATATTTGAGCTTAACATAATAACCGACGCTACAAACCAGTTATCTACATTCATATTCAAAATTTCCCGGCGTTTGATGATTAATCAACCAATATTATACATAGCTGACGCAGTAAGAATACAAAACTGGACTGGAATTCTGAAATAAATAAGATGGTTATGATACTTATAAATAGAAAATAAATAGTTATGTTAGTAGTATTAATGATAGTCTTCATTAACTGAGATGGTCACGAAATGTCCTGCACATATCCCCAACTTCCTCGTTCTCGAAATACAATGTTGGTTAGGGTGGAGGTAAGCTGAGAGAAATCTATATGAGTGGGCAAACTAAAATATGTCATCTATGAAATGGCTGACTACTAGTCTGAGTCGTATTGATTTATGCAGACTACTTGGTTAAAGTTCACGTAATTACTTATACCAGTAGTTAGAAATTTTAGGATGTAGGTACATCCAGCTGACGAGTCCCAAATAGAACAAAACGCGCGTCCTGGATTCCAGTGCTAGCCACCATCCATATTTACTTATAATGCTTTGGATTTTATTGTTCAGAATCAGTTACGATGGTAAAAATGGACGCTCTCCTTATTTTCTTTTTGATTCTCACTTCCAGAATTCCTTCAGACTTACCTTTTCGCTGTCTTATTGAGTTATATTCTCAATGTTTGGTCTTTTCTTATCATCATTTCTACCGTGACTATTTCAATCACCTTTCTATTTACCTTGGTAATTTCATCACGTCATGCTAATGTAGTACATCTGTGCATAACTATATGATAACTACAACCTACTTCCTGGATTTTCTTGCATTCACTTATACCGTATATTTGATGATGGGAATCAATAAAATACTTTTTTATGCTTTTCGTCGTTTAATAGAAAGGGTAAATCTATTAGAATTGTTTTTGGTGAAGTTTTGTTCTCTGAGCTGGATGGTTTGGTCGTGGAGCATTCATTATTCTACTAAACAACATCAGCACAAACTTCAGGTAGAAGTAAAGTGTTCGAATTTCTTCACATATGAACGACAGCATGGCCTCCATCTTTGTTTGCATTATACCTCCCTTTGGTCTAATTCTTTGTCCCGCATTTGCCCATGATATTTCTGACTAACTGGTAAATTAGATCGGCTTCGATATGTTTGTTGATTGCTGATTGACCTGAGTGCCAAGCTTCTAAAATTCCCTGGTGCTTTTAGTACTCCCTCTATCCAAGATTTTAACATTTTTTCTAGTCGAATGTCTGTACATAATTTTCTACATGGATTGATATTAGTGAAGATATATCATGACGTTTGACCGCCAATTGATGCTCATACAGCGGAGATGAAGGTCAACAATAACCAATCAAGATCAAGATCGACAAAACAAACTGTGAGTCATATGTGGATGAATTCGAATGCTTCACTTCTACCTGAAGTTTGTGCTGATGTTATTCAAAAGAACAATGAAAACCCTAAGAATAAACCATCCAGCTCAGAGCACGAAACTATTAAAATCATCCACCTGAGCTACAAATGTTATTTTACATAGAAATAGCTGGGCTGGTATGGGGATATTCAGGTCGAGATGAGTAATATTGAACCGAACAAATTAGTCAGCGTGTTAGGATTATCTATCCCTTCGTCAGTGCTCGGTAATGCTACATTCGGTCGACGGTAATCATTTAATAGAAAAACATAAAACATTCAAGAACATTCATCGTAGTATATTACATTTTTAGACAACATTCTAAACAACAATATTGTACTTTTTCTTCATAAGAAGTTTGTAATATCATCATCTCTTTTGGTTGAACACATATAGTTCTATGCTACTTCAAGATAGGTTGTATTGTGAAAACGAATATGATTTTTTCAGTCATTTAGTCATATGCGACGTGGGTTCTAGCATAAACCCATCTTGCCACATTGCATCAACACGGTGAAAAGAAGTTAAAAATACGCATGACGAAGTAATAATAATAATAACAGAATTATTATTAATGGTAAAAAAGTTAAACAGAATATGTAGTCTGAAAATAAGGAATCCATTTAATTGGATAAAAACACTGGAGTAGATTAGTAAGGGTTTGCAGTTTCTTGTGATTGTTATCCAGAACTACAAATGATCAATATCTGTAGGTATACAAAGTTAAATTACAAAGTCCTATCAATACTTTTATTCATATTGAACAAAATATTGACTATCTGGACTCAGGATGTCAGTAAAAAACAGTTGGCGTTTGAAAAGATTGGTACTAAGTTCCAGTCTCAGAATGGATATCATTGTTAGAATGTATGTGTATACTCACACAGTCAGTCTGTCCGAAATAGTACCATAGTCTAACTGTACTAAAATTGATTTCTTCGAACCGACTAACAGTTTTTTATTTTCACTCTAGGGTTCTTCATTTAGAGGACGACAAGGTCCTACGAGAGCTGCAATAAAAATTCAATCTACATTTCGACGTTATCGAGCACAAAAGCAGTATGATGAACAAAAGTTAGTGCTTATTTGGATTGTTTACTGTGTTAAGAAATAATATGATTTATAACATTGCATGTAGTGTTTTAACCCATTTCTTACCATTTAGACGCTGCCAACTTTAAAGTGTACTGAATTATTTCTATCATCTGAATTTAGACAATTTCAAACGTAATATAATAGATCATATCATTAGTAAAGTTTTGATTTATTCAGTTGTTGACATTCTTGAGTGAATTCTGTCTTTGCTGAATTATGTAATTCCTGTGTGGATTGCCCCCGTATAGCCATTTAGTCACATGTTGTTCCACTGATAGATACTATCCACGTTTTCTAAATAAGTCTGAGAGTTATTTTCATACAGATAATTGATTAATATAGCTACCTGTTGTGAACTCTCGAGAATTCCTAGTAAAAGTCTCAAGAAGTTAGGAGAAAAGGCTGAAAATATTTCGACCAGTCAGCATTTAGTGGAAACGTCCTAGAAGCTCCTTGACAAACAACGGATTATGTGTTAGACTTTGACTGCATAGTAATCTATTTTCTTTTGACTAAATTTAGTATGCTTGCAAAAGTTTTCGGAATGTCAGTGTTGTTTACAAACCTATACAACCCCTTGTTTTTGTACATAAATTAATTTTGACGTGAAGCTTCTGTTTTTATTTCACTTCGTCTTTCCACCGTTAGAGGCTCATTTATAAAAGAATTCTAGTGATCTAAGAAGGCTCTAGTTAGTCATTATCAAGCATTTGAGTAGCAACTATCTTATTATTTGCATTAATTGAAGAGGTAATGAACCTTGAAACGATTTGAACTTGTATTGAATAAGTATATCGTAAGATAAGCATAATTTTTAATAAGAAGCCCTTGAAACTATGTTTCAATGTTTATAACACTGATGCACATGTATTCATTCTAATATTTTCCTCCAAATCTTGATACTTTTCATTATGATCAGAATGAGGGTATGTGAAGATTGTAGTAATTTTAATAGTTGAATTCATGAGTCAATTAAATCTAGACCACTATTGAAAACCTGGAAGCACTAGACGTCCGTTTCGTGTTAGTATGGGACTCCTCAACAGTGCGCATCCATGATCCCGCATGCGGGGCTTGAACCCAGGACCTTCGATCTCGCACGTGAACTCTTAACTTCTAGACCACTGAGCCGGTATCTAACGTCTGGTGTAATCAGGTTATATGTATATTTGATTGATAATAGAGTTCTTTGTCTTCTAAAAAGTGCATTTTTATTGTTATTCTTACCTTTATTATTTAATCATAGACGTCTTCGTGGAGCAGCTGCCATCATATCAACTTCATGGATACGTTATAAAAAAATGAAACAATTAAGAGAAAGATTATCAAATACAAGAAAATATTGTACAGAAATATCACAGAAAAAGTTAAAAGTGAGTTAAGATTAAATTGAAAAGTCACTTAACGTAAAAAACACATTGAATAATTCATACATCTTAGTAATCTGTTTCATTGGTAGTATAGACCAACAACCTCATATTTGATCATATCACTAAATGTTATGTCTTATTATGGGATTGACCACTGAACTGATTTCCACGAGTTGAATATTCTCAACTTTAACAAGTTCGCGGTTTAACTTGAACATAATCCAACATTGACTGATTTAGTAAACTTTTTAGATAATGAGATTATATTGAAATGTTGGGAAAACCACCTTGGAGCTATTCATTAATGAATGCACTTGAATAGCAAATAATATATATTCAAATCATTTAACTAAATATTAGTAATGGTGTTTATACAGAATCGATAGGATGTGGCTAGTAGTAATGAAATCCAAGATGCGTGTTTTGTCCTACTTGAGACTACTCAACTGGATGTACTTGTATCCTCGAAATTTTGTCGACTCCGAGACTCAAACCCAGTACGCTTCACTTCAGATTCCTTTAGTCGTTGAGTTCAGATGGCTATGCGCTTGTGCGACGGGTATGAACTTTAATTTATAAATCTATTTTTTCTCAATTATGGTATCCAAGTTTGATCTCAAAGTAGATTAGAATTCAATCATAGGCAGTCACGTAAAGCTGGATCAGACAAAGATCGATTTCGATCCAACTTTTATTAGATTCGACATTAAAAGCTATGTTTAGAGTCACTCATCACCAAAGCCGAAAATTTTGAATGATCACAGTTAATGAGTTGAAATACTAAATAGCAGATATTTTTCCATATAAAGTAATCCCATCGATTTTTCGTGAATTTATTTGAAATTCTTTTGTTCACAACTTGTTAATCATTATGTAATAGTTCGATTGTATTAATCACAGATTGATCTCATTTGGGTTGCCACTGAAAACTAGAGAGCTTTGAATACCTATTTCGTCCTAATATGGGACTTATCAACGTTGGACATCTGTAATGAATATAATCTGAAAATTAAATTAATATCCACAAAATTCTCCTAATTCAACTATAATTTCAATAGTTGAGATCATGAGTCAATTGAAGCTAGACCAACATGGAAAACCTGGAAACACCGGACGGCCGTTTCGTCCTATTGTGAGACTCCTTGGCAGTGCACGCTCATGATCCCGCTCACAGGATTCCATCCCAGGACCTAACAGTGTCGCGCGCGGGCACTTAACCACTAGACCATTGAGCCGGTATTCAACGGTGTTAATGTCTAACTTCAACTAATCCACGAAATTTAACGCACTGAGGAGTCCCATACTAGCACGAAATGGACATCCAATGCTTCCAGGATTTCCATAGTGGTCTAGCTTCAATCGGCTTATGAATTCAACTACTGAAATTACTACAATCTCCACAAAACCCCTTCTGATACTAAACTATTATTGTTTGGTCACGAGTGGTTTACTTTAAGACGTTCTAGTGAGAAGAATTAAATGGATTTTAGTTGTGTTAGAAGTGAAATTATCGTCACTTCTGGGATTATATGACTGTAGAGCTATACTACAAATTGAGCGTATACCTTATCAAAGATTCCCATGCTGAAATAAAACAACTTTTCAATACTCCCTGGTTTTCAAGAGTACCCTAATTGATACTAATACAAGGAGAATAATACCTGCAAGTTAAACCAATTCCTGCAAAATTCCCTAAAATTAAATGATTAATTGTACAATTTTTTTAAAGGAACTTGGAAATAATTGGGAACGTTTTGAACAAAACAGTCATGTAGTTGTACACTTACCGTCTGCAAGTTATTCTGAATCAATTAGACAACAATTAGGCAGTATTGAGGAATTGGAATATATGGAGAGTCGACAAATTGCAAGAATTTGTGAAATTCGCAGTGAGTGTATTACAATTTATTCGAAATCACAATACTTTTTTAATAAAAGTATATCAAGATAATGATCATTTCGAACAAAATTGTATGGGAATGTTCCTTAGGACAATGAAATAGATCAGTAGTAATCGAATATTTAATGACAAATTTTACTGAATTATTATTATTATTATTATGCATCGATCCATTGGAAACCAGGAAACACTAGATATTTGTTTCGTCCTGCTTTGGAACTCCTCATCAGTGTGAAGTCATGAATACACTGGAGACTGAAACCAAGACTTTCACGTCTCACGTTGAACAATTAATTTCTAGATCACAGAGATAAATTCTGATAGTACATATGTTTAGCTACAACGAATTCGCGTAAATGGCCAACCATCTTTCATTTTATTCAGTGGGTAGCTGGCTCAGTGGGAATCCGTGACTAGTAGAGTCCAAACGGTCACCTACTAAAGATAATGGAAGATGGTTCAACAATGTCGATTGGAGCTAGACACATACAGAATTGGACTTCAGGGCAGTGGTCTAGAGGTTAAGCGTTCATACATGAGATCCGAAAGTCATAGATTCAGTCCCAGTGGGTTCGTGGATACGCACGGCTGAGAAGTCCTGTACTATGATGAAACAACTGTCCAGAACATCAGAAAAGTCAATCATTTACTTTTTACAACTTGTATTGTTTAACCTGCAAAATCTGCATGAATGTATACATCGAACATAAGATCATATCATACCATACATACAAATATATTCACAACCGTAACTGTTGTCATTCAAAGCTGAATAATGGGTATATAAATAATGAGCTGGAGTTTGTGAACAATAATAGATATGGTGACAAGTTTACTGAAAGTTATCTGTTCTATATACATACATTATGATCTTTCACTTAGATATTTTTTCAATTTCTCCATCTTTAGATCCAAACAGAGATGTTGTCATAGTGACACGTGCACCAATATCTGATGACCTTCTAGAATACTATAATAAATTACTAGGTTTAACTACAGCAATTGAAACTGGTCAAGCTGAAAATCAATGTTCAATTAGTTCACGATATAGAATAATTGTACCAGAAGCAATTAAATATTTCCATGTAAGTTATTGCATAATTATAACCAATACATTTGGATTGTGTTGCGTTTTCGAATTTTGTCAATTCAAATATGAAGGTTTTATTATTGCTCTACATAATATCATAAGCGTCTGACTGAAAAAAATAGGGAAGATTGGTTCAGCAAAGAGTACAGCTTTGAAAATGAATTCTCCGAAAAGAGAACTCTTTCCTGAATCAATCTTTCTTATTTAATGTTTTAATGGATGTATTCCGCTTACTGAAAAGAAAGTCTAATGCAACAATGGAAGCTTTGCAATTCAACCATTTAACTCAATTAACGTGTTATATCCAGAGCTTAGATTCTTAATATACCGCGTATAACTTGGGCACTCGAACGCTTGAACCCTCTCAAGTAGCAAATGCGAAGACAGAAGACAAATCAAAGGAATACTATTCCAAATAGTGTCAATTATATTACAAAACTGTTAGGTATTTATAATTTTTAGTAAGAACGAAATCATCATTATATTCCTTCAATCTGTGTTCAGAGGGTTATTAGCATTTGCTCAGTAGGGAAGCTCCACTTAGAGATTCTGGAATACTCTTCCAAAGGATGATTGGATGAAATATCTTCGGTTCTTTCTGAGCTTCATACGGCTTCCTCGAGTTCACCCGCGAACTGTCCTCATCGAACGTAACCGAAAAGAACCAATTACTCTGCAAATATGTAGGATTTATTTCGCCTACAGGTATCATTTAAGAACCACAACCTATTATACTATGGAACATAGACAAAATAAGTATAATTTGGTTTTTAATATTCACTTTATTCTTAGTTTACAAATGATCACAATTACTGCAAATGTAGAGTAAATATATTTAGTCTAGAAAACGATAGTAAAACACAAACACCAAATTGTCATGGAAATCGGAAATAAATGCATAACTACAAAAAGCAGTCATAGTTACAAGAAAAGTACACTTCCTATCGATTGTTGACTAACTAAAGGATGGCCCCATCAAGGTCAATTAGAGTCTAATTGGTCAGTGTTTTAAACTAAAATATCATTGGTCAATTTAATTGTGGACACAATTAATAAAAATCCCCATCATTTTACTATGGTTATATTCCGTGAAGCACATTTAACAGAGGTCTATGGCAGTCTTGTATACAGATATATAAATTTTGAAATTTTCACTTTGTTTACATATAAAATATGTATTTCCATTAGTTAAGATCATGAGTCAATTGAAGCTAAACCACCATGGAAAACTTAGAAGCAATGGACGGCCGTTTCGTCCTATTGCGGGACTCCTCAGCAGTGCGCATCCACGATCCCGCCTCGCCAAATCCGAGCCCAGGATCTACGAGTCTCGTGCTTGAACACTTAACCTTTTGACCACTGAGGTGGCCGGCATCCGACGGTGTTAACGTCCAACTTCAACCAATCCACGAAGTTGCACCACCACATCTCACAACAGAATCTCACGAGGAGGGATAGTGGATGCTCATTTCTGAGGAGTCTCACGATAGGACGAAACAGCAGTCCAGTGTTCCCAGGTTTTCTATGATGGTCTAGCTTCAATTGACCCATGATCTTAATTATTGAAATTACTATAATATCCACAAAAACCCCTTCTGATACAAATATGTATTTGTTAAGCTCTGTATTATATAACATTTATTTTACTTCACTAAAAGCACAACTTTTCTTGTTTTGTTTTTTTGCTTAGTCAAATGCCCCATCTCCAATGTGTTTAGCATCTCTACTGAAATATAGTCCTAGAGCATTAAAACATATACGTCGTTTTATTGCTGGACGTCCAGCTATTCTTATTCCAGGTTTTGGTGAACATGATGATATATTTTATGTTGCAAATTGTTTAGAAATACCAGTTTGGAGTTCAACACCATCAATTAATTCATTATTTACACTTCAATCAACTACAAGACGTTTAGTAAAACAACTTCTTGATACATTATCTGATCGTGATATTTCAACAGATTTAAAAAATCAAAATATATCTAAAGCTTCAGCTTTATTCACTTCAGTTATAACTAGTCGACGTAAAGTTATTGATGATACACGAACAAATAAATTAGTTGAAGGTTTTGGTAAATTTAAAAAAGATCTAGATAAATTTGTAACAGGACAAAATTATTGGCCAGTTGAACAACCACCAGGAGATTTTGATATTTACACAATGGATCATGTAAGAAGAAAAAATATATATATCATTTCATTGATAATTTTTCATATTGAAAGAATGAAAATAATTTCTGTTTATCACGATATACTACTATGATATAATCAGTATTAGATAGTCACAATTGATTGATCACTGGGTGGTGATCAATGTCATGTGTGTCAAGTCCTTATTTAGTGCAGATCGAATGCTTTCGATCATGTTGCAATGTGGCCATCAGTCTAGGTGACTCGACACTGCGGGCACTATATATTGAGATTTAGATGGTGGTTGGAGGTAGTCGACAGGAAACCCTGGGAACTGGTGCTTCGATCTGCATTAATAAGGACTAGACACGCGTGACATTGATCGCCACTCAGTGATCGGTCAACTGTCATTACACCTCAGTCCTACAGGAGGTCGGTCGCGGCTCGGATAGCTCAGTGGGAACGTCTCTGACTGTGAAGCTGGGTGACACGAGGTCGAACCCGCCAGGGAGCACCAGTTCCCTCAGGATTACAGGTACACCTTGATGACGAGTGCCAAGTAGCACGAAACGCAGGTCCAGGGTTTCCTGTCGACTACTTCCAACTACCGTCTAGTCTCAGTATTAGATAGTCTGCTATCTTCAAACTACATACGCTAATCACAAACTGAATGCACGATTCATGATTAAAAACAAAGATTTCTATAGTTTAAATCATGAGTCAACTGAAACTAGACCACCATGAAAAACCTGGTGGCACTGGACGGCTGTTTCTTCCTAGTATGGGACTCCTCAGCAGTGCGTATCCACGATCCCGCCCCACGCCAGATTCAAACCCAGGACCTATCAGTCTCGCACGTGAACGCTTAACCTCTTGACCACTGAGCCCTGCCTGCATCCATTGGTGTTAATGTCAACAGTACCCTATTGACGACGGTCCGAAATAAAAGATAAAATGCGAACCTAGTTTTTGATATTAGGACTTCTTGTTTCGAAAAGCTACAGTTGTAATATAACAAATCCGTTTAAATGAAAACACCCATAACCTTAGTGCGTATGACAAAAATAGGTATTTAACTGTAAATCAACTAATCAGGTGTTAGCAAAGGTCGAAAGTTAGTACGAACTTAAAAAGATTATTAAGTATTTCCTCGTTCACCAGATTTGTAATTTGTTAAGAATCATAGCAAGATCATATATTGTGGACGACCTTTATGCAATATTAAAGTGTCATTGAGAAACCATAACCACATACCGCGGCTAAAATAGAGTTATAAATTAGTATGAGAAAATGGGGTTAGGACTCAGAGTTAGAAGTTAAGGTCCGTAATTAGAGTAAAGGTTTTCAGCACGAATTGACATCCTCTATAATGCCAAAATGCTACTAAGCCACACGGACGAATAAAACCAGAGTATCGCTATCTTAAACTTGCTTTGTCCCTCTATAGATTATTGTCCCGCTACAGTCAAATTAAGCTAGATGATTCGGGGTCTTTCCAGTGTAAATACAATTAAAGTCAATACACATATCCATATTTGGCAAATAAGATACTTAACCGATACCTACACACAGTATATTGTATTCTTGAAATAGAATGATATCCATCTAGGATTGTTACATTCGATAGTTATTATATTCCATTCCACGGTACTAAAGAGCATTTAGTTTCTTAGCTGGGAATTATGTTACATATTGTCGAGAAAACTCACAGCCAATTATCAATCATTAATATGTAATTATGGATGGATCACAAGTGTGACTAGTCGATTAAAATAATTTAAACAAAATAACGGTGTTACGGTAATTACATTGAATACCTTATTATCTCCTTACCGTAATTGAGAAAATTAACTCACTATGCAAAAGTATGTGTGAGTCTGACTGAACATATGTTTACGCTCCAATATTTATCTGGTGATTGAGCAAACCGGAGACTTGCATTTACCAATCATAATGGTGAAATTAAAGGACTTATGTTTAACGAGACGTCCATACACCTAATAATCAAACCGCATTGTGTGATCAATGAATATACCAATTTTCTCAATCAGCTTCCTGATTTGGGAGGAGTTTTGTTCTCCGAGCTGGATGGTTTGGTCGCTACTGAACGCTACTGAACAACAACATCACCACGAACTTCAGGTAGAAGTGAATTCTATATTGTACCAAAATATAATATTGAATGAAGCCATTAAAAAAAAGTGTCCGGATTTCTCCATGTATGAATCACAGCTTGTTCTGTCGACCTCAATCCCTTATGTTTATTGTGGACCATTGACCTATCACTGTCTACTTCTTTATTTTGATTGTGTCCCCTCGTTGAGTCGATTGAAGCGTCTGAATAACCCAATTGAGGTACGCGCAAAATCGAAGTTACAGACCTCAACTTGTGAGGTGTCTATGGCGTTTACCGCATCTTTTTGTCTGAAATAAAAAGGGGCTCCCTGTAACAGTAATACAAAGAATAATTACAACATACGATAGTGCAAAAGACAGCTTTTAGCTGTGTCTAAACTTAATAACAGTTTACCAACAAGCAAAAACCGAAGAGCAAACAATACGGAAACCGTTGCGTCTAAACAAGGGTTGAGCAAATGCACAAGATTGTGAATGACTGTTAAAATGATTGAGACGAAGTAATTATAATGATAAATACAATAAATGTTATAAGTATATGTAAATATATTAGTATGTTCCACGACAAACTTGCGTCGCAACGTAAGCATAGAAATTGCTAAGAATACGACTATTTACTGAATATAAATAAGTAGTATAAAACAATACACAAAAGAGTCTAAGGGAAATGAGTAAGGACCGAGGATGTAAAACAGATTTAACACAACCATTGACTTGATTCTTGGTCCTATATGCGTCCATGATTTTTCTGATTGGTTGATAGATTGGATCGATTTCGATGTATTTGTTAGTGAATGAACTGAGTGCCAAGCTGCTAAAAAATTTCCCTGGTGCCTTTGGTATTCCCTCTCTCCAAGATCCCAACATTTCCCGATTGAATGTGGCTACACTTGTCCACATGCATTGATATAACTGAGGGTGTGTCATATCATTTGACCGTTAATTGATGTTCGTGCAGGCGAAGATGAGGGTGGTGGCCACTTTGTCCGATGTAGTGTTTTTCGCAATCGGAACAATTTATTTCATAGATGATATTCGGTTTTTCCTCTTTTGTCATTTCGTACTTTGGTTTACATAGGATGCAATCTTAACTATGTAACTAGGGAATATGTAGTAGACTTTTTCGAGAAATGATGCGTGTTTTAACTGCGGCTCACCAAATTTGTAGAGGTTAATTTCTCTCGATTTGACTCCAATATATGGTGTCCCATTAACTGAGTATTTTAACAGACCAATTCTAGTAGTATTATGAGTTTACTCGAGAATATTCAGAAGCCAGGACTCTAGTTGTTGTGATAGTGTGTTGTTATTAATCGATAAAATCTACGATCAAGAGAGAGGCAAACACGTTGATGTGTGTGTGAGAGTCAAACTTCTAAATATCTGTGTAATTTGTGAGTGTTATTACAGCGAAAGGGATAATAAGATATTCAAAAAGTTTACTATTGTTCGTGGTGTAGTGGTAACGATTATATCTTAAACGTTCATAGACCCGAAATCCTGGGTTCGATTTCCTCATTCGAGGTCATGGATTCGCACCGCCGAGTAATCTTATCCTAGTATGACATGACCATTCAGTGCTTCAAGTTCTTTAGTGGTGGTTCGACTTCAACTGATTCATGAATTTAATAAAGTAGTTAATATGTCTAACATAATCCTATAATATAAGGTAGAAATGCAATATCCCAGTTATCTAACAATTGCACCATAAAAATGTAAACAATAATAGTCTGTCAAAATAGTTTCAATAACTTCAATGATCACCCATTTAATAATAATATGAATATTTAAACTTTTTGTGCTGAGACTATAATTTATGGACGAACTAATCACGTATAAGATAACAGGTCTCGGATTTCGGCGCGAAATTCACCCATCCATTTGGCTAAATAGAGTTTTGCCATTATAGATTATGTCAATTCATGATGAAAACTCTAAATGTAATTCCCAACCCTAACGATCAACTGTAAATGATAATTCTAATTCCTTACACTGATTTACAATCCTCATTTGATCCTAGTTATTAGGTAAACCCTCTCAAGATCATGTTAGTGTCAATGAAAGGTCGTCCATAAATTATAGTCTCACCCTTTTTATAATTAAACAGTGTAACTTACTACTGAATCTTTTATAATAATGTTTCTTTCTTTTTTTTAATAAATTTTCATTCCAAAGTTATGTGAAACATTAGCATCATTGTTTACAGAAAATTTACCGATTAAAAATTGGTTATTAAAAATTGATCATAATAATATTGATAAACGTGCTACAGCTTTTATATCAATTGAATATCTTCAATCATTTAAATGGGCATTAGAACAACGACAATGGCATGGTGCAGTTAGATGGAATAAGAAATGGGCGCAGGTATGTTATATTTAATCATTGAATTCATGAGTCAGTTGATGCTAGACCATTGTGAAAAACCTGGAAGCACTGGACAACCATTTCATTCTAGTATGGGACTCCTCAGTAGTTTTAATGAGGAGCCGTGACCAGTGGAGTTCAACTGGGTCTGTTGTGAGATAGTAACTCACTTAAGACAATGGTGAACGGTGGTGCAACTTTTGTCGATTGGTTGAAGTTAGACATTAACACCGTTGGATGCAGGTCAGCTCAATGGTCTAGAGGTTAAGCGTTCGCGCGCGAGACTGATAAGTCCTGGGTTGCGAGCTCGTGGGGCGGGATCGTGGATGCTCACTGCTGAGGAGTCCCATGCTAAAATGAAACAGTCGTCCAGTGCTTCCAGGTTTTTCATGGTTGTCTAGCTTCAATTGACTCAAGAATTCAGTTATTAAATTGCTACAATCTCCACAAAACCCCTGTCTGAGTATGCTATATTACTTAATGATAATGTATCTTCTGTAAATGAAACTATGATTGATCAAGGAGTGTAGACAGATAAATTAATATCTGTATTGTAATACATATATTGTTAAATATGCACTTCAAGTGTTTGATTTAGCCGACGATATCTAGCAGAATTAGAATACTAGAATTAACCTGACTCTAACATATTTAGTTCATAGGGGAATAAGTATAAAACTAACCAAAATGTTTTTATCAAATCATACCAAAACTGTAGATAAAATACTCACGAACAACGTTATATTAACAGTCTCATATTGTAACATAGAAAGGTTCTGTTTGCTTTTCACACTCTCAATGATAATTCACACCAATCCTTGCAAATTAATACATTCCTCACGGACGAGTATTGTCAAATGTAACCAAGCAACCAGGGTCATCAATATTATCAATGATGGATAAAATCTGTATGATGCAATTAGATAGAATAAGAAATAGGTTCAAGTATTTTCTTTTATTCTTGATATTAGCGGAAAATACATTGAATCAGATTGTATTGACTTCTAGGATCAAACAATGAATTAACTACTAGATTAGAGAATGGATAAATAGATCTTATAAATCCCAAAACTTGACCACCTAATACACTCAACTCAATTATCCGATCAAAGATTAAGAAGTAAATATGTCATAACAAGAGTTTGTTAACATGATATTATCAAACAATTAACAAATAGAATCAAAATATAATCGACTATGTATATAACATGGTTTCTTGTATTTCATGTAGCCGGATATGTTTATGCTTATACACTGACCAAGTATTCCTTACTTCCACTTGACACATCAATTATATAGTTCCATTTTGGTTATTGAATGAAATTCTTTATTTTACAACTCAACACTACTTAACCGGCGATAAATTCCTAGAATGCAACTAAAACCTGTTATATTTGATGAAGATTAAATGAATGGTACCTTCCGGGAATTATTTGAGGACCATTACGATGTATATATATAACGAGATTCTATATATATATATATAATTCTGCTCTTTAGAAAATTAATCCATTTCCAAGCCAGTGATATGCACTTGTCTTTCAGGACACTTCTGTTTGTCACTAATTGACCTCTTCACTTGGCTACTCCTAGCTGACTGGCTATATCGACATGTACCTAACCGAAACATTTAGAAAACAATATTTGAGCAACTAGCCTATAATATATTTACAACAAGTTAGTGATAGAAAATGATATAACAACAGTTAATAAGCCGAATGAAATCTTTGAACTTGGAGGAATATCAGTCAGTCAGTCAGTAACAACGTAAGACTAGGCACATATATCCATCGGTCTAAGTTACCATACCTCATTAGCACAACAAGATGAACAACGGATTCATAGAAGTAGTTAATTCAGTGGTGGTAATATATAAAAGATTGCAATAAGGATATAGTACAGGAAGAGACAGTTAGTTCGTAGAAAGAAAGATATGAAGCGATTTCAATCTCATAGTTTAAGGGAAGACAGAGAGTGTATACACCTACGTCATTGTGATAGATTCTGAACCATGTCACCCAGAGTCTCCAACCACTGGTTACGATAGTCACGCTGGCCCCATAGACTAAATGACTGAAATATAACAACTTATCTGTCCCCCCCCCCAAAAAAAACAGTTTTTAAAGTTTATCTTTCTCATCTATTCATTTCATCTTTATCATTATTCTTCTATATTTCGCTAGATATTGTATTATTTTTTTTTGTTTAATCTTAGGAAACTACTTATGTGAAAATATTATCAGAAGTTCCACAATTACTTCAAAGACATTTGAAATTATTTCCAAATAGTTTTTATACAGATTCAACAAGTTTCATAGAAGCTTTTTTAAAACATGGTAAGTAACTAAATTAATCATTTCATTTGTTTTCCACCATTACTTATTGATATATGAACATAGGGTAAGAATGACCAGAAGTATTATTAAACTATAGAAGCCTAACAACTAGGTAGAGATCATGGTAAAGCAGTAATAAAATGGATTAGGATGGAATTAAGTATGTTACAGTCATGTAAATTCATCACAGTAAATTATTTTAAGTACAAGAATAGTAAATTGAAGAAGACAAAATAAGCATATCAAACCGTAATAGGACAAACGAATAAACAATTAATGACCAATATGTGGTAGAAGAATACTATACTTATGACCTTGAGAGAACCAATCAAAAATAAGGTAGCCCACAAATGGATTTTTGCGCAAAAATTGAAAGCTAAGTAAAATATAAAGTCAAACATATATTGACAGGGACCAAATAATCAAAACTGAGAATCTGATGGTCAGGGTTTTGTATGAAATTTAAATATGACGTATAACGTGGAGTATACTGCTTAAAACGTTCCTCACGGTCCTACCATGCCAGACAGGTCGGTCGAAGAATGGTAAGACTAAAAGCAACAAAACCAAGGCCCGAAGGCGAAGTCGTACTGCTTACTGTACAGAGATGTGATAGCAGTAAGTTGTTTCCGTCAGACAACCAGCATGACAGCGATGCTGCCTCCCCACAAGGAGGGATGGGGTTAGAAAAGGTCGACTTGAAAAATGCACACCTCAACTTATCCCACGGATATCCGTCTCCGGTGGTAAGGTCTCAACAAGTACGGAGCTAACACGAAAAGGTCAGGTGTGACCGATCTCAAGCAGTTGTCCCTTGGGCACTGCGGTCACGCTCCCAGGTCACCAAAACCACCCCTAATCCGATTTCCTTTTCAGGTACCTCTAGAAGAACCCTTCCACAATGCGAGCAACCTTGAAGTGATAACCGCCCGCGTACTTCTAACAGCACTCAAGACCACAGAAAACTACTTTTGTCTTGATAGAGTAAAAACTTTCATGTCAAACATGATAATGATCAATTCTATGTTTGCAGATTGTACATAACAGGAAAATCGAAACTATCCATAAATCCTAACACTAAACAATCAAACCACACTGACTATTCGATCTTTCCATGAAATTAATACATTCATCTAGATACTGAAAGTTTATGTGTTATAGGTGATACCATTTGTTAATGAAAACCCTTACATTAAACCTCGGATATGATTATCGAATACTCATTGATGAGAAATTTCAGAGTATAATTAAAAAATTTAAAAAAAAGTGATTGGTTAACTTGTTTGTTTAAGTGTGCGCTCAAGTGATAATCAACAAACATTTTGTCACCGATAATCATTTGTCAATTCAATGTAAACTGTGCATTCTTACAATCTGATTAGTTCAAATACAAATAGCACAAAGTGATTTGATTGGATGTGACAATTTGCATTTTCACATTTGAATTTTATTTCGATTAAATAATTCTGTTTGACTGTCCCATACGAGTTTTGATAAAAATCAGGAAGGGTGTTGTGGATATTATAGTAATTTTAATAGTTGGATTCATGAGTCAATTGAAGCTAGATCACAATGGTGAACCTGGAATCACTGGACGGCCATTAAACCATAGTATCAGTCTCGTGAGCGAGCTCATGGATTCGGGACACTGCTGATAAGTCCCGTAATAGGACGAAACGGCCGTCCAGTGCTTCCAGGTTTTCCATGGTGGTCTAGCTTCAATTGACTCATGAATTGAACTAATAAAATTTAATAAAAATGTTAACTTCTATAAAAATAAACATCAATTGTGTTTGACTAACCTGCTATACTCCTGTCTGTGTATGTAAATCGGGAAAAATCTTTTTCGATCAGGTAGAAATGGAACTGAAGTCGTTAAGTATGGTGACAAATGACGTAATATGTAGATCATTAAAAGAAAACTGACAACTGTTCTCATCAATACCTGATAATATTGACTACTGAAATGAAACGTAGTTCAATGTTTAATACAGAAGTAGTCAACTAATTTTCATCTAAGCATTTCCATGAGTTATTTTTTGAACACATCGTTCGATCTTCTAATAATCGTTCCATCTATATGTGTGTGTAAACATACGGATAAAAATCATTGTGATAAGATGATGTATGGAGTATGTATTAATCACGCCAACCGTTAAGGATCAGTGAATGAAGCAATGTTTACACTTTCCTAAATCAATAATAATTTCTGAGAAAGAAGCAAATAACATTTATGATTTGATGAATATGAAAACAGTGATACTTATATACAAATGAGTTGTTTAATTTCGCTTTAATAGTAGTATCGTAAATAAACCCAAGATTGTAATTGTGTTGAACTGTACATTGTAAGTGCAAGGGTCACATTGCCACAATTGAAGAACATATGGAACTCAAAACGACAGTCTGTTAACCAATGTCAAAATCACAATCTTCAATACGAACGTCAAGACAGCTTGTTCTCTTGTACGGAGCTGAAACTTGGACAACTACTACAACTGTCATCAACAAGGTGCACGTATTCATAAATAGCTGTCTACGTAAGATATTCAACATTCATTGGCAGGAGATACCATCAGAAACAGCCTATTGTGGGCGAAGGTAAACCAGCTTCCAATTGAAGAGGAAATTAGAAAAAGACGATGGAAGTGGATAGGACATAGATTAAGCAAATCACCAAACTGCATCACGAGACAAGCCCTAACTTGCAATCCTGAAAGGGGAAACGGAAAAGTGGAGGGCCAAAGAACACATTACTTCGGGAAATAGAAGCAGATATGAAAAGGATGAATAACAAGTAGAAAGAGCTGGAACGGATTGACCAGAGCAGGGTTGGATTAAGAGTTGTGGTGGTTGGCGGCCTATGCTCCTCCACGCGGCGTAACAGGTGTAAGTAAGTACATTGTAAGTACATTCTATGTTATTGTGCTTAGGGAAGTGCACGTTAGGCCATCTCTCTCTCTCTCTCACGTACTACCAATAACAATGCCGCCTGATCAAATCATCATCTGCAATTTTTCGGAATGTCATTTGTAAATGAGATTGCATATCATTGTTCAAATCATCGGCTTCATTTAGAGGGACAATAACAAACTCTATTTACATATTTGTCATATGTAAATATTTATTTATTTATTCTTTTTAATATTAAACCTGAAACAGTAGAATGTTCGAATAAATAAATAAATAAATAACCAAGTCATTGACATATTGGTTGAATTCAGTACAAATTCACTGGTCTACACTGGTTGAAACCAAATACATTTTTTATTATGTCGATTAGACTACTAATTACGAATAAGGTCAGTTGTATCATTTAACTAATATCAATGTTTCATTTCAATGTAATAAATAAAAGCCAACATTTGTCTAGTTGAACAATATGAAAACAAAAAAAACAAAACAAACAACCATTGAAACATTCTTATGAAATGTTATATGTAGATTAGATGATATAGACATTTGATAAAATGTGAAAAACTATTCCTAATATGTAGGCTATAATCACATTATCACTATTATTCTCAAATGATTATATAACTTCCTCTCTATAGTTTGATTCTAATTCATTAGAGTGATTTCACTTGATCATGGAAATTATGTTGTTTTATCAGTGTAGTGATCTTAGTATATAATTTCCAAATGTCCGGCGCTTTAACCGGATTGGTTGACATGGAGAGTCCACCTAGGGAAATCGGGAAAACCTCATTCCAAACCAATGGTGCACATGGGCTCCAGTATCCTGAGGGAATAAATGGCGTATGAACCAATCGTTAGTCACCGGCTACCATGAGACTGCATCTACTTACGATGCTCCACTGCCTTGTGGATCAGACCTGTAGGTCGAGGGATCCGGGTGTGGCCCCCTAAGTAAACCACCTGCTTTGGCACCCAGGCAGTATCGCAGCCCTCACACATATCGAATGAGATTTGTGTGGCGCATATGTATTTGGTGCCTCCTTGTACCAATATCTATGTGTTCAAATAAATAAAAAATAATAATTTCCAACTTATAGTACAGTAAATCAACGTTAATGATAACTTAATTTTATTCATACTAAGTTTCAGTCAACACTTAAAAGTAAAAAAGAAAACTTATTGTACGCAAGAAAGGAGTAGTTATCAGATGAAACAGTTAAAGGACAACACTGAGAAAGACATTAAAAATGATTGTTTGATGTGATTAACACAAAAGTAACAAGTAAAAGACTTCCAACGAAAAAACATAGAAATAAACTAGAACTACTTAGAAACAATAAAGACTTGATTATAACATGTCCAGGTAAAGGTGTGCATTTAGGGTTGCTAGACCGCAAAATTAATGTCGAAAAAATTACAAAGTTATTATCAAATGACACTAAATTCTTCAAGCCAATCAATGAGAAAAACAAGAGTGCAATAATAGAAAAGTAACGGATTGAAGTTCTTAGGACAATGAAAAATGATCAGTCAATCGACTGACATATCTTTGAACGCATAAAAACAACTTTTCCGTTTCCCTCCAGGATTGCAAGTTAGGGCTTGTCTCGTGATGCAGTTTGGTGATTTCATTAATCTATGTCCTATCCATTTCCGTCGTCTTTCCCTAATTTCCTCTTCATCTGGAAGCTGGTTTGTCTTCTCCCACAATAGGCACCGAATACACACATAGATATTGGTACAAGGAGGCACCAAATACATATGCGCCACACAAATCTCATTCGATATGTGTGAGGGCTGCGATACTGCCCAGGTGCCCAAACAGAAGCAGGTGGTTTACTTAAGGGGCCACACCCGGATCCCTCGACCTACAGGTCTGATCCACAAGGCAGTGGAGCATCGTAAGTAGATGCAGTCTCATGGTAGCCGGTGACTAACGATTGGTTCATACGCCATTTATTCCCTCAGGATACTGGAGCCCATGTGCAACATTGGTTTGGAATCCGGTTAAGGCGTCGGACATTCGCTTTTCGTCCTCTCATTTTCGTAAACAATACCCCCGCCACGAGAAGACAGTCAGTAGGATTTCCCTGGCAGAGGCTGTATACGTGTGGCCGTGTGAGAGTATTTCGAGAGGGAGGGCGAACCCATCCCGCTCTCGAGCGTACCAGAGCATTTGGGGGCTTCCACAATAGGCTGTTTCTGATGGTATCTCCTGCCAATGAATGTTGAATATCTTACGTAGACAGCTATTTATGAATACGTGCACCTTGTTGATGACAGTTGTAGTAGTTGTCCAAGTTTCAGCTCCGTACAAGAGAACAAGCTGTCTTGACGTTCGTATTGAAGATTGTGATTTTGACATTGGTTAACAGACTGTCGTTTTGAGTTCCATATGTTCTTCAATTGTGGCAATGTGACCCTTGCACTTACAATGTACAGTTCAACACAATTACAATCTTGGGTTTATTTACGATACTACTATTAAAGCGAAATTAAACAACTCATTTGTATATAAGTATCACTGTTTGCATATTCATCAAATCATAAATGTTATTTGCTTCTTTCTCAGAAATTATTATTGATTTAGGAAAGTGTAAACATTGCTTCATTCACCGATCCTTAATGGTTGGCTTGATTAATACATACTCCATACATCATCTTATCACAATGATTTTTATTCGTATGTTTACACACACATATAGATAGAACGGTTATCACAAGATCGAACGATGTGTTCAAAAAATAACTCATGGAAATGCTTAGATGAAAATTAGTTGAATACTTCTTTATTAAACATTGAACTACGTTTCATTTCAGTAGTCAATATTATCAGGTATTGATGAGAACAGTTGTCAGTTTTCTTTTAATGATCTACATATTACGTCATTTGTCACCATACTTAACGACTTCAGTTCCATTTCTACCTGATCGAAAAAGATTTTTCCCGATTTACATACACAGACAGGAGTATAGCAGGTTAGTCAAACACAATTGATGTTTATTTTTATAGAAGTTAACATTTTTATTAAATTTTGTTAGTTCAATTTATGAGTCAATTGAAGCTAGATCACCATGGAAAACCTGGAAGCACTGGATCGCCAGTTCATCCTATTACGGGACTTGTCAGCAGTGTGCAGAGTTTAAAAGTTCGCTCACGATACTGATACTATGGTTTAATGGCCGTCCAGTGATTCCAGGTTCACCATTGTGATCTAGCTTCAATTGACTCATGAATCCAACTATTAAAATTACTATAATATCCACAACACCCTTCCTGATTTTTACCAAAACTCGTATGGGACAGTCAAACAGAATTATTTAATCGAAATAAAATTCAAATGTGAAAATGCAAACTGTCACATCCAATCAAAACAATTTGTGCTATTTGTATTTGAACTAATCAGATTGTAAGAATGCACAGTTTACATTGAATTGACAAATGATTATCGGTGACAAAATGTTTGATCATTATCACTTCAGCGTGTACTATAACAAACTAGTTGACCATTCACTTGTACCTGAATGACTTCAGAAACCAATAGAATCGAATGACCTAATAAGAGTAGAGTATTAACTGTCACCATCCTCTATTGTCAAACACGTAATTGAAACAGGACATAAGATTGATCTTCACCCGGCTTTTGTGGTGTTGTACTAAAATGTAAAAAGGTGTATACTAAGATTTATTGGCGCTTATCCATGCGGAAATTTAAACCCCCTTTGTGTATTCAAAAACAGTTTGCTTTCACCTTAAACCTACCATGGTGATATTAGCTTATTATCTAGAATGATGAGGTTTGAAATTGTTTCCGCAGTATTTTTTTGTATTATCCTTGTCTCCTCGTAATCTTGACCTTTTGTTTATATATATACAAATGTTCTTCACATGTATATGTATGATTAGATTGTTCGGAATGTATTGCGCAAATATATCACATAATTCTGATAATCTTCGTCTTCTTATTAAACCATCGAAATTTAAATAAGAAAGATTGGTTCAGTGAAGAGTTCTCTTTTCGACGAATACATTTTCACAGTTGTACAATTACAAATATAGATACTTATGTTTTCAGGATGATGATAATAATTACAATAATAATGGTAATTGTTATAACTTGTGAACCTGTGTACCTTGTATATTGGATAACGCAACGATACCGCCAATCAGAGAGCAGCGAATTCTCGACCGAACCAGTGACGCATAAAACACGTGCGAGCAACCTAGAGTCCTTATTAGTCTCGCTTCCTGTCTAGCTCAGTCAGTTGAGTCCAGAACACCAATCTCAGCCTCTGCAATATGAATCATTTATTTCAAACATACTCGGTTTATATACCAATCAAAGAGACCACAACGTACCATAAAATATGAAACAACATTTGTACAATATTTGGCCAAATGTGGCTGTGAATGAGGGAGATAGTAATTGATAGACAGGCCAGAACTCATGAATGGTAAATCGTATAGTAATAGTCTATGGGTCAAATTAAAGCGTATAATAAGAGCGACATGAATATGAACAGTTTAGTTACATGAGAATTATACGATAAAAATATACTCATAGCATTTGTCCATAAATGGATCCCAAAAACTACCATTCATTATTCTTATTGGGATATAACAGTAATAAACTTCTATGAGACATGGTGACATTGAGGTAGAATAAACGAAGGTCTCAAAAAAATTTTTTAAACAAAGAAACTAATAATCGAAATTTATCAAAGGAATTAACTGCTTTGAACTTTTTTCTAAGTTTGTTTAATCACAACCTAAAAATTTCTTATCAATAGGTGGCGGGGAATCACAGTCTCTATGTCATTATTGTCAACCGAAATATACATCCCAGCTACCCTCGTATATATAATTGTCGACTTAATTCATGTTAGAGAATAACAGAGTAAAATAAGTCAAATACGAAAATGAATTTTGAAGAAGTATATTTTGTAAACTTGTTGATCCGGATGGACAATTAGCATAAGTAAGCGGAGATAGAGAAGAGAAGGGAGCAAAGCAAAGCAGACAAGGAGAGTAAATCGACTCATTTTAATTAATCGAGGCTCAATATTTAAAGTCAAACAAAAATAAGCTACAAATATGTGATAAGTGGGATAAGCAATGTACACACAGACGCTCATATAAAAATAGACGATGGCTTATTAACATGATCAAAATGTAACTCAAAAATGATAAATAAATCGGTCTGTTAGGAAGCTACAATAACCCATGTGGCGTTGAATAACAACGCTAGTCTCAGCTTCTAATGAGTAGACTTAACCTTTTACCTTTACTATGAAGAATAATTCAACATGTAAAGGCTAATTAATCATGTTAAAAGGATTACTGAACTGTATTTCTATTGTTTTATCACTAAACACCGTTTCTTAATTGATTGATTGATAAGTTCATCAAGATTGTCAGTGTAGCATTTTTTTTTACCGAATATGCCTATAAAAAAATTTACATCTTTCGCTGATTGTTAATTCGTTAAAGACAGAGTACACCAAGATTCAAGTGAATCGAAATGGTTCTCGTTGAAAGTACAACTTAATTAGTCGTTTTTTTTTCAACTATTTAGTCGATAAACAAATAGGATGCTTATTAATCAGATGTCTATTTTTATACAATAGTACAAATCTACGACCACACTCTATACTTATAGTAATCATGTATGCACTACTGATTGGCTTCAAGATAACTAAGGGAGTTCAACCATATCATGTACAAAGAATTTATCTACCACAAACAATGAAAGGTAGTTGTTCAATGTCGCATACTGATTAAAGTTAAACTTGTAGACAATTGGGTACTGGCTTAGTGGTCTATATGTTAAGCATTCGCGCTCGGGACTAACGATTCTTCATTTAATCTCCAGTTGCGGAGTAGGGGATGAGCATTATCAAAGAACACATGTTCGGTGCTTCCTAGTTTTTAGTAGTTGCCTGTCTATGATCATTTCATCATTTAAACTATGAAGATCCTACATCTTCCACAAATTCACCCATAAATCATTAGTTCTATTAGTATCTAAACTATTTCAAGTTAACATTTTGTTTTATCTTATCAAATATCTTACATACATATGGTATACTTTGAAACGATTAATTTGTTCATTCTTTTGGATTATAAGTTTCGATGTATTACTATGTAGAAACTGATAAGAATTTATTAAAAATAACATTCTTTATCAGAAGGGGTTTTGTGGAGATTTTAAAAATTTCACTGATTGAAATCATGATTTAATTGAAGATAGACCACCATGGAAAAACTGGAAGCATTGGATGGCCGTTTCGTCCTAGTATGGGACTCCTCAGCAGTGTGCATCCACGATCCCGCACCCCGCGAGATTCGAACCGGCCACCTCAGTAGTCTAAAGGTCCTGGGCTCGGATCTGGCGAGGCGGGATCGTGGATGCGCACTGCTGAGGAGTCCCATACTAGGACGAAACGGCCGTTCAGTGCTTCCAGGTTTTCCATGATGGTCTAGCTTCAATTGACTCATGATTTCAATCAGTGAAATAATATTCTTTGTTCATATGTAATTCTTTATAATATTCTTTTAATAAACTAGGTGGTGTTATTGAAGCATGCCCACCAATTGATGAATGGACAAATCTCTCCGTTGTTATTGCAATTCTTCCGAACAAAACTGTTCGTATAGTAGCTAGCGGCGATCAATTACACTCGGAAGATAAATTTTATACATGGGGAGAAACAAGTAAGTTTTTGTTTTTTGTTTTCTGGTCTTTATGTAAAAGGTGACTTGCATGATTAATAGAGTTTTATACACATTGGCATTCTGATGAACGTTTAAAATATTTTAAATAAAGATGGAATAAGGTGGTAAAGTAACCTGGGACACACGTTTCATCCTACTTGAGACCCATCAGATGGTTGATTTTCATATTGAAATTTCGATGCGATAACTTTCGTTTTAGTTACTGAGTGCAAAGGGTATTAATTTCCGTTCACTTGTATTAATTGTTTGAATCTTTCCGTTGATATTATGAACTGTAACCAATCAACTGCAGTTCATAACATCGACCGAAAGATTCATTACAACCAATAAAAATGATTTGAGTAGGAATAGTAAAAAATATGAAATGAATTTCTCACTATAATCAAGTAACAGTATAACTTCGTGCACTGTGACATATAGTAACTTAACCTAATAATAGTTACAGTAAAAACCTGTTGAGTGAGATTCGATCAGCACGTACGTGAAGGAAAAACAAACAATTAGACATTGACTTTTACTAAGCGACCATTTCATATAAACAGTGACTTTCCCTAGAAGAGTTTAATTAATATTCAAGCATCTCTTTAATAACATCTTATTTAACTACTATTAAGTATCCTTTGAACAAGTAGAGAAAATGTTTGTGTTTTATCCTCTCTTAAACTATCGTGTTACAAATTGATTGGAGAAATTCTCGAGATAAAATTCATTTCATTATCGGTTAGTGACTAGATTTACTGAATTGACAAATATCATCGTATTTATCATGCCCTCCGATTTGTTATGATATAATTTGATTAGAAGTAATCGACAGGGAACCCTGACTTTCACCAATAAGCCTAATCTTCAATCTTCAATAAACCAACAGTATCTGTAGAATCCCAATCCTGACCACTTAATATTGCATATGATGCAGAGTTAATTCAACTGGTGACAGAATTTTAAATTGATGAATAGAATTCAGTTAGCACTAAACGGACTAGATAAACATGATATTATTCACTACTCAGTGATCAATCAATGTAAGAATTATTACTTGGTGTAGTAAGATAATATCTAAACAGTGAGTTATTTAATTGATTGTTGAGATGCGGAATAAATATTTTGCCTATTGAATAGACACATCATAGTTAGTAGTTGGATTCATGAGTCGATCTAAGCTAGATCACCATTGAGAACCTGAACAATGGATGAAGGAATGCCCTAGATCATGGATCGACTGGAGTTAGACATTAACTCTATTGGATGCAGGCTCAGTAGTCTACAGGTTAAGAGTTCACGCGAGAGACCGAAGGTCTTGGCTCCGAGTCCAGCATGTAGGACTGTGGGTGCTACGTGAAAAGAGGTTTTATTTTGATTCATCTAGATATATTTCATACTTACGAATATCAACTGATTGCATATCAATTGAGCAATCTGTATGTTATGCCATTAGTAGTCCTGAGAAATCATCTTCTGAGTAAAAGATTTGGATTTATTTAAACTAAGCATCCTAATCTCACATCTTTACTGGTTTGACAATATGTTCAGAAGATGTTTTAAATCATCAGTTAACCTGAAAGATTTGTATTACGTTTATTTATTAACTTACCAGAGACTACTTCGTTCAGTAAGTAGTTCCTGGAAAAATCACAGTTCAATACTTTGGAAAAAATAAATTTTCTCATTATAATTAAAATTTAATTACAAAATATCGAACAGCTTAAAATGAATCTGATTGTTTAACAAATACTACGCAGTCAGATGACGTTTTTGTGGTTATCTTTGAGGATTATTTGTTGTTTAAATATTACACTACTAACACATTAATTAGTAAGAAAGTTTTTAAATCAAAATGTACTAATTTCGATTGTGTTTGTAGTACCAATGTCGTCAGTAACACCATTATGGGTAAATAATCTTAGTATGGGATTGGGTTCGCTAATGGCCAATAAAGGAGTTGTTGGTTATGTCAATATTGATTTTTTGACATTTATACATCCAGAAAAAGTAAGTAATATAAGTAAAACCTAAACAAAATGTCTTTTTTTAAAATTTGAAATTACGAACCGATCTAATTTAGAAAACTATTGAAATCCTGGAGGCATTGGATTATCGTTTTGTCTCAGGATGAGGCTCTCCACCAATTCGGATATATGACCACGTAATCAGGAATCGATAATGGGAGCTTCGGTCTGGCGCATGAAGGCTTGGCTTCTAAATGGCTGGTCCGGAATCATTTGGTGTATAAGTAGCCTCAGTCAATTCACGATATTACACTACTATCTTTTATTGTCTTTGGTCGGCACTTTCATTGCATCTAACAAGATTGAACTGCTTGGTTGGGGTCCGCGTGACTATCGTAACCAGTGGTTAGAGACTCTGGGTGACATGGTTCAGAATCGATCACAATGGCGTAGGTGTATACACTCTCTGTCTTCCCTTAAACTATGAGATTGAAATCGCTTCATATTTTTCATTCCATCAACTAATTCTTTCTTCCTGTACTATATCCTTATGTGCAATCTTTCGTTCATATATTACCACCACTGAATTAACTACTTCTATGAATCCGGTGTTCATCTTGTTGTGCTAATGAGGTATGGCAACTTGGACTGATGCACATATGTGCTTGTTCCTACATTGTAGCCGACTGTCTGATTAACATTCTTCTATTCAATTGAATTACACCAACTAATTCATAGTATAGTTATATACATATCTATCGTCCTTTTTCCAACATTAATAGAATGAACAAATATTATGGATTACTGATATAAAACCAGGTTATACAGATTTATTAGCTATGACACAATTGGTATTATTTGCTACAAATACAACTTTTAAAATTAATCAATCCACTGGTGAACATGAAATTATAGCAAAACCACCAACCATATTATTAGAGAAAATGATTGTCAAATCACAAGAAACAATAATATCAAATGAAATACAAGAAAATGTAAGTATGTTTCTTTTATTTCATTAAAGTTTTATCACGTCTATATTGTTTATTGAAAACTTTGAATGAACTACATTTTGAGAATGACCTAGAAAAACATTTCATCATTATCATCATCATAAACGTTTAGTAAGTCATTGATAGTCTAGGTCAATTAGAGATAAAAGACACATAATAAGTGAATGTTGTTGATTGAAACATGTTGTTGGTCAAGATTTGGTTTTACTTTCGAAAGAAAAAGGTATGAGCTGTAGATTATCCTTTTTATTCTGATGGAAATATGTATATGAACAAGTTGTACATAGATGCTGAATTTGTTTCATCAGTATATGGTTGTGGAAATTATTAAGTTATTGATTGAAATCTTGAACTGATTGATGTTAGACTAGCATTAAAAACCTGGAAACACTGGATGGCTGTTTCGTCCTAATGTGGGACTCCTCAGTGGCAGTGCGCATCCACGATCCCGCTCGCGGGATTTGAACCCAGGGACTTCAGTCTCGACATTGGATACCAGCTCAGTGGTCTAAAGGTTAAGAGTTCGCGCGCGAGACTAAAGGTCTTGGGTTCAAGTTCTGTGTGTGGGATCGCGGACGAGCACTGCTGAGGAGTCCCACAGTGGGACGAAACAGCCGTCCAGTGCTTCTAGGTTTTCAATGTTGTTCTAAAATCAATCAGTTCAAGGTCTCAATCAATGAAAGCGATCTGTTCACTTTTTGTTTTTCCACTCAAGTAGCTGCTTGTGCTCGCTTATAGGAAGCTTGTATATTAGTAGAAGACTTGGACGATTGTAAAACATAAAAATAAGAAATAATATATTGCTTGAAATTCTTAAAACAGCAAAGAATAATCATCAATTTAATATATAGATATCAATCGTTACAATGTACAAGGTGTAGAAAGCTACTTACTAATCATTAGTACGATAAGTTATACTGTTAGCTCTATCGAAGCGTGTGATCATGCTACTGAGATGTGTACAAAACTGAAGTTCATAAAACAACAGTTTATCCATAAAATATAATGTTAGTAGAATAAGGTTTATTTCAAATTAAAGATTTTATAAATAATGTCAATTCTCCTGTTCTACATGATTTAAAGAGATAGGACTGAGTACTTGATATACTTAACATTATCAGTAAAAGGTTGTGGAAATTTTTGAGCTTAAATTGATACCATAAATGGATGAATATTAGTTAAACCACCGTAGAAAACTTAGAAGCACTGGACGGCCATTTTGTCCTACTATGGAACTCCTCATTAGTGCACATCTACGATCCCACACAACGAACCCGAACCCGAAGCCTTCGGTTTTACGCGTAAACGCTTAATCTCTAGTCCATTGAGCCGTGATCCAACGGTGAGACCGAAGGTCCTGGGTTCGAGCCCTGAGTATGGGATCGTGGATGTGCACTGATGAGGAGTCCCATACTGGGGCGAAATGACCATCTAGTGCTTCCAGGTTTTCGCTGATGGTCTAACTAACATTCATTCATTCATGATATCAATTTAAACACTAAACATTATCATTTTTACACCATAGTGACAGAAATTGATTTTTTGTTTTCATTTTAGTCATTTTAATTAATAAACAAAGATTATTTTGTTGCTTTCTATACATAATATTGAATGTCGTGTAAAGGTTTTAGATAATTGGGTTCTCAATTCTAATTAACTCATTGTCCCCTGCCCCACCCACCTCCTCCCCTCATAGTGTACTTTTTGTTATAATTTACAGTTTCTATTTAAAATTACCACTTCCCACTTTATTCAATAAAAAGATGAAATGTGTGTAACAAATAATAACAGAGATCACATTTCGATCAATTAATTAACATAATAATAATAATAATAAATAGTGTTTTTCCCATTAAAAGTACAAAAAAATAAATTTGGGTTACCATGGTTATTGTTTCATTCACCTTTATTACATAAATAAATTAATAATCAAAATGTATTTTGTATTATTGATGCATAATTATTTCCCCCCCCCCCCGCAGTAACTCATGTGAAATGTTACTTTTAAACATCGTATTTCTATGATTTCTGGAAGTGTTCACTAACAAATTTAATTGGGATGACACTTTAAAGGTTTTTAAATATTGTCACCAGTACAAGATAGTGTTACGTCCTTGATCTGTCTACCCACTTCTGGTGCTGAAGATAACATGTCTAATCTAGATTAAGACCTTGATGCGATAGGCTGACTGATTCGACCTTGAGGCTAATATGCATGAGTTCGAAGTGAAACTAACTGTTTGGTGTAGAGAGACGAAAACTACTCTACCACCTGATTGGCTGACAAGCGCGCGATTGAGAAGAAGACAAGTCAATTGGAACACTACTCGATTTATTCCCAACTCTTATCTTGTTCCCGATTTCAGACTAATGTTAAAAGATACATGAATAAGTAAGATGACCACAGCGCACAACAATTAGAAAAATACAATTATGTTCAAAGCTGAGGCTTAGAGTAGAAAATAGAGTAGTAGAGATTATTATCAGAAGGAGTTTGTGGAGATTTTAGAAATTTTCACAGATTGAAATCATGAATCAATTGAAGCTAGACCACCATACTAGGTCGAAACGGCCGTCCAGTGCTTCCAGGTTTTCCATGGTGGTCTAGCTTCAATTGACTCATGATTTCAATCTGTGAAAATTACTAAAGATTACGTTTAAATTACAATAGCTTTGAAACAAAAAGGTCTATGGCAGTAAATCATACATCGAACGAAAGCTAATGATCTATAGAATAGACTAGGGACAAAAATGAATGTTACTATTTTATATAAACTTTGAATTAAATGATATAACGTCCCCAAAAATAGATTCCGTAGTTTGTCAAGGCTTCCTGATTCTCTGTTCACATCAGATAGTATTTGGCTATATTTTTTCTAAGTATCAGTATATAACAATGATAGGATGTTTATTATTATTTTTTCTTATGGATTCAATCGATTATAGAATCTGAGAATAAAAAATCTGGCTTAAGAAAACTTGAAAAATCTCTTAGTCGATATTCGACTGTCTAAAGATTTAAGTAGTCTATTGAGTGTGATTGTTTTAGTTTGGAAACAACCTTTTAGTTTGTCATAATCAAGGTAAAACTTAGTATAATTACCATTTAATCTATACGATATTTAAAGTGTTGTGTTCTTTGAGTTTTATAGTTTAGTTATGAAGTTCTCATTCATTTTTTGGAATATATCAGTATATTTCACAAGTTGAAATCATGAGTCAATTGAAGCGAGACCACCATAGAAAACCTGGAAGCACTGGACGGCCGTTTCGTCCTAGTATGGAACTCCTCAGCAGTAAGCATCCACGATCCCGCCCCCGCGAGATTCGGACCCAGGACCTACTGGCTTCGTGCGCGAGCACTTAACCATTAGACCACTGAGCCGGCATCCATTGGCGTTAATGTCTAGCTTCAACTAATCCACGAAGTTGCGCCACCGTACACCATTGTTTTCCGTGAGTTGATTTCTCACAACAGACCTAGCTGAACTCCACCGGTAACGGCTTCTCACTAGAACTCCAGGAAATGCCTTTTGAAGTCAGTCATTAGTGAGCAGATGATTAGTATCAGAAGGGATTTTGTGGAGATTTTGGAAATTTCACTGATTGAAAGCATGAGTCAATTGAAGCTAGACCATCATGGAAAACCTGGAAACACTGGGAGGCCGTTTCGTCCTAGTATGGGACTCCTCAGCAGTGCGCACCCACGATCCCGCCTCCGCGGGATAGAAAAGCTATATAGTAACTCGTTAATTTGCAAAATATCAATCCATCATATCAACCTGGACTGTTCCTGTTGCAAACATCAATCCATTGTCTCACATTTCATTGTTCATGCGTTTCCTTACAAATTGCATTGTAATGTCGCTCTTCCTTTCTTGATCTTCCCTCATCTTCTGCTGCCAGACATTACGTTTTTAACTCGCTTTATTTACTACTTATATCAATATGAATAGCACACACCGCACTGTAATCGATTTTAAACCATATCATCCTATATTTTCAACCACTGATCATAATTATCGTAAAGACTCTAAGAACATAGCTCAGATCAATAGTTCATGATTTCATATATTGATACTGTACTTTGATATTAATTCATCTTAATTTCTTTTTTATTATAAATGAGATCATAGTAAACGTGTATACACCACTTTTTTTTTCTCTGTTTCTTTCTATTGGCATTATATTGTTGTTGTTTTGTTTTTTCTTTTCTTTTCAAATAGAAGTTCAAACGTTACGCTATTGTTAGTACTCGTTTACATCATTCTAATTTGACTATGATACAATATTCGGTATTTTTTAAAATATGTAGAGCTAATTATATTGGTTATAATTTAAAAGTAAGTCAAATTGTACTAAAGAGCAAATTAAGTTAGTTTTTTTTTTAGTTACATATTTCATTTGAATTGATTGGTCATATTTTAAACAATTCAATGATAATTTATATGAATGTATTCCTGGAGAACCTGCTCGACGATCAATCATTTTATATACGACCGCGGGTGGGGAGAGTCAGCTCTCCCGTTCGAAATACTCTCATATAACCACGTGCATACAACCAATACCACGGAAGTCCTACCCATTGCCTTCTCACGGCGGTGGTGTTGGTTACGAAATTGAAAGGACGAAAAGCGAACGTCTAACGCCTTAACCGGGTTGGTGGACACGGAGGGTTCACCTAGGGGAGTTGGAAAACCCTGATTCCAAGCTAAAGGTGTATATGGGCTCCAACATTCTGAGGGACCAAATGGTGTATGAACCAATTATTGGTCACCGGCTACCATGGGACTACCTTGTCGATCAGATCTTTAGGCCGAAGGCTCCGGGTGTGGCATCCTTCGAAAACCACCTGCTTCGGTCTGGGCTCCCGGGCAGTATCATAGCTCACACACAAATCAAGTGACTTGTGTGGTGCATATGTATTAGGTGCCCCTTTTTACCAATAACTATGTGTTCAAATAATAACAATAACATATTCATGGATGATATTTTGAAATTCTGATCTAAAAGTTGAGGATTTCTGTTGAATCAATCGAGATTGTGATGGAAAAATATTTAGTGATTGATCAGACAAAATTTCGTTGGGGAAACTTCCAAAAACAAAGAAGAGCTTGATCGATAGGACTTGATCAGTGTCAAAGGATTAGATAGAAATGACCAATCAGTGTAAATATCACTATCCTATCTGAGATTGGTCTCTATTTAAATAGCTCAGGCTATGAAATTTGGTGACATAGGCATCTGTTTTCTGAAGAGCATGGGTCCACCTCGCTGAAATCTAGGTCAAATAGGGTTGTCTGCCTACTACATCCGAACACCTGTCAATCTCCGGGAAATCACGTGACTTAATTAATGTGCACCGCCTGTTGAAATGTTTTAAATTGTAAAGTATGTTAAACTATCCACTATATATATATATATATATATATATATATATATATATATATATATATATATATATCCTTTCTAAACATCAAGTTTGTTTATTAATTAGGATCGACAGGGAATATTATTCTCACCAATGGACAGTTATCGACGAGATCGTTTAGCATTGGTGTAAGTGATTTGCAATTTATTTCCCATATCTGTTTGTTTTTCCTTGTTTCCTTTTCTTAGTTCTAGATCATGAACTGATCTTAGGTAGACTACCATTAAAAGCCTGGAAGAACTGGATGGCTGTTCAATCCTAGTTTGAGACTCCTCAGAAGGACTCATTCACAACCCTGAACACATAAATAAAACATACGAACTCCGATTTCACCTGAAAACGTTTAAACTATAGACCATTGAACTGCTATCCAATATTGTTAATTTTTAACTTCAGTCGATTCATGTCGACTAGGTAAACGTTTTCAGGCGAAATCGGAGTTCGTAGGTTCTGCTTCTGGTTGCAGTATCGTGGATGAACATTTCTGAACAGTCCCAAACTAGGACTTAACAACCATCCAGTTCTTCCGGGCTTTTAATAGTAGTCTAGCTAGGATCAGTTCATGGTTTAGAACTATGAAAGTTCTGAAACCTCCTTAGGAGATCCCCGTATTTTAATAAAGTGGTTTTGTAAGAATTTCGTGTATAGTACTAAGGGTAGTTCTTTTAGAAAACATGTTTAGTGTTAACTAGAGGGTCGCCGGATTTACTCTCATGTCGAGTCATAAATGTACACTGTTGAGGAATGTTATCTATTACGAAAAGCTATTCAATACTCATAGTTTTCTACTGATTTTACGTTTGATATCATTTATGAATGAAAATTAACACAAGATGACAGTTATTAAAGTGTATAATAAAGTTCTGAATTCTGATATTGTCAGTCAGTCGAAACCTAACACTAACATATACATGTTTGAGTTGTTATGCTTCATATTATCCCTATGAAACGGGGTATGGGAATTAACAAGAGGAAGTGAAAACAATGGAGTAGAATATCAATCGCAGTGAGAATTTGATATGAAAAATATTGTTTCAGAAAGAATGAGATTGAAGAATAGGAAGTATGGAATGAGCGGGGTAAAGTGTTAATAGATTTGTACCACCTCAATTGTTTGTGATTCATGACATTAAACGGTTCCACTTACAAATTAAAACTAGCCTGAAAATTTGAATCTACCAAAATGGTTTAGTTCAATGGCTAGTGGATTTTGAATAAACATCCATAGTGTTATGACACACGGTGTCCGAGTCTGGTACTGACACACATGATTTCCTATATGCAGGCCTATGACCGGCTACTGAATAAGCAAACTACAAGCAAAGAAGGATGTTTATTGCGCTAAACCAAATCAAATGCATAAGCACTCAGTGAATAACATACACTTTCGATTAGAAGATTTATGATTGCCCCTCGGTATTACATAGCATAGGTTCCTACCTCCACATTCTATGAATCGACGAGTCAGCTTGCTTAAATTTCTCCACCAATCTGACTTCAGTTATGCTCACCCAGTTGATGTTCCACCATGCATTCTGCTGTCAACCATTGATATGCATTGTGTAAAATCGCCGTGCATAATGAAAGTAGCGGATAACAGTTATCTACTACAGGTAATGTAAGATAGTTATACAATATCATGGACTGATTGAAGCTAAATATATGTAAAGTTAGATGCTGACTCAGCGGTCTAGAGGTTAGACACTCACTATGGGAACTGAAGGTCCTGAGGTCGATCACCTTGTGGATCGTGGATACACACTGAGATGTATCATACAGGGGGAAAAAGTGATCCAGTACTTTCTGGTTTTTAGTAGTTGGCTAACTTAAGGTCACCTCATGATGTAGCCTGTGAAATTCAACCCATCATATTAATAATTAATCTCTAAATTGGAGCTTGAATTTAATTATTCCATGTTACAATAAATCAATCTCTCTTTGTTTTTAATGAACATAATTATTAGTTCGATTTCAGAGAGTCTTGAAGAGGCGTTGAGAAAATTTGGAAGTACTTTAAAAATTCTTCACAAAGAAGTATCAACTCCAAACATGACTGGTATAAGTAATTTCCAGGTAAATAATCTATCAAGTATAAAGTATATGGGTTTTGTTTTGTTTGGGATTCATCAGTTAGATTTTCTTCAATTGAGATCACTTAACTTAGTCGCATAAATGATTAATAGAACTTTTTATAATTGACTGATTGCTGGGTAGTGACTAACATCATGTATTTCAGGTCCTTCATAGTTTAGATCGAATTCTATCAATCAGGCTTAACTGTAGCCATCAGTTTAGGTGACTGGATATGGCGTGCACTATGTTAAGATGGGGGTTGGAGGTAGTCAATAGGAAAACTTGCTTGACCTAGATTTCGTGCTATTTGGCATTCATCAGCAAGGTGTATCTGTAATCTTAATGGAACTGATGTTCCCTGAGGGATTCTCTGATGACACGGAATCGAACATTTAATTTAATAATTGAAGGCCAAGTGCTATGACCATTAAGCTACTCTTCTACACCTTAGATTTTATTGATGATCATTGATTAAGTTATATATTTGATTTTGTGTTGAACAATATTGCATAATCATAAAAATGTTGCATATATCTAAAGTATGATGAAATGACTGAATAAATAATGCTAAATTTAGACATTTATTATTAAATGCTATGAAAGCAGCTAATCTATTGATGATATCAAAAGCCTTTATCGGCTAGAATGTTTTCGAGATGCGTTACATATAATAAAAATCAGCAAACAAGTGTTCAAATCTAATCACTCCATTTACCTATAAACTTATAATCTATTGGTCTAAATCCTATGGAGAAAGATGCAAACTTCCATATCAGGTTCCATGAGACAGTCGTAGTTTATGATTCTAGTGTAGATAGATGAAATTTCTTCGTATGAACAAAAAACCCAGGCACTTCCATCAGGAGTTTCATATGACGGTTGAGCAAGATTGCAAATATCACAAAGTCTGTTGTCATACGCGTTTTCGTCATTATCGTCGTCTCGTTCAGTGAACTCCTCTGAGTTAATCGAAATAATTTCTTCCTCGTCATTGCTTAACGTTGCATTCATATCGACGTTGGTAACTTACAAAAGATGAAGGAAGGAAATTGAGTGTTCACGGAAGTCTTTTATGAAAAATTACAATAACACTAATTAAATTACCTCCTTCGTCTACTCGGCCGTGAGGAACCGCTAGGTGTTCTACGGCCATTTCTCCAACATACGAATTTAATATACGTCTCCCGATCTCTATGGAAACGATAATCTCTCACAGCATAATGGCAGTACGTAGCTCTTTCATAATTTTTTAATAGCACTCTTCAACGCTTCAAGTGGTTGAAACGCTACGACATACAATGTGCTCAAGAATAAGTTATCGGTTTCTGTGACAACGTGAGAAACGACAGAGCTCATGCCTTGTACGCTACTATCGTCCATAATTGGAAGAAAATGTGCTCTGTCGCCATGTCCTGACATTTTATATCAATTTTAAGAAATAAACGACCAATTATAACGAATTTACAACTAGCTATTTGATTGGACGAAACGGAATGAAAATTATTGGTAAATGGGGGTGAAAAAAATTTTTCAAAAGGGATCGAAAAAATTCACTCGAAAAATTTTTTAAAAATGGCCGTATATTTAATGTTAACACAAGATTCTCAACATAAATGTCAAGAAAATTCTACTGTATGGGGCAGAAACCTGGAGAACTACGAAAGTCATGATCCAGAAGATACAAGTGTTTATTAACAGTTGTCTACACAAAATACTTCGGATCCGTTGGCCGAACACTATTAGCCACAACCAACTGTGGGAGAGAACAAACCAGATCCCAACGGAGGAAGAAATCAGAAATGAGCGCTGGAAGTGGATAGGACACACATTAAGGAAAGCACCCAAATGCATCACAAGGCAAACCCTCATATGAAATCCTCAAGATCGAAGGATGAGAGGAAAACCAAAGAACACATTACTCCGAGAAATGGAAACAGATATGAGAAGAATGAACAACAATTGGATAGAACTAGAAAGGAAGTCCCATGACAGAGTGGATTGGAGAATGCTGGTCGGCAGCCTATATGTTCCACTGAGAGTAACAGACGTAAGTAAGTATTATCAAAATTTTTATTCATTTACTATTTTTACTTTACAACATTTAACATTTAAATTCATTCAGAATCTCATTTCATTTTTAATTTAATCAACATGAAATAGTCAGTTATTAAAGAAGTAGAACAAATTCTTGGTCAAGTTATTGAAAATTCTCTAGAACAAAATATGTTAACAACAATGAAAGAAAAAGAAATACACATGAATCAATCAATTAAACCAACACAACAAAATAAAAAGATTATGAAAAATTAGATGAAGAATATTGATTAAATGAATTGACTGGTTCCAGAAGAAGAACAACAACAAGAAGAAGACAGTTCGACTTAGATGACAATATCAGCTGATTGATAGACTACTTGATATTGAACAAACTATATACAGATATCCACACACACTAAATGTATTATGTAATTGCACAATAAACAATGTTTTTGGAAAGAAAAATTATTATATTAGACATAACATATTTATCTACTACTCATATCGTGATTGTTACTTTCGTTTTTAATTTTTTTTAAATTTGCCTTCAATTATTTTAATGATTAATAATTTGAGTATTTAAATTTAATAGATTTTCTCATTTATCTACAAAATTCTTTGTTCTATTAATCATTGATTAAAGTCCCGTGGGTAGGATCATGAATGCACACTGATGAGGAGTCATATACTAGGACGAAACAGCCATTCAGTACTTCCACGTTTTCCATTGATGGTCTAACATCAATCGGTTCATGATCTCAATCAAAAACTTAATAATCTCCACAAACCTATACTATGTGCTCTCTAGTGACTAGATTGGTGAGGGAATTCTCGGAGTTCTAGTGAGAAGCCGTAACCAGTGGAGCTAATTCGTGTCGGGTAGAGACAAGTATCTACCTCAGTACAATGGAAGATGGTCAAGCAATTTTGCGAATTGGTTGAAGTTAGACATTAACACTGTTGGATGCCGGCCAGCTCAGTGGTCTAGAGGTTAAGTGATCGTGCGTGAGGATGATAGGCCCTGAGTTAGAATCTCGCTACACAGGGTCGTAAATGCTCACTGCTGAGGAGTCTCATACTTAGACTAAACGGCCCTTCAGTGCTTCCAGGTTTTTCATGGTAGTCTAGCTTTAATTGACTCATAAATTCAGCTACTAAGTTAAGTAGAATAGTTTCGTTATCAATATTCAACTACTCACTTAATAATATACACCGACAATACAGTATAAGGAATTAACGTCATGAGTTTATGATGAAGATGATTATATATAGCGACTCATTCGAGATTTCACGTTCCATATGCATTAAATAGATAATTTATGATATGGGAAGATTTTCAGACAGTGACATCTATGGATGATTGGGTTAATCTGGTATGATTGACTCTAAAGTTCATATTTTCTTTGAGAAGACTTATACAAATTAACTTATAAAATATTTTCACTGTTCTATTCAGGAGATTACTTACTTTAATTATGCCTGTTACTCTCAGTGGAGCATATAGGCCGCCGACCAGCATTCTCCAATCCACTCTGTCATGGGACTTCCTTTCTAGTTCTATCCAATTGTTGTTCATTCTTCTCATATCTGTTTCCACTTCTCGAAGTAATGTGCTCTTTGGTTTTCCTCTCATCCTTTGATCATGAGGATTTCATATGAGGGTTTGCCTTGTGATGCATTTGGGTGCTTTCCTTAATGTGTGTCCTATCCACTTCCAGCGCTCATTTCTGATTTCTTCCTCCGTTGGGATCTGGTTTGTTCTCTCCTATAGTAGGTTGTTGTTGATAGTGTCTGGCCAACAGATCCGAAGTATTTTGCTCCTGTCTCTCTCCATTTCTTGACATAATGTGTTCTTTGGTCTTCCTCTCCTCTTTTGACCTTGAGGATTCCAAGTGACAGCATTTAGAAGATTAGTGAATAAAAATAAATCTCTTATCTTACTACGTATAATAATGATCATCGTGAACTCACAAGTGATTAGCTTACAAATAGATTTCACATCTTTGATATTAAAGTTAATCAAGTTAAGGTTAGATAAGAGACTCATCAACGAAATGAAATGATGATATTCATTAAGATTACACTAATTGTCAAACTGAATAAGATTTAAAATCTTGTCTATTGATTGCATGTTATCATGAATGACAAAAGTCCTTGTTCAATCCATTGTGTGATGATGATATTGGGAACATGTATTCTCAAAATTGGAACAGTTTATTAGTGTATCAGTAAGAAGCTGTGGAGATTGTCGAATTTTATTGGAATCTTACTTGTGTAGTGGGATATACTTACAAGTGTAAGCACATTTAAGGTATTTTCAGTGGAGAAGTAAGCATCGATGCAGCGAACAAAGGGTGGGAGTGATTTTATTTGACGAACAGATCGTGGTAAATTATTCTAGAGTCTGAAAAATTCATTGCTAAAGTGATTCATATGGAGAGAACATTTACAATGTAATTGTTTCACCAATGACAAGGAGTTATGGATGCTATAACGAGGAGTTTCTACATATTTAATTACTTTATCGGATGTGAAGGATAGTTTATTAAGTGTTTTGGAGAAAAAGATTAGATTTAGTCTGAGTCTTTTCTTCCACGAACTGTCCAGTTCAATTTTATTACATCAACACTTATAATTCAAGGTACAATCAGTTCCTAGAACTCGAAGTGTAAATCGTTTCTGTAAGGATTCCAACCTTAGTTTATCCTTTATGAGCACGCTACTAAGAATAAACATTCAGTGTTCTACGAGTGATCGAATACGTACTTTATACATCAAAATACGTGACTCGTTGTCACAGAAGTTACGAATTATGTAACCCATGAGGCGTTCGAAATTGGAGATCTGTTTCGAGACCTATTATGTGAGGGACAAATTGTAGGAGTATCTAAGTCCTAACTTCACTGCTGTTTGTAACTTAGATAGTACCTTACCATTAATTGTAAGGTCTAACTTGAGTGATGTATTATCGAAGCATATCGATCCATATTTAGCCGTGTTAAGCTCCAACTGCCATGTTGAACATCAATAGGCTACCTTGTTGAGCTCCATATTGACGCGATTTCGCATATTGTTCAGCTCATGAGAAGAAATGAATATGCTACTTTAAGATCATCTCTATATAGAAGAGGCTTACCCATATAAAAGCAACCTCAAATATCGTTGGTATAAATTGGGAAGAGCAAAGTGTCTAAGATCATAACTTGTATTACACGACTTCTGACTGGAACAGAATCTGACAATGAAGATTTAGTTTGAACTGTTTGGTGTCAGTGGCTGAGGACAGAACTAAACCAAGCAAACAGAGGGTTTTGGACCCCGTACGATGCGACTTTGCCTATAAGAAGCTGATGGTTAAACATGTCGAAAGCTTTATAAATGTCGGAGTATAGCACTAGAACTAGATATTCTCGGTTACGTTGAGTAAAGACAAAATTGAAGAAGTTAAGGTGGTAGGTCATACAAAATGGACTTTTAAGAAAGCCGTCTTGAGAATCATTGATAAATTTTTCAGTGAGTAAATAGTCGAAGAGTTCATCACCAACAGTTTTTTTCGGTTATCCTAGATATAACTGCATTAATATCTATGGGCCAATAATTGTTCATGTCAGTTTTATTGCCAGATTTGTAACGTTGTACGATATATGCGGTTTTCCAACAGTAAAAGCAAGTATCTCTCCCGAGAGAGAGAGAGAGGGTAAACAGCCTTAGAAGAAGGACTGGAATACCTGTTCCACCATATATTTAAATAAAGGATGAATCCCCGTCTACTCAATGAGCTCTTAAAAATTTAAGGGAGTTTATAGCCCTACTAATTTTCAGGTATGTCAAAGAGATAAATTTTATTGAGTTCCTAGTCACATGCCTGACTCTTAAAACAGTACCCTTTAGGAATCCATTACTGTTCGCAAAAATACCACCAAAAAGGTTTGCAATGGTTTTAGAGTCATTTATAAAAGTGCCATTATCCAGGATGCATCGTATATCATCATTTTGAGTTGCTTTAACACGTTATTGAAAAGGAGAATTAAGTGCTAACGGCTCCTGATTAATGGCTGTTAACCTGTGCTTTTCTTTAATTTGGTTAACAATTATGGTTATTTGTGCAACTACCATGAAATTGTTTGACTTAAGCTAGCGTGTCTACAAGTGTCTTAATTTATTACAATATTTAGCTGGCATAAATAATTCGTTAGGTTTACTAAACATGTATGTTTTAAGAGATGCTCAGGAATCTAAACAAGAGTTAGTGATCAGATAGAATGTGTCAATGGCATCCACGAAACGACTGCTTGAGAAGAAGATATCCGAGCCTGAGGATCTTACCAGGAAGTGCAGGAAGTTCCAGTCAGCATGTCTATAGTCTCTATATTGACAGGCTTTTTGTATCGGTTGTTAATAAGAGGGACGGAGTGAGAGAGCAACAACTACTATTTTATGTTCGTTGCTCTCGACTTGATTGTATACTTGTATAGACAGTGGGATGATATTTCCACAAAATATTAGATAAGGCATATTATCACGCCTTGTTGAGGTACTAACCTACTGTAAACAGCAGTACATGTTAAATGTCACTGAGAATTTACCATTACATGACTGAGAACTACCGCTATTCCAGTTTATTTCAAGGTGTGGATTTTTGGAAGTGGCGAGTATATAATCCAATGAATCATTTATATTTAACCTTTAGAAAATACAGTGAATTACTGATTATTCATCCATTTTTGAGACGAATAGATTGTCGTACATTTAAATTTGAACTATAACTTAAAATAATTTAAAATTTAAATTAGACCACCATTGAAATCCGGTAACCACTGAACGGACTTTTCTTCATAGTATGGGATTCCTCAGTAGTGCGTATCCATGACCCCGTACTCATGAATCAAACCCGGGACCTTCGATCTCTCGTGTAAGTGCTTAATCTCTAAATCTCTGATCGGTCCATGATTTTAATGAACTTCAGCAATCTGATTGTACAATTTTCTAAAATACTGAAGTTATTTTGAGCTTATTACAGCCATAATTACTATTTGAACTACATTATTCTGGACTGAAACTGTTGTAGTGTGTGCTACTTATATCTACATAAATAGTATATAATGCTAGTCAGGAATTAAGTGTCTGGCAGCAGAAGTTTGAGAAGATCTAAGAGGAAACAACGGGAACAAAAAGTAATCGGTATGGAAATGCAGAAACAATAAAGTCTGAGACGATTAATAAACATTTTGTAAATGAAGTATTGAATTATGGTTTGTCTGTTTCATTCAGTAACTCTGTACTTTTGTGCTAAATATAATCTGTGGTGCTCACCTGTGTTCTCCTTCACTACACTGTTACTTCAACATGGTGTTCTGACTCGCATATTGTGATAATCCAGTCAAGCTACTTTAGCTTGAATATCCGTTTCTTCAGATCTAATAGTTGTTATTAGGTGATATTATTAGCAAAAAAGGGAACAGTTTCCTTTTAAAATGAAGCAAATTATTATTTATATTTTCACTGTGTAAATACTAAACACTTAGATTATTCAACTCTTATATTTAGCTGTTTGTAAACGTTTGTTTGATGTATGAAAATGTTGAAAAGAATAAAGATTCTAGCAGAATAGCATGAAGCCATTTTATTTCGTTAGTTCTCGTCAGCTGCCTATAACCTGTGATATTTAAAATTATAGTTACTAGCTGGGTTTAAATTACTTACATGAAAGTGTTTAGTTGGAAGTTACTTTGAAGATATATCAATGTAATATACTAAATTACTTACGCATGTTACTCCTCGTGGAGAAGTATAGGCCAACCAATACCACTCTCCATCCAATCATGTCCTGGGCAATCCTTTCCAGTTGTTTTTTATCCTTTTCATATTTGCTTCTATTTCCTGACTCAGTGTGTGTTTTGGCCTTCCTCTTTTCCGCTTCCCTTCAGGATACCATTTCCAACGTCTTTTCCTAGTTTCCTCTTCAGCTGGAAGTTGGTTTGTTCTCTCCCACAGAAGGCTGTTTCTGATAGTATCCGGCCAATGGATGTTGAATATCTTGCGTGGACAACTGTTTATAAATTCTTGTACCTTCTTGATGATGGTTGTAGGTAAAATAGGAAGGGTGTAAATAAATTTAATAGACTGGATGAAATGTTGTAAATATGTACCTTATGTAACAGAAAATTATACAACATTGAATGCAACAACATTTCAAACGGCCAGCAACAAGTGATTACATAATGGGTCGAATCCTGGGTTCGAATCTCGCAGGGGGCGGGGTCGTGGATGTGCACTGCTGAGGAGTCCCACAATAAGACGAGACGGCCGTCCAGTGCTTCCAGGTTTTCCATGGTGGTCTAGCTTCAATTGACTCATGATCTTAACCATTGAAAAATTATTTAATTAGTGTAGATGATTGATAATTAATTCAATAAATGAATAGACAAATCGAATTTACAATACATTTGATGACTGGACTCAATTACTATTCATTTAACCAGTCAATTATAACTGTTATCAGTTTAGGGGTTTTGGAAATTGTTAAGTTTTTGATTGAGATCATGAATCGATTGATGTTATTCAAACGATCACACTTACCAAATGATGACCAATTTGACCGGGTCAAAGGTTGATACAATAAACTATGGTTTCAACGAATAATTGGATAGATTCATCTATTAAAAACGATCAGATATATTAATGCTTGTAATTAGAAGAAAATCATTCTAGCACGGTATTCTAAAGTCAACAGTTACAAATTGCCACTATTTTTTAGGATCAGTATCAGTTAGTTATTTCTGAGTAAGTCATTTTAAACTAATGTTTGCCTTATATCGATTGATATAATAATTACAAAACTTTATTCCCTAACGCCTGTTACTCCTCGTGGAGGAGCATAGGCCACCAACCACCACCACTCTCCATCCAACTCTGTCCTGGGCAATCCTTTCCAGTTCTTTCCTATTGTTATTCATCCTTTTCATATCTGCTATTATCCGACGTAATGTGTTCTTTGGCCTTCCTCTTTTCAATTTCCCTTCAGGATTGCAAGTTAGGGCTTGCCTCGTAGTTCAGTTTGTGTTATATCCCGATGAGAATAATGAATAGTAACTTTTGGGATCGATTTATGGATTAATACTATACATATATTTTTATGGTTTGATTGTTAAGTAACTAAACTATTCATATTCGTGTTCCTCTTATCATAAGCTTTATTTTGACCTGTGGAATATTATTATACGATTCACCATTCTTGATTTATGCCTGGTCTATCAATTACTAACTCCAACATTCACGGCCAATTTTGGCTAGATCTTTTAAAAATATTGTTTCCTATTTTATGGTACGATGTGGTCTTTCTGGTTGGTATATAAACCCAGTATGTTTGAAATAAATGGTTCATATTGCAGAGGCGGAGATTGATGTTCTGGACTTAACAGGAAGGGTTAGGCAGAAAGCCGAACCTGTGGAGACTCTAGGCTGCTCGTACGGGTTTTATGTGTCATTGGTCCGGTTGATATTTCATTGTTCTCTAATTGGCGATATTATTACGTTATACATTGATAGGGGCACAAACTCATAAGTTATAACAGTTTGGTAATTTTCGTAATGTATGTCCTATCCACTTCCAACGTCTTTTCCTAATTTCCTCTTCAGTTGGAAGCTGGTTTGTCTTCTCCCACAATAGGCTGTTTCTGATGGTATCCGGCCAATGAATGTTGAATATCTTACGTAGACAGCTATTTATAAATACGTGCACCTTGTTGATGATGATTGTAGTAGTTTTCCAAGTTTCAGCTCCGTACAGTAGAACTGTCTTGACGTTCGTATTGAAGATTATGATTTTCATATTGGTTGATAGACAGTTGTTTTCAGTTCCATATATACTTCAATTGTACGGATGTGGACCTTGCTTTGCCAATCCTCGCCTTTACGTCAGCATGTGATCCTCCTTGTTCATCAATGATACTTACCCCAAGTAGATGGAAATTTTCACATCTTCCAGAGTTTCGTCATCAATTATTGATTAGGTCGATGTTCTCTATGTTGTATTCAAGAGTTTTCTAGCTTAGGAAACTTAAGATTTTTCAAATAATTCTACACTCTAAATTGAATAATTGACTTATGAAACTTTCATATTTCATTCAACATTAGGTTGAAAAAAAAATAATGAAAACTTTCTCAATTACATGGTTACTTTTTTTTGTTTTCTAAACATTTAATTGTTTCAGGTTTAATATTTTTTTTTAAAAAAAATAAATAAATAAATGTAAATAGAATTTGTTGTTGTCCCTGTAACACATCAAACTCGATGATTTGAACAATCATTCTAGACATTTACGATCTCATTTATAAATTGAGATAATCATATTTTGGTCAAACTGTATATAGTTACAAAACATTTTCTGTTGACAGTACATAAGAGAGAGAGAGAGAGAGGGAGAGAGGGAGGGCGAGAAAGAAAAGCCTAACACTCACCTCCCAACTACAATAACCCGATTTACATTATTAAATACACAGCGAAGGATTGTTTTTTGTTTTTTTTTGGTCAACATTCTAAACTGATCAACTCACATTGAATGAATGTACCATGTACAATTCAAACACAAGTTGTTGTTGTTGTTGTTGTTGTTGCTTTTATTTGGCTAACAGTAAGGTCATTTCATTCATCAGTTTTATTACAGTCAAAATAGGCAAATCAACTAATAATCGGTCTAATCAACAACAACAACAAAAGGTCCAAATGCTTCCATAATACTACTACTACTACTACTACTAATAATAATAATAATAATAATAATAATAATAATTCAATTATATAAATCTTAATTAAAAGTCAAGTATCTATTCTTTTCTATTTATTACATCATAAGTTTATTATGTCGAATGATTAGACATGTGTTACAGACCCATAATTAATTAATTATTTATTTATTATAATGATATGGATATTGACCAGAAATTTCTTAATCATAACAATCACATGTTGTGATCATGTTTCTCCATCAACTATAAATAACCATGGTAACAGTGGATTTTTCTTGTTGTTATTGTTTGCTTTGTTAAACAGAGTCCTATCAAACATAATACAACATATTACAATTATACTACTTAATCTATTATAATGAGTAGTAATGAATTGTCTATAATGAATCAGTTAAATTCTATAAATTTATATCAATCAAATAAAGAATATCAAATGTCAATGATTTCTACATTAAATGATTTCATTGAAACCATAAGAATGATATTTACTGAAGATCATATTGATATCAATGAAGTATATACAATTTTAAAGAATTTTCAGTGTGATTTCTCAGAATGGAGCAAATATATATTTTATCATAAAACAAAGTAAGTTAACCTGATTTACATTCTAAACTGATAACAATCTAAGAAACATGGAAATATTAGAGATATTAAGATTTTGATTGAGATCGTGAACCGATTGATGTTAGACTACCGTTGGAAACTTGGAAGCACGGGACGGTCGTTTCGTCCTATTGTGAGACTCTTCATTGGCAGTGCGCATCCACGATCCTGGCCGTCCAGTGCTTCCAGGTTTTCAATGGTGGTCTAACATTAATCGGTTCATGATCTCAAACAAAAACTTAACAATCTCCATAACCCTTAAACTGATAGATATTAAGATGTTAAAAAAGATTTCTAGCTCAAATGGATGATTTTTTGTTGGGGACGTTAGATTTATAGAACTCACTTGGAAAAGGACCTAAATTTGTAATTTCATTTAGAAAATTTGAATTTCTTTGTTTTCGCTCTAAAAGCGTTCATTTTCACCTTTATGTCGTATTTCCCACTTGCGAGGATCTTAAATGCGATTGGTCCGTTGTGTTTTTTAGTGTGCTATTTTGTAACTCTCCCCAAGGACGGTTTTGTGCAGTATATATATACGTTTTGATTTGTGTCTGTTGTTATCACTCGTGCTTCTGGCTATTTGCGGAATATACTTCCCCATTCCAAGCTTAGGCTTTTTCCTCTAGTTAGCGGGACTGGGATGTATCAAATAGCTAGCTTATTGGTTTTTGGTCACCGAGTCTTTGTTCCGTTCGTAGTTTAAGTGAACTCGTAACTGCTTTAAACCTAGCAATTTTGATGGAGTTTTATTCTTTGAGTTGAATGGTTCAGATGTGGAGTTTTCATTGTTCTTCTCGATGAAATCATCAGAACAAACTTCAAGTTTGTACTCTACGTTCAAATCATCTAGCTCGAAGAACAAAACTTCATCAAACTACTAGAGATATGTTTTTGTTAGATTTTTTTGAAATTCTCAGTAGTACACATTCATTATTTCAAATGAGATCCAAAAACATCATATAAATCGTTTACTGGAAAGAAGTTAGTATTAAGTGATCGATTCAGAGCTATTTTATCGTTGTTAACATGATCTTCAGTAAATATCATCAAAGAATTTCAATCTTCTTCATAAGTTTGTTTGATTACATAACTTCATGAAATTTATTCTTAAGCTGATTATGAAGATGGAAACGATTGTTACATAATCAAATATTTTGTTAAAAGATTTTTTTTCAAAAGATACTGATATGATTCTCATTGTGAAAGGGCTATCTTATTCGTCTCAAGACCTGTATATGATCATGTACCCACCATCCTGAACAATAGAAATAAACCAAACTAAATAGATGTCCGGTTATCTCGTTGATATTATTCTGTGGTAAAAAAGAAAGACTTTTCTGATTTAAATGAACATACTACTTACCTATTTGTGGTCAGTTACTACGTACATTGAAAACCTACTTGCTCATGGATCTAACTCCATGTTGGTTATAACTGATTGACTTTAGTACTCATAAAAACTGGTATTTCCATAACAATTATTCGTTTTTCAGGAGGGGTTTTGTGGAGATTTTAGAACTTTCATTAGTTGAAATCATGAATCAATTGAAGCTAAACCACCATGAAAAACCTGGAGGTACTGGACGGCTGTTTCGTCCTAGTATGAAACTACCCAGTAGTGAGCTTCCACGATTTCTAGAATCTCCACAAAACCCCTTCTGATAATAATCCTCTGTTCACTAATGACTGACTTCAAGAGGCATTTCCTAGAGTTCTAGTGAGAAGCCGTTACCAGTGGAGTTCAACCACGTCTGTTATGAGATAGTAAATCACTGAAGACAATTGCGTACGGTGGCGCAATTACGTGGATTAGTTGAAGTTAGACATTAACACCGTTGGATGCCGGCTCAGTGGCCTATTCTTTATTTGTCAACACATCTTCATTCCTCTTTTTTTTTCTTTCCTAAATAAATATTAGATACACACGTAATTTGATAGATGAAGGTAATGGAAGGTACAATCTATTATTATTATGCTGGAGTGAAGATCAAGGGACAGGAGTACATGATCATGCTGGAGCTGATTGTTTTGTCAAAATTATAAAAGGTAATATTAAGATTTCTTTTTTCATTGAATCAAAGTTACACACACATTCTTGAAACACAAGTATTGACTTTTCATATGATTTAATGATTTTAACTTTTGGTAATTAACCAATTCTGACGATTGGTAGAATTCGGTCAGGAATAAAACAGAGTTGACAAACACAACATTGTTCGCTACTCAGTGATTTGGGTGTTAGACGGTTATCCACCTCAGGCAGCGGATAGAGGGTTGTGCAAGTTCATGAATTGATGAAAACCAAACATTAACACCGTTGCATGACTGCTCAGTGGTCTAGACATTAAGCGTTCGTGTGCACTGTTGAGGAGTCCTGTGATAGGATGAAGCGGCTGTCCAGCACTCCCAGGTTTCACTAGTGGTTTAGCTTAGATTCCAACTATGAGAAAACTCGATGATTTATCAATTGTAAATACTTTAATTTTCTAATAACTATTAGACCGATTTGATGGCTGAATTAACTGTTATGATTGTCAAATCTATGTCTACTTTGATGTTTTATCGTATGATCAGTTTTAAATAAAAAGGCTATATGAGTTCAGAAGAGAACATCCCATGTTCTCATGTAGTTACAATTTGAATTGATGTGAATAGAATAAGTAAATGAAGGTTTTATGGATAGAGTCCTTAGAATAATACACATCATAGGCTGTCATCATTAGATTTTACGATACAACATGAATTATAAAGTATGGATAAGCTCAATCAATCATCATCTTTAGTTATTCCTTATTTAATTTCATTCCTTTACTAATATCATTGTTGCTTATTTTACTATGGACTAATCTTTACTCAGTTTTATTACTTTTTGTGGTTTTGTAACATGTAACAAATATGAATCAATTCATTCTACTTTTACGTTACTATGCTTATCCAACTGACTGTTTGTCCTATTCGTATATAAGTAATAGATTAGTGATTATTACAGTTTCATGACTTCATGTATTTCATTGGTCTGATCAACCACATAGTATCACTAATTGATGTATTTTATGATCTGATGCAGTCGCTTTTCGTACAATACGACAAACCTATTACAAAAATAATAAAATTAAAGTTAGAAGGAACTGAAATATAACGTATATGAATCATAAATATGTATATACAATTCTTCTTTAGATCCAGACAAAATTGAACAAGTTGAGACTGACTTCTTCCAATAGCGTACCTTGTTCATGATATTTCACCTATAGTTTTACTTTGATGTGACATGTAAGCATAGCCACTCTCCCAAGCTATCAACAACCCATATATAAAAGAATATAACTTAAAATCATGTACATAAAGTTATACCTAATAACTTTTGATAAGAGCAAGAACAAAGATTTAAGTTAAATTGTTTTATGGATTAAAACTTTTTCACCGGTTAAAATCATGAGTCAAATGAAGCTAGACTACCATGGAAAACTCGGAAGCACTGGACGGCCGTTTCGTCCTAGTATGGAACTCCTCAACAGTGTGCATCCACGATCCCACCCGCGGGATTCGAACCCATGACCTAACAGTCTCGCGCCAGGCACTTAACCAACTTTTTATTTAGCTTAATTATAGCATTAACTAAGTGTTCAATCTATGTACATTTAGGTCAGATAAAAGAAACTATTTACGAATGGCCAAAACATTTCAGTCCAAAAAATTCATATAACTCTACTAATGAAACTGATTCTCCATTAGTTGTGAAATCAGTAACTGTAATGAATCCTGGTGAAGTCACCTACATGCATGGTAAGTTGAATGTTTGTTTGGTAACTTAATTTGTCCATTTTTTTTTGAAATCTTGATATCAGAATGTTGTTTTTGTAAACATTTAATATCGACCGAAAGAAGCAACAGTTTCATTGTAATTATTGATATTCATTAGTATTAACATACTGTTACTTGTAAAATGTTCCAGATAGACGGGTTTAGTTTAGTAATTGACTTCTAGTAATTCAAGTACATGGAATGTTTGAAAAAAAACATATCGATTCTAGACATTCTAAATTTACAACGTTTCGATCATAAACTCAACCAAAAACCGGAAATATAGATAAAGTATGTACATAAGTAATGACTAGCAGTAGAATATCAGATACTCATTTTGTCCTATCTGGGACTAGTAGCAACTAGATGTATCTGCATTCGTTTTGATGTCTAAACCGGGACTTCGACCCTTACTTACTTACTTAAGTAAGTACCTATCATTTAAAAAAACCTTCACTTGGTTATCCACTGAGCTCCAACTACCTACAAGTTACTTAGCTAACATTACTTAGTGATCCTAGTTCAACAATCCCTTAAAACCAAGAATCACTAGTTTAACTAACATTTAACCGATTTATTAACTGTACAATTTAAAAATCTTTATTAACCTCCAATTCTAACTTGAGAATAGCTAGATTCATATCTACTGCATTAATTCACTGGTAATTCAACTATGTATAGTGAAACAAGAGCAAATGAGACACTTATGTGTGATCATACTCTCTGGGTCGTTCATGTTATAACTTTTTGTATAGCGTTACAATTTGTTCATTAACTGGGTACTAGTATTTTGTGTACTGTGACAGAATCCTCAATATCTGTTGTGGAAAACTAGGTGACATTATCTTAGATTGGTTTATCTTAAGAGATATAGATGTTTTTAAAGAAATTTAAATAATACAAGTACCTGATAATTTATTAATAATTGGAGTTTACATTTGGCTATACAATATCAACATTGGGATCTTGGTACATTCAGCTGATGAGTTACAAATAAGACGAAATTCAAAACCTGAGACCCACTGTTGAATATCATATAAAGTATTGTCAACTAGTAGTTACTATAGAATATTGGTTCATCAGTCTAAAAAGTTAATAAGCCATATAGAGGATGACAATGCAAACCTGAATATTAACGACATGAAACTACAGATCCTTATTAGTAACAATGAAAACTGTGTTCCACTGGTTGACTGTTAAGAAGTTCGAATTAATCAACTATCTCTTATCAAGACACTACATTCAAGTATCACAATACGTCATTAGATGGTATTTCACACCAACCAATCCGAACAGTCATAGACTATGGTTTATCAACTACACAAAAAAGTTATTTTAAATATTAAAAAGAGTGAGTTTGGTTAAAATCACAAGGACATCCTCATAGTATGGGACATATCTCCCAGTTGTATTCTATTACATATTTAAAAATACTAACAAACGATAACGTCTAACAATTATGTCGATGTGGTGTAGATGTATAATCTCTATATCATCCATATTATTAGATCTTATTTAGGTGTCACAAACATTGAACGATTTGATATTACTAGAATAAGAGAGTTTGTTAAGATTGTAGTTATTTCATTGGTTAAATTATAAACCGATCTTAGCTAGACTATCATTGAGAACCAAGAAGTACTTTATGATTGTTTCATCTTATTGTGGAACATCTCAGTAGAGGTCACTCACTACCTTATCACAAAGGATAAAACTCAAGAGTTTTGGTTACAAGCTTGAACGTTTAACCTCTTGACCACTAAAATGAAGACCTTCTGACTCCCAAGGCAGAGTTTAGAAGATTTGAATAATTTTTTTCTGGTTAGCGTTTTTTTAGCGAGTTAGTTTTCTACGGGATGGGGTCGCTAAACCTATGCCCAACCCTCCTCATTTATCCGGGCGTGGGACCGTCAGTAGCCCCCGGAGGGACTCCAGGCAGAGTTCTAGGCCACTAAGCTTACATTCAATAATCTACATGTTCAACTTCAATCAATTTGTAATATTACATAATCATCTTACATTGACTGTGATATATAATTATTTCATAAACAACATAGCTGATATTACTTGACCTCAATGAATCATCTATCATTTCAAGTTGAATTACTAATGGTCTGGTATTATATTTTATTTTATAGATAAAATTGGAATACATCGTTTACAGAATCCTAGTAAAACAGAGACTGCTATTACATTACACTTATACTGTCCACCTTATACAGAATCGATGAATTTTGAAGAGTCTACTTCGAAAACAAGTAAAGTGAATGTGATATTTCATAGTAAATTTGGTAAACAGATTGTGTAATAAATAAATGAGTAAGTGAATTTGAAAAACAAATTTCGTTTTGTTTTAGTAATCTGAGAATTTGGTAAAATTGGGATTTCAATGGTTGAGATTATGAGTCATTTGAAGTTAGATCACTATGGAAAACCTGGAAGCACTGGACGGCTGTTGTGGGATTCCTCAGCAGTGCGCATCCACGATCCTGCCTTGAGAGATTCGAACCTAGAACCTATCAATCTCGCGTCTAGTCCAGTGTTTTTAGGTTTTCCATGGTGGTCTAGCTTCAATTCGCTCATGATTTCAACCATTGAAATTACTATAAAATCCAAAAAAACCATTCTGATATAAAATTGGAATTGATCAAATGAAAACATAGAATCAGTTTAGGAATTCATCGATTATTTATTAGAACTATGTTGACAAAATGCAAGATTCTCTGTTAGGAACCAAAAAATCACAAATCTATGATTAAAGTTGTTGAATGACATAAATTAAATTCGTTCTCAATAAAGTAGATGTTAGCTTGACGTTCGTTGACGTTAGAAAAAAGGTAGGAGTGTCTAAACCAAGATCTAGAGCAGTTTGTCATATAATTAACTATTAGATTGAGCCATATTGACTGGTACAGATTATCTGGTTGGGATTCCTGGAATTAACGTTATAAATGTTTTGTCACAGTTCAGTATGCGTCACAGAAAATTCCTGAAGGCTACCTCACGGATTTCCGTCTCCGGCAGTAAGGTCCTTTGACGAACGGAGCTAACACGTTAAAAACCTCCAACAAAAAAGCCGTGCGCGACCAGCCTCAAGTAGTTGTTCCTTGAACTCTGTGGTCACGCTCCCAGGTCGTTAAAACCAACATTAATCCAACTTCCTTTTCAGGTTTCTCCCGAAATACCCTTCCACGGTGTGGGTAGCCGGGAAGTGACATCAGCCCTCATACCCATAACAGCACACGAGACCAAGTTGGTCACATTCGAATCCTTCCTACACCTCCTAATACCTCTCTTATCTCCAAGACTAACTGACTGACTGAGTCAATCAGTAATGAATAAGAAAAAAGAGAATTCAATGATACTATGGGTTATTTTAATGATCGATCTGTATTGTTGTGTAATTTCAAGCATATAAAGTCATGTTCAATTTCCTAGTTTTGAATAGTTATTTTATCAACGTTCATTCATAATATAGAACTAACACAATTCAAAGATCTTTACAACTTTCTACACTAAAATAACTATCATTATTATCCGTAAGAATTATAACTAACTTGTATGATTCATAATGTCGTATTATCATTTACTTCATATGTAATATGTTTTCCTTTTCCCTTCATATAACTTTTGTAGGGAACTGAAAAACTCAACTTACCGGGGTATGGTCATTTGAAACTGTGTTAATACAATTAGAAATGACATGCATGAATAGAATAATCTCAATATATAAAAGTATTGCATATGTAATTTATTATATTTTTTGTAATAATAATTAGAAACTGTTATATTTATACAAAGTTTAATAATTCTATATGAATCCATTTATCATTACTAAAGGGAAGGGGAAAATCATTGAGAACAACTAAATGTATTTGAATATAAAATTGCAGAATTAATTGTCTTACACTTTCTGGGTTCTTTCATTTCTATACCAATTACTCACTGTTCTCGTCCTTCAACCAAAGGACGTGTTTACTGAGCAGCAGTTCGTTCCGTCCTACTTTATGGCAGTGAAACATAGCCGGTAAGAATAGAGGATATCCGTAGGTTACTGGTATTTGATCATAAGTGTCTTCGAAACATTGCTCGTATATCATGGGACCATCGAGTAAGTAATGCAGTTGTTAGGAAACGGGTACTAGGTAAGGATGGCAAATCGATTGGTGAAGTGATGAAACTTCATCAGTTGAGATGGATGGGACACGTGTTACGTATGCCCAACGACCGACTGCCTCGACGTGCGATTTTCAGTGGTATAGGAGTAGGTTGGAAGAAAGCTAGGGGCGACCAGTCCAAAACATGACACAAGTCCATGAAGTCACTGACGAGTGGATTGAGTCATATTGGTAGGTGTAGACTACATGGTTGGGGACCGCGAGATGATAGCAACCGATGGTTAGAGACCCTGAATGACATGGCTCAAAATCGTTTACAATGGCGCAGGTGCATACACTCTTTGTGTTCTCCCAAATTTTGATCTCCTATTTCCTCCTTGTCTCTTTTTTCTCTTCCCAAATTTACTTCACTGGATTATACTCTTTAAATAACATCTCCAAACGCCAATCTTCCCGATTACTGCTTGTACTCTTAATACCTCTACCACTACGGTATTTGAATCGACAACTGCATCTCTGTGCTAATGTGGTGTGGCACCTCGAACTGATGTACGTACGTACAAAGTTCTACGTTGTTACTGACTGACTGACTCTTTTCTTCTATTCGTTCTTCTCGACCACAGTAATATCACAAAGTATTTCACTTTCGACTATATATATATCTGTCGATATTAGTAACATACACTACAATACAATCAATAGGTCAGACGAATTCTCATCTTAGTTAATTACTAGTCAAGAAACTTTATGAATAATAAATCATAATGAATGATGAAACTAGGAAAGTTTTGTCACCAAGTTAAATGACTACAATTTATCATTAGAACAACAACCAATGAGTAACAAGGAAAAGTTCATAATTGTGAAAATGTAGGAAAAAACGATTAAAAACCAACTACTTAACGTATACTCATTAACAATATATAAATTAATCTACTAAACAATACGTTTTCTAGTTTTATGATTTGCATTTCCTGGATTGGTTGATGTTAGACACTAACACCATTGGATGCCGCCTCAGTGGTCCAGTAGGTTAAGCGTTCGGGCGCGAGACTGAAGGCTCTGGGTTCGAATCTCACGAGAGGGATCGTGGATGCGCACTGCTAAGGAGTCCCATAATAGGATGAAATGGCCGTTCAGTGCTTCCAGATTTCAAACGGTGGTTTAATATCAATCGGTTCATGATCTCAACCAAAAAATCTAAAAATGATTGGAATTCATTGAATTCGGTCAGTTCTGTTAACTGACTAATGTCAGGAACAGTAAAAGTTGTTTACCTAGAGTTCATTTCGTTTACTGCAAGTTATTACGTACAATAATCTTATATATGCTACCACAAGAAAACATATATCTCATCAGGGAACCAAATTACCATAAAGAAATTATACTAAGATAATGATGATCTGAATTATTTCAAAATGAACTATTTTGTAAAGCTTTATTCTGTATTGTTGATAGCTGAAAAATCTGTTTTGTCTTGATGTAGTGATAGGAATTGTACATCATAAAAGTTAGATGGATCTACGTTCAACTAAAAACTTGTTCCTTAATACCCTATTATGACAAGGAATAAGATTAAAGGCAGAAAATGTAAAATTCTACTGTCGACAACAGTGATTGTGATGACCAGGATCTTACATGACGCTTAGTTCGTAAAATAGAAGAGATTAGACCTAAAAATGACCATATCTCACCTTGACACACAGATATCTGTTGGAAGAGAGTTAGAATTCAATAAAGATAGGTCACTTGTAAACGGTCTCAAGCAGCTTTTCCACAGACTCCGTAGTCATCATTGCACATCGGGAAAGTATTATTTTTTTAATGGAAAAAGTACTTTCATAGTCTCAGTAACTGGAAAGCGTCAATCACAGACACATTTTCAGTAACATCTCAGTTCATCAATGATGCTTTTCGTCGATACACTTCTAAAAATGTTTTGTTTACAGCTAAATATTTGAATCTTTGCTCCGTTAATTCGTTAAAGTTACATATTAATGGTCTAACTCAGTAATTTGAATTAGTTAAAGTTGAATGCTGAAGAGATGTAAGTATCTTCAAGATAGTTAACAGACTTGAATGAGATAGTAATAACCGAACTAAGTCGACAGTAACGATAAACGTTCGTTAGTAAAATCAAAGAAGATACTTCAAACTTCGCGAGGTTTAAGTCCAAAAAATGAGGCTAAGCTGGAATTTATGTTTAATCACGTCAGTCTCCCAATAAATTAAAAAAATATTCTCATTACTCTATACTATAATTCTCAAGAGTCACACAGTGTTGATAGATAAGATAGGCCTGTTCAAATCATAGTAAGTATAACCATTGTGACAACAGAAATGCCTTTGCAGTATTTAGAATGTTTAAAATTATGTAAAAGAATGAGAGTGATAATGTTAAATGTACAAAGAGCTTAATGTTTTCTATGTAGAGCGTATATAATATACGAATCAACTTTAACTAGTAATGACTAAACCTAACTAGGAACAGAGTGGGGAAATCTTAACAAACGCTTTACATCTTTCAAAGAGTTCGACAATATAGAATTTTATAGTCATATGGACGAATGAATATTTTTATTTCCACTTACAAATAAAAACGTATGTAGCAAACTTCAGTAGATACGTTACTTGTAAAAAATCCTACATTTTCCCACAAACCATTCATCAATAATAAGTTTTTTGATTAGTCAACAAACAGTTGTCATACCTCACTTATATTCTGAGAGTACTGGGAGAATGAATTATTTGCTTCGTAGCTATCATATACCATTATAATACGACAATATGAAAAGTGATCGAGAGTATGCTATCACAAAACTGAATACTCGATTGATACGGTATACAGGCTGGAGATCACATTATACCAGATACCAAACTGACGACCATTAATGAGGAACTAGATTGTGGGCTAAACAATACTTTATTCGATAAAATTACTTACTCTGTAGGTCCAGAGTAGAAGTCAATAGTAGAAGGAATACGGGATACGTGTTTCGTTCTATTTATAACTTAATGGCTAGATATATCTGCATTTCAGTGTTGAGGGTTACACAGAGATTCAGACATAACACATATCGCCCCTAAACACTCAGCACGTTAGCCACTAGCTTGTGTAACATGTACGATTTTTAGATCATTATTATTAAATATTTAAATTATCCCGCTGTTTATTTTTACCCATAAACCATAATTAATTGATTCACTGGTTTGTAGAAATTCATATGGTATATAACAGAAATAAACGAACGGAAATTCACTTTTGAATAGAATAATTCATTGTTGATCTGTACATAAATATGATGGATACACAAAGCAAAGATAAACGAAAATACACATCATCATTACTATTGATTCACATATTGTATCCCTTTCAGAAGAATAAACAATTCGTTTAGGAAACAAAAAGCAACAAAAAAGAAACAAAATACAATACAAAGTGTACAATAAACATCAAGATAGAGAGAAAGAAGATGAAAAGTGAGGGGGGGGGCATAATTAAATAAAGAAAATAAACCATAAATAATTACATTACAAAAATTAGCATAGACAAAAATGGTCATGGTCTCATTATTCAAACATCATCTTTTTAAAAAGGAAAAGATAAACTCAAAAAATGCTGCTTTAGTAGAATAACAAAACTTAACGACAGAATGTAAAATTCAGGCTAAAAATCATGATTATATTTTTCCTCTCTTTGTAAATTATATCCCCTATGTCAAAATTTTTGTGTAATACACGTATACTACTTATCTTAAAATAAGTAGTAACACGAAATCACCGAAAATGACGAGAGAGAAATGAATGTCATTAGGACGGACAGTAAAGAAACAACTTCATACATATTAAGGATAATCGATAGAAAAAATTAGATACCTAAACAGGAAGTGAGTAAGGATAGGAGTAAATGTGAAAATAGAAAAAGAAAACACTAAGGAAACAAAAATCGGGAATTAAATCACTTCCATTAGCTATTCTTACTGATGATTCTGTTGTACAGAAGAGAGTAGAGAGCAATGAAATTGCACAGTAGTAATAAGCTGACAACCTCAAAACAGATACATAAATAGATGAATATAATAGGAAACTAATGCCATAAGTGTTGATAAACTGAAATAAGTATGAACAAAAAAATGAACAAAAATAATAAATATGTTGAGCATACGCACTGAGGTATTGTTGCACTCTAAATTTACAAAGATTTTGATTTGAATCAATAATTATGTCACACACACACACAGGGAGAGGGAAAAAGGGAGGAAAATAATCAAATATACAGTATCTATATCATGATTGATATTGTGCATAAATGTACAAGTAACTTATCACCACCATTATGGCGATTAAAATAAAATGCAATTCAATTTGAAGAAAATACAAAAACAACTCAACAGTTACCATAATTACATAATGATAATGATAATAATAAATGATGTTTATATTTCTTGTAAAAATATTAACAATTAAATTCTTCTTGAGCTATAGCACTAAGATCCTTCATTAAACCTTCTAAATTAGCCATTTCTTGTGTAAGTTCTTCACTACTAAATGCTTTTTGAACACCCTATTTAATAGTTGAAAGAAAACAAAAAGAAAATATCAGTTAGAAACGACAATTCAATGAAGTCGGAGTTAAGATTATTTCAGTTGTATATTTATATCAACTCCGCCTGGAGTCCCTCCGAAGACTACTGACGGTCCCAAGCGCGGATAAAGGAGGAGGATTGGGCATGAGGTTAGCGACCCCATCCCGTAGAAAGCCAACTCGCTAAAGAACGCTTACCAGAAAAAATTATTCAAACCTTTTAAACTCTGCCCTGGGAATCAGAAAGTTTTCATTTAGAAGAGTTATGACGCCTCATGATGAAAGCCGAGTTCATTCGGAAGTCATGAGACCTATGCCTTTTCTGACAAACAGAGCAACCATTTATTTAGGTACATGGAATTTATATTTATGTAGGATAGATGTATTTTTATAAGATCAGAATATGAACGATATTATATGCCGAATTTACGGTTTTTTATAAGTCCGACTTGCAATTCCTCGTAGTGTTCACTGGATAGTGGATGATCATTTTCTTCATGAACTAACGTAGGTGACGAAGCAGAGACCCGACTGACCACCCGCTCTGATGGAACCAGTGATGATCGAGCTAATCACCCACTCTATCTTAATTTTGATTAGCAAGAGGAGTGAGGTTAACTTTGAATTAAGAGCGCGATTGTAGTGCTAAAGAACAGATTCTGTCTGGAAGGGGTCATAAAGTCCGGCAGGAGTAGGTCAGAGTGTTGGCCATAAACTGTGTCGTAACCAGTGCACGGGGGTTAACACTAAAACTGCTTGTGGTATGAGCGTGAAGTGAACACATCGTCTACGATGATTTAATTGTATAATGATTTGAGTGCTTGATATTCATTCAGTGATAAAATCCAGTGGGATATGGCCTGGAGTAATTGTATCTAAACCTGTATTTATCCTACGGAGTGTATGTACTTCAGTCCATGCGTTCTACATGTGCATGTAATGAATATTTACGAGTGGAAACTTCTACATCTATATATACTTGTAGGATGAGTGGACTTGTTTGCTCATTCCACGACTAAATGTAATGCATCCTAGCAACTGCACCCCACCTATGATTATATGTGTATCACTGGAATGTATGCATCGCTGAATGTGAATCCAAATATGTGTATATACAACATACTTGGGAGAAAGTCCTACGTTTCTCCATTGATGAACTAATAAACAGTTCATCTGCGCTTTTCCTTTGCATAAAAGCTTTCGAAAGGGGTAAGAAGGTGTATTATAGGCCAGTATATGTTTGTCTGCACTACGCAGTGTGGGCAAATTTAAACCACATACTACTGATATCACAATCCATAAATACACATAAAGACCGCGAAGTGAACCGAAACGAATATCTTTGCCTTGCTTTCTCCAGTGGCCAGTCGTACACTCTTTACAAAGTCCATCTAATTTCCCGAAGGGCCAATAGGTTTCTCCTACTATGCTCGGAGGGAATAACTAACTAAATATATGAACGAAGAATAAATATTCTTTTCAATAATTCATGATCAAGTTCTTCAATTATAGACCCAAATTCATATTTCAAATGTACTTTCCAATCAAACATTTAATTTGGTTTCGAATAACATTATTATTCCTTACATTCCATATCGCCTAAACTTATTCTGATAATTATAATCCCTCAATTTTAATGAATACATAAACTAGATACAATGGGTCAATTAAACATAAGTCAAATGATAAATTAAAAAAATGCTGATGAGACGATGTTATTGGTTAGGATTTGACATTACTTCTGAAGAAGAAAAAAACACGTTGTTGGTTGGAAATGTGGTTTAATTTTCTGAAGGACATGTATCAATATTTCGACATCAGCTGAACGATTTAGCCAATAAACACCTCCCAATCCGAACTTTTAATCTTCTCACTTAAGTAGTTGGTTTGAGCTCGCCAATTAGGAAGTTTGTATAATCAAGTAATCAGACTTGGATAACCGTACAATATAACAAAACTTATTCAAGTTGACATTGGATGTTGACCATTTGAACAGAAAAAGGATTTTCTTATTTTACAGACAATCTTAAAATCTTATCCTGTAGCCTTCAAGAGATGTTTTGGCCTACTAGTTTGATGATCCACTCAGAACATTAATTTAAACGCATAACTGTAGAACCTAAGCAGAAGTTATTTGGAACAATATTTTTTGTTAAGACAGACATGCGTTTATAACATAATATATTCATTGTCGCCTAACACTTTCTATCGAATATCAGCTTAACAATATTATACATCAGTATTAGGTGAGGATAGACAGTAAGTTCTGAGTTGGCCTATGTTCCGATCTAGCTGATTCTCGTTAGCAAAGGATACCTGCAATTTTGAGGGAAGTGAAGAGTCCCCGTAGGAATCGAATTCAAATCACCCAACTTCATAGTTCACGACATAACTTCTGAGCTATTCAGGCAGTGACTGACCACTTGTAATACTGAGTTATGTTTATTCCTTAGCTATTTGATCGAATTTTGTCGACCAATTAACAATGTGACCACCACCAGTCTCAGTAACTCAACATCTTATGAATAGGATTTTTAAAATTAAGTGATCGGAGGTATGAAAGCCTGAACTTAATTTTAGTCCTGGTTGCCACTCGTCAGCAATGTATATCTATAGTCGTAATGAAATCGGTTTGCTTGAGATTAAATATTTCCCGAGACAGTTTCTGCTGCGAATCCAACTAATCTTTACAAACTATTCAGCAAGAGTGTCGATCACAATTACATGATATTTATGCACACTAACAATGGCAGAAATCCACTTCAGTAGTTACTAACCTCATGTTCACCTTCAACTCCATTGTTATTTGCAATTACAGAACTACGATTAGATCCTGGTTTCATGTGTGCCATTGTATTGTTATTACTATTATTATTACTACGATTCATGCAATTCTGTTGGTCTACCACAATAGATCCACTGGAATGTAAATCAGCATTTCGCTCATTTCGATTTGAATTAGGCAATGGTCGCCGTCTAGGTGATGTTATTGAACGAGAACCAGTTGCTCCGGATGAAGTACGTTTCGATTTAGGTGTAGTATGTGTATGATTTGCAGGACTACTAATGTATGCCTTATTCCGCGAATGATCATCTCCATTAACAGGTAAAAATTTCTGAGTTACTAAATATCATAAAACAAAAAAAGGATAAAATAGAATGTAGAAAAAAGACTATTTGATAAAGTCAACATTGTACTAGAAAACTCCCATATTAATGTTTGTTGGTAGCTTTCGGGAATTTATCGGCATATTATTAACATTTGTTTTAACTAATAAGTAGACTAATGCAAACTACTCATTTTTTTCTTCAGTAATCAGAAATTAGGCAATCAAAAATCCAGTAAAGTAATATGAAGCAATAGATAGTTATCTATAGAGGCATATACAAACAGAACAACGGAAAAGATGAAGCGATAACTAATATAACGGAGAACACAAGTAAATAGAGATTTACTTACACATGGGGGTAGATCAGAAGTAATGCATATCTAATCTACACTTTCAAACAATTCACTTTTAAAATACTCAGGGTGTAATTGTATCAGGAAGTTTAGACTTCTACACAAAAAAAAAGAAAACTAATAGTCAATAATGACTTTATTGACTGCCACTACTTGTATAGACTTAAGTTTTCTTTATAGTTCCAGACATAAATTGACATTAGTTTGTTGAGCAAATAAATCAATATTAACAATGGGATAATTAAAATCTTAATACATTGTCTTATGTCTATTTATTTTCACAATTCTGGTCATTAACATTACTTCGACTTCCTCTTCGTTATGGATTTTATTAATTTTATCACTGTGTTGATGTGATGCTTGGGCTACGTGTTGCGTATGCCTGAACACCGATTACCACGAAGTGCAATGCTAACCGGTGTTCGGGATGGTTGGAAGAAAGTTAGGGACGGCCAAATCAAAACATGGCATCAGTGCTTGAAGACACTAACCTCTAGTCTGAGCCATGTTGGGAGATGCAGACTACTTGGTTGGGGTCCGTGTGACTATCGTAACCAATGGCTGGAGACTCTTGGTGACATGGCTCAGAATCGATCACAATGGCGTCAGTGTATACACTCTCTGTCTTCCCTTAAACTAAGGGGTTAAGATCACTTCATATCTTTCTTTCTACGAACTAACTGTTTCTTCCTGTACTATATCCTTATTGCAATCTTTCTTTTATATATTACCACCTCTGAATTAACTACTTTTATGAACTTGGTGTTCATCTTGTTGTGTTAATGAGGTATGGCAACTTGGACCGATGCATATATGTGCCTGGTCCTACGTTGTAGCTGACTGACTGGCTGATGTGATGTAATCAATTCAAGTTGATTAAAATTGATGCCATGTCTTAAATATTCTCTTTAACGATTGGATTACATTGAAATTCCTTCATGTGTAGAACATTCAAAAATCGAAATCATTTAGACTAACTTTTAACAACAATCAATATAACTATATATAATTCATGAAGTTATATTTATGTAGAGAACTATTTCTTTTCTACATACATACTACTCTCTCTTCAACACATTCCCATTTTCATAGTTTATCACATTAGTTCCTCTCTCTCTCTCTTTCTCTCTACAACTGTAACATATCAATCAAAGTTTCAATATATTATAATCGGTGTAGCAACACAGTATTTCTAATGCTGACATTCATAAAAGATCGGATTGTAGAAACAAAACAAAAACCCCACAAAATATTTCAAAGTAAATACAATTCATTAGAAACAAAGATTTAACATTCGAATTACTTGAAACATAGAACAAAACTTATGCACATTATCCTTTATTATTATTATTATTATTATTATTATTATTATTATTATTATTATTATTATTATTATTATTATTATTATTATTATTATTACATATTTATCTCCTTTCCATGTCAAACGTGGTTAAACAAATAATCAGTTTTTAATTAAGAAAGAAAGACTTAAAGATTAGTGGTAGCCAAGATAAACAATAACTATATTGATAGTATATTTTCTATACAAAATAAAATGCTGTCTGTTTTGTTTATTTATTTTGTAATGGAAATGGAATTGGTCCCGATTCCCCGTTAATACGTTATTCATACATTGATAAATTGTTCTACCAGTCCCCCCACCTCTACTGAAAATAACTGGTTATTAACTGTTGCTTTGTATTATTGTAATTCAAACAATTTAAGCTTATATCTTTGTTCTTTATATATACATAACATTGTATCCTGTATCAATTTAATAAACTGGTATGCATTTTGTAATAATGTTTAGAATATAATTTGTTTCTTTTTAACATCATAAACAGCTGACAAAATAATAATAATAATAATAATAATAATAATAATATTTACACATTCATACCCTAATTTACAAACCAATGACACACAGGTTAACCGTAACATAAACAAGTCGATTAATCATAGATAAGAAAGTTTGAAGTTGATTTATCGATTACAGAACAGGATCATAATGACGCCGATGGCAATAACAGTGATGATGATAGCAGGGGAAAAGGATGAGTGTATAGTAAACGTTCAATATATATATAACAGAAGAGTTAGTGATGGAAAAAGCGGGAACATCAAGAAATGAAAAAGGGGATCTCCAATCTAATTCATAATGGTTTGGACAATCTTGCTGTTGATATTTTAATTGGAGTTTGGTTGGCATACGTGCATCCCATGTGGATTTCTTCAATATACCTATTATGACAGAAGCTTGTACAGAATAGATGGAACGTGGCTAGTAACAAAACCAGTGGTGCGCGTTTCATCCTATTTGACTATCTGAACTCAATAGCTTGATGCATAATGCGTTAGCGTTTGAAAAGAATGGTACTGGGGTCGAGTCATGGAATGAAGATAAACTCTGAGATGCCGGTACTTTCGGAAGACAATTCCTAAATAGGACGAAATGCACGTCCTAGATACCACTGCTAGCCACATTCCATCTATTCTACACAAAGAGGATTCATAGAGCTGTTAGAATCATGAGCTTAACTTTAACCTCTCAGTTACCCACACAGTAAAAAGATATTTCTTGTTGAGGGATCTGAAAATGAAACTAGGTTAGTGGTAAGCTTATTAACCTGGAGGTGTGATCTCACAGCCCAAAGAACAGCTGTTTGAGGCGGTCACGAAAGATCCTTCTGTGAGGAGTTTGTAATGTGCCAGCTTCGTGCTCCAAACATTCTTACGGTACGAGGCGAAAATCCGTGAGGTAAGGTGGTGTGTAACATTTTTAGAGTTAACCTTTCCTAACCCCCTCCTTCCGTTTTTAGAAGGCAGCATTACTACAAGTACCGGTTGCCTGAAAGAAACACTTTAGTGTGACCATATCTCAGCACAGTCAGCAGTACGACTACGCCCCCGAAACATGAGTTTCCTATTTTTAGTCTTACAGTCCCAAAAGTTAGTGGAAAAATGTACATTGAATGGGACCGTAGAATATGATAAAAAGTAATGAATAATGATCATAATACGCAGAAAAAGGCGAAGGAAAACGACTTTTTTTTAAACTTACAATCATTTTCATTCACAGAAGTTGATACAACTGGTCCGATATCTTCTATACAATAGATAAGAGAGAATGAAAAATAAATCTGTGTGACGTACGAAGGGGGAGGGAAGAACATACACGACCACGACCAAATCATCGAACTCAGAGAACGAAAGCAACAAAATCATCTACTTGAGCCACAAATCTTCACCATTTCCAAACCAAATCATACCATATACGTAGATTATACTAAATACTAGAATGATTAGTATATTTAAGTGCTCAATGTCACCTTGAGAGCTTACTAAACATATTTATTTGAGATGAGAAAAATTCATTTAGACTTTGCCCTAATTTGGAGTAAACTACGATCAAGGGAAAAAAAGAAGACCAAGGAACAGATTGAGTTGGGAATTGGAAGCAGATATCAAAAGATGAATAGCAACTTGTAAAGTTTGTCCAGGATAAATTTCGATGGAGAATCCTGCTGGGTGGGTCTATACTCCTCCATGAGAGGTAACAGGCATAAGGAAGGTATCGTGAATACGACTAAAATTTAGAAAAGATCAGAAACCTATCCACCTTTCGGTTTTCTGATAACTAAACAGTATAAAATTAATTAATTTGATTTTAACTCATTTGCCAAGGCACAAATGATTCATGTACTTTTCTTTGAATCATACTCTAAAAGTGAGAGCTTGTGAAACTAGCCATTTGTACATATCAAAATAAATAGGGAAAAGTTTAAACCTGTAATTTAGTAGCTGAAAGACAAACACCTTAACAACTGATTTACTCCTCTAATAAAAACTCCATCATGGTGTATCATCATTCAATGATTGTATGGAAACTGAACAGTATCACGAGACTTCTTTTTTCTGGATAATAGATGCAAATTATATACTCATGATATAGATCGAAATCTATGTTAAACATTTCACTATATGTAACAAGAAGAAAATATCGAAATAGTTATTGTTCTGGATTACCTGAGCTTGTAAATGACATAATTTCAGCCGCATTTACTCGAGGTGTATTCACATTGACAAATCCTGGTTGACCAATAGGTGTATAGGCGGATGGATTAATTACATGAGCATATGTAGCCACCATTTGAGCTAGAAAAAGATTTTGGAAAAGAAAACAAAAAAACGATGAGATGAAGAAGAAGAAGAAGAAGAAGAAATAATAAACTGAGGAAATCAAAAAGATATTATTCACTTTAACTTGAAATAATGTTAAAGATCGTTTTACTGATAGATTGTAAAGATTTTATTGTTTTTCTATGTTACATCCCGATAAGAATAATGAATGGTAATTTTCGGGATCCATTTATGGACCATGAGTATATTTATGTAACTAAACTGTTCATATTCAGGTCCCTCTTACTATAAGTTTTATTTTGACCTATGAACTGCTATTATACGATTTATAATTCTTGAGTTATGGCCTGTCTATTAATTACTATATCCCTCATTCACAGTCACTTTTGACCAAATATTGTACAAATGTTGTTTCATATTTTATGGTACGTTGTGGTCTGTTTGATTGGTATATAAACCGAGTAGGTTTGGAATAAAAGATTCATATTGCGGAGGCTAAGGTTGGTGTTCTGGACTCAACTGGTTGGGCTAGACGGGGAAGCAGGACCAATCAGGACTCTAGGCTGCTCGCACGTATTTTATGCGTCACTGGCTCAATCGATAATTCGCTGCTCTCTGATTGGCGGTATCGTTGCGTTATCCAATATACAGGGCACACAGATTCACAAGTTATGGCATTTTAGACAAAAATGATAAAATGAGTTTTGTGGACATTTTTAGGGAATTTCACAGGTTGAAATCATGAGTCAGTTGAAGCTAGACCACCATTGAAAACCTGGAAGCACTGGATGGCCGTTTCGTCCTAGTATGGGACCCGCGGGGGGGTTCGTGGATGCGCACTGCTGAGGAGTCCCATACTAGGACGAAACGGCCGTCCAGTGCTTCCAGGTTTTCAATGGTGGTCTAGTTTCAACTGACTCATGATTTCAACCTGTGAAATTCCCTAAAAATAAATACAACCTTCAAACTTATAATGTAAATTCTTCTTTGAAAATATTTCCTACTTGAATAACTCGTCAATAGAGCTTTTCTGTGATGGAGAGTTTGAAGATGAATATAAAAAGTGATATTAATTTTGTTGAAATTAAAATTTATGGGCAACATTTGGGAGAAGCCAAAGTGACCTTGAGAAGCACCAACTACTTAATAGGATCAAAAAAGGATTATAGATTTGTGTGAGGAATTAAAATGAAGATTAAGAGTTAGAAGATAGAACTAGGAATTACAGTTAGTTTTCATCACGAACTGACCTCAGTTATAATGCCTAGATAATATTTAACCATATAGATGGATAAATTTCGCGTCAAAATCCAAGACTTGCTATTTTTTATTTCATTGGTTCGCCTCGCCGAAATTTTCTCTAATAGCACAGAACAGTCCCGCGTTTTCTACTCTTGAACGTTGATCGGAACACAGGAAACAAAGACCTGCAGCCTGCATTTATCTATATTTACGCCTGATGTTTCAAATCATATAGCAATATGAAGTCGATTACTGCCCGAAACATCCCCTCTTTTTTTATTTATAGACGGACATTTCACCTAAGTCACAAGTGGAGCAAGTTAGTAAACGTAAAGCGAGCCTTCTAAATCTATGTCGGAGATTATTTTAATCGAAGCCAACTCCACCACAGTAAAAGATAAAGTACAAAATAAAAATTTGAACCAAGAAAATCAATAATCAAAAACACACAAACATACACACAAAATAACATTTCCTGCTTACACTGATCGATATTACACTGTACAGGATATCTTGATGATGATTGTCCAGTATAGACCATATGAGGTGGAGGTTGAGGAGCAACTATTGATGGAAATCGATCTGTTGGCATTCTACTATTTAAATGATGATTATACATAGATGTAGTCGGATAATAGTGTACCAAATAATTGTGCATATTATTATTATTACTACTAATACTATTATTATTAATACTATTCGATGGCATGATAGAAGGTAATAAATGATTTGGATAACCGGTAATTGGAATACTATTACTATTGACTGATGAATGTGAAGGAATGACCATAGGATTAACTATATTTGGAATTATTGACGCTGTTGGATAAGAATAGCCCAAAGTTGGATCATTCTGAAATAGAGAGAATGACAATGAATAATTGTATTGATGATAAACTTGAAATATCTTTTTATTTGTAAAAAATAATATTTAAAATAATAATATTTGATTATCCCTTGAAACTGTATGATTGTGTAGATTGAAGATTAAAGATAGAGTATAGCTTTATGTTGTTTGATCATTGGGCAGTGGCAAATATCATGTGTCTAGTCCCTTTGAGCTGATGATCGAATTCTATTAACCAAGTTGCAACCAAAGTCACTAATCTAAGTGAACCTATATTGAATATACTATATTATGATGTTAAATTAGTTAGAACTCATCAACAAGGCGTATCTATAGTCTTGAAAGCACTACAATATTAGCATGTGAATGATTATTAGCGTCGAAGTATTGCTGTTTGACGGATGTCTAATCTATTCAAGTTCCTATTCCTTGAGTTGTATAATAGGAGAATCTTTAAACATTTATAAGTAGAATTTATCGTAGGCTAACAGGAAACTCCAGTAGACATGATCATTTTATTAAGATTTGACAGCAAGATATTATTTACACGAATATCTAGTACAATCAGTGATACAACAATCATCAGAATAACGGAAATCGTTCAATCAGAAAATAAAACAAGTTAATTTCGATCAGATTCTCTAATCGATTATCAAGTATCTGGAATTCGAAGTTAATTTAACTAACATAATTTCTGAAAACAATTCTTATTAGTGTCTACTCATCCAAAGGTGAAATCTGTATAAGTTTGCTGGAAAATTACCATTATTAGCTCAACAACTACGAAAACATTCGTATGAATGACTTTCAGACAATCACTAAACGTGAACGCTATCGATGCTACTCAGTGACAAACCGAAGTAATTCGAATAGAGCTTGAGTCTGTAACTTAGTATATGAATTTCAAAGGCCTTACATGGAATATCGTAGTTGTTATACAAGAAAGTAAAAAAGCTGAACGTAAAACGAAGGAAATTATACAAAATTAACAAACAACTTACCGGAAAACTATGTACTTGGTGATAGGCTAAATTAGGTATTATTCTTGTCGGGGTACCAATGCTACCATGGGCTGAATTTGTACTTCCAGCACTACCGCCATTTGTTGGAGTCAATTGTCCATGACCACCAGTGGTTATATTATTGGGCGATTGACTACTACCAACTGTACGTTCTTGTGATACAGAAGCGAATTGTAATGAGTCAGAATCACGATCCCATGAATATGAACCAGTATCTATATTCAGACATAGGTAATGTATAATATTTTCAAGGTTTAGAAGTTAACAAATCAAGTTTTCATCATTGTAACTATTCAAAACGTAATACTGGCATGAATGAAACTTCTTTATGTTTCCAGGTTTATTGGGTCACTAAATTATAGAGTCTGCACTTATTACGCGTTCGCTTTATGTCTCTTCTTCACTATAGCCAATAACCTTTTCTGTCCAACGACACAAATCATCAGAAATACTAACGCCTATTACTTTACAAGCTTCTTGTATCATCTTTCTAAGTGGTCAATCAGAAGAAGACTTCAAGCAGATTTATCTTTTATTATTGCATTATAATCCTGACCAAAAATAACTCACTGAATCATCTATATTAATTACTTCACCATAACGCATCAAGATAGATCATAATATGTGCATAACTAAGTCATAGGTAATACAAATCTGAGCAATAGATGTATTCTGTTGTTCGGTCGGTCAATTCTAATATTGATATACACACTTCCTATATGTGAGCATAAACCAATTACTTGAGTGAATAAACCAAAAGTGAGAAAGTTTTCTTTGAATAACCAAATCGAAGATACAGGCACAACTCAATCACATTAATATATGTATATCCAGGAGGACTAAGCCAAATTTTCAAACAATAGAGTTAAACTTGATCTTGAGCAATCAACATCTCTCACTTATCATTTAGTCTGTCTGAATGGCTTATTGTAACAACGGCTAAAAAAATATCTTGAAAGATAACCTCGCCTAAATATAGAGCATTTCAAAAACGCAAATACTTTTTTATACGTTTCCAACTATAAAGCCGTTACTCTTTATGACATAAAAATTAGTGTACTCTACTTGAGATAACACTTAAATCAGAGTGACGAAAAATAGTTTACTTAAAGAGAGTTTAGTGGTTCGAGTAATGTTCACTTTGTTTATTGCTATCTCGAATTATTTCCCAGCTTACTTCCATACTTTATATGAACTATGGGATATATATATATATATATATATATATATATATATATATATATATATATATATGCAAAATGTAAGTTAAAACGGCATTGTACATATAAAATCTAAATCTGCTGCACAAATGAATGGGCATCTGAATTCAATAAGTGGATAATAGGAATAAATGTTTGAAGCCCAATGTGTCGGGTTCGAATCTTAGTGTGAATATAAACAGTGGGATGTGGCAAGTACATTCAGTTGACAAGTCTCAAACAGGACAAAATGTGTGTCCTAAATCATAATAATAGTAATTATTATTACCATTATTATGTTAGATAAAACTGAATAGTTATTGATCGTACCATGATCTTCATATTCGCGCTCAGACAAACAAGTAAAGTATACATATTAGCTTTCTTATTTCGGCATACAAACTTTAATTAAATCAGACGATCAATACATTGTTTAATTATTATAACCTTTTAAATCTACTCGGTTAATATAAAGATAGATTGTAGACAACAGTGGAATCCAGTGGACAAGCGTTTCGTTCTAATTGGGACTGGCCAGATGAATAGATATACGTACAATAATATCTCAATATGTTAATGCTCACAGTGAGACTCAAACCCAGTGGCCTTTCGTTTTGAACATCAAATCTTCATCTATTAGAGGAATACATGAAATTCTACACAAATTATTCAGTTGAAATTTGAAAACCAGTATGCTTCTTGTAAATAAAATTATTTATTTGACTACCTTAGGTAATTTCAGTATATTATTGAATTGACTGAGCTGTGTAATGTATCAGCAAATATAGTGTAGACGAAAATATACAAGTTAATAATATTCTGTGTCATTCCAACTATATTGTTGTACGACGAGAAATCGATACAGAATAAAATGAATAATAATGGTGGGAAAGAGAACAAGTTTATGGCTTTCATCTTCGAACTATCATCAACTTTGATAGGTTAGTGTCTGAGGAAAACTTGGTTGCTATTTGCCAACTTGGAACGCATGTGACATGGGCGGCTCAAACCCAAACAAATCAGTCACTTCATTAAGTCAACAAACTGTTAGTTTGATATTTGTTAGCGCAGGTAGACTGTATGAATGAGGAGACAATACTACTAATGATATATATACATATAGTTTTGCAAACAAAACAACATTTAAACCAACTTACTCATATTGTTCTGATTATGATATAACACACCTTGATTTGGTGTAATTCCAGCTGATGAAATTTGTCCAGCACCAACAATACCGCTTCCACTAGAAGCACCGACGCCAACAGTAGCTGACGATAAATTCATTGATGTTGTCAACACATTCGGCATAGTGACTAAAGCACCACTAACTAATAAATTAGACAATGGTTGTTGTAGACCATCAACAACACCACAATCCATGTTATCCGAAGCTAACAGTGCTTCACCATTACTCATTAACAAGGCTACATCTTGATTACCCACTGTCGTACCTGCATTTGCACCAACTCCACCAAATGAAGATTTTGCGAGGCATTTACGTTTCTTTCCAAAATATTGCGAAGAAATTGAATTGTTCTGGGTGTTTATGTTACGATTTCGATTGTTAGTAGCATTATTACTAGTCTCGTTTAAATTATCCCCATCAGGTAAACGAGTTAAATTTTGTCCAAGTTTATAACTTAAAATATATATGTATATATGAATTAGTAACAGACAGTAGTAAATCAAGTAACTTGAGTATATATTACTTATAAAACATCCTACTATTATTACTGTCATTAATATTATTATTATCAATACTGTGATCATTAATGCAAATACAAAATGATAAATTTGATGGAAAAAACAACAAAACATTTGTCGGAAAACAATTATACTTTTGTTTGTCGTACTTCATCATCGTCATCATTATCATGATTTGGCGTTTACCTACCACAGGCATAATATTAAGTAATATGACGGTCAAATATAAGGTGGACAAATAAAAATGTTATACGGAAAGGAGATTGAAAGAAAAGTTGATTCCCGTAGCTATGGTGACGCTGCAATTTGAACTAAATATCTAAAGCTTCTACTATTCAGTTATTCACTTTCAATCAAGATGTCTTTATTTTTTCTTACTAAACCTTAAGAGCTAAATCGGTGCCACTATTAAAAGCCACAAACATACACATACACAAAGTTGATGGTTGGTTAGATTCTATCGACTAAGTTGTGATGAAGCCATCAGGTTAAATGGCAGGAAATTGTACTGGATAACTTTCTGCATACTTTGTTCTATGCTTTATGGTTGGAACAGATAGGAAGGATTCGCTGGATTTACGTTTCACTTTAGTTGAGGCTCATCAGTAAGGCATATTTCAACACGTACCATCCAGTGTTACAACGAGACATCACTCAGTACTCTTCAGATTGAATGCTAGCTATTAAATTTCTAGTTGTTTTTTTATCGCCTAACTATTTCTACACATGAACTGGAATAGTGAAAAAAGCGCGGAATTTGAGCAAAAGTTTTACTCTAAGGTTATAATATTACGTAAAGAAAACATGTTTATTTATTGATAATTGTTAGACTTTGGAAGCTTCTGGAAAACATGACAAATTAAGTAGTTCAATAAGTAATTATCCTGTATTCACCAAACTTTATAGAGGAATTCTTATGAGATACAAAAATCAAACAGGAATGAACAGTTTGAACCTATGACCTAACGATTGAAAATTGTACAATTTTATTGTCTAATAAGTCATATCAAACGAAGATGATGGAAAATAAGTCAAAGTGAAAATAATAATATCGACGCAACAAATGTAAACAGGCTGTAAGCAATTCCGTGATACATATACATATACGTATATAGTAATTGATAAAAGACGATGTTTTCACGTTCACTTTAGTTCATACAAGTCATTAGTGGTTCTTACCTTGACATAACGCCCTGGCTTCCATATTTCGATACGACAAACGAGTTATATTAGTTAAAACATTCGTTTCTTTATGTCTTATAATGTCATACAAGTTGTTTAAAGAACGGTAAAACTAGAAATTAACAAGCTTATAATTCAAAAGCAAAAAGGATAAACTATGGAATGTGCAGGAGACTGTGGCAGATGTTTTTTTTCTTTTAGCAACTAGCATATACAACTATTTCGCCTTCTCACAACGAAAGAAGAGGGTCGAGCCTAGAAATAACACGCCTCGGATTAACCCTCGGGTTTCAGTCGCCAGCAGTGAAGCTTGAAAAGTACAGAGCTATCACATCAAGAACTACTATCAAAAAGCCCGTACTCGTCTAATCCCCAGTATATCATGGCTTAACACTATGGTCATATTGCCGAACTGTAAAGGCCACACCTAATTCAGTTTCCTTTCCAAAGCGCTTGCGAAGAAATATCCTTTAACAGTGTAAACAGCCGAGAAGTGAAAAATTCTCACCCTCCAATAACATTACTTGAGATTGCCAATTTAAAAACAAGACAACACATTTACAAAGAAAAAATCAGGAAATTCAATGAATAACGAATATACGAAACTTACTTCATTAGTGGACCAAAATTACGACGATGTTTTCGATAAAATAATGAAATTACAAGAATTATAAGAATCATTATTGAAAATCCAATCATAATTCCAAAAATCAACCAGGAATTTTTTATTGGTGTATATAGAACTGTATCAATTGTTGTAGTATTACTACTACCATAATATTGTTTCCCATTATTTAATAATGTTGAAGGTTGTTTGACAAAAATTAAATCTGCTGGATAATTGACAATTTTATCATTATCTATACTATCATGATGTTTTAATGAACTAATTGGATCTATAGATTTCATTGAATCATGTTCGGCAAATGTTAGAACACCACCGCCTTGACCATAAACTTGACATAAAAAAAGAGAAGAAATAAAATTTAATTGGAATTTTTAAACTTGGGAAAATAACTATGAAAGATGAGAGGTCGAACTGATTTAAGCAACCAAATATCAACCACTTAGTCCTAGATTTGAGTTCCACTTCACTTACCTCAGATTTATGGAAGCGAATAGTACCCGTTAATCCTTATGAATAAATTGTGAAATAAAATTTAGTACATCAGTTTATACTTGATAAATAGATTAAACCTGTTCAATACTGCCCAGTTTTTAGTGATTATCTCAGTTAACAGCAGTGATAAAAATCATTAACAAATTAAACATATCTCTCTAAACCTTCAAACTAAAGAATAATCATATATTCATTAATGTGTTTGGTCATGCTAAGAGTGAAGGAATTTTTTACAACAGTACGACCGAATGATTATCATGAAATATTGGCTATTAATTCCAAACTCAATGGTCTAATGATTTAGAAGTACTGAGCTGGAACTCATATGAGATGATGAACACATATATTGATGAAGAGTTCCAACTTACAAAGAAACATCATCTTAGTATTATCATTGGTTTAATATTTCCTCAGTTAAGATGGTTAGTTGTAATGTAAAATCATCTACGATTGTAAAACTATCTGTTCTTCTCTGACGTTTATCCTTAGATTATTATGATTTTGTTAAGAGAGCAAGAAAGAGAGGGGAATTAGTGTATTCTCATCTTGATAAATTAAATTGAAACCGGTTCACTTGTTCAACTTAAAGTGTCATTTAAGATACTAGTTTACAACAGAAAACCCATAAAAACATTATCAACCACAAATTGTAAAAACTTTGATGAACATGAATGTGATCAAATTGTATCACTTGTATAATATTAGTGGTAATAATAACAGTATATCACTGTTGAACAGTATTATATTACATTCTAGACTTTACGTGATCCCAGATCTGAATCATCTTAAATCACTATTCTGTCTTGAAATAGCCAACAGCAATACAAAATTATAAATGATTGGTAGATTCTCATAGTACGACATGGAATCTATGCAAAACAGACAGACAGGACGACTAATATGCAACACAATCCGACTAGACAGGAAGTGAGTGAGTGAAGTCGGGAACTTAAGAAAAAGTTCAATATTAAAAGAAGTCAAATTTGTGATAGGATTGTTTTTCTCATATAGCAACAACTATAACCTTGGAACACATGACAAAGTTATCAAATTAGAAGCGAAAACGACCAAAGGTTAGCGGGGAAGTGTGAGCAAGTAGTGGCCGCGTTCTTCATTAAAAGTTAGAATTATCATTTTTTAAGAAACTAGATGATTTGATGTTACAATAAGTTATTAGAAAAATATTAACCGACTGAAATATGCGCTACAATAGAGGAGAAAAAACATTACACAAAGTTACCCCAGTAATGATTTTTAAAATATATAGCTTTAATCTACTTCCTTTTTTATTAAGTAGCAAAAATGACTAATGAGCATGGAAATAGATTGTAGCAAGCAATGAAATCCAGAAGACTAAGTTGTTGTTCACTGAGTAATGCGTTGGTATTAGAAGCTACGAGTGCTGAGGGTTCGAGCCCGAATGTGAAAATCAATACTCGGATGGAGATTCATCCACCTGATAAGTCACAAGTAGGATGCAACATGTGTGCCCTACATTCCAGCACTAGCCAAAACGCATCTATTCAAAATAAAATTGAGACATAATGGACAAATCGCATCTATCCTCTAGAAGATAGATCGGAATTAAATCGTGAGCATTAACGCAACCGGGTACCATCACACAAATTCTTACTAAACATAAATATGAACATGATTTATATATAAAATGAAATCACACTTACCATCTGGTGTACGATAAAATTTCACTGATGAAATCGGACCATCACCAAATGAATTTGTAGCTTTTAAACAAAATGCATAAATAGCATTACGCACAAGTCCAGATATAACTGTATTCAAACTATCGGGTGGTAAATGTCGTTTCGACCATTTTATTAAAGGTAAACTATGATTTATCGTGTAATAAAGTAGATAACCAGTTAAAGGTCCATTTGGATGAATAGGTGGTTGCCAACTTATTTGTATACTGACGGGTGATTTTTGTAATTGTTCTCCCATAGATGACGATGAAGAGGAGGGGGAAGAGGGTCCAACAACTCCTCCGTCAACTCCAACACTAAGACCAATCAAGTAAATATCACGTGGAGAATCACCAGGCCCTGAAAATTGCCCACCAACCCCGGGAAAAAGTAGAAAACAATTGGTCTTATATCATTTTGAAAATTATTTTAGTAAAACTCTACTGATACAGACGGCCCTAAACGATTTTTTAAGGATGATTTGGAGGTTTAACAATAAAATTAATCAGAATGCAACTTTTGTGTAAGAGCTTTTAAATACAGAAAGTGATAAAATTACAGAGGGTCAAGAATTTTAATATGAACAATGAATGTATAAAGGCTAAATATCGATCAATTAAGCTGTAAATCGTAGAGTCGTAGTAACTCGGCTAAACTCGAACTCCTTGCTCAGTTTCATCTTGAACTCTAGTACTCCTGGAGAATTATTTCTAATCCTAATATTCCTGAACTGAACATATTGAACATAACACTTTATCATACATGAAAATCATCATTCAATCCTCTAAAATACAAAGTTTAACCAAAAGAATCATTTCCAACAAAAAGCTATCGGTAACAGTGTTTTAAATTTGCGGTTAATATTAAACATGATTCAGCTTAATTAAGATTGGTCGTCACTCAAAGCTCTTAGTGCAATATAGTTTTACCTGTGTTTTTAATAGAATTTGGCTAAGATATTACCAACTACTTGAGACAAGAAATGAAATGAGTTAATTTATATGAATCGAAAGTTTAATCTTAGTGAAATGTAGATACATAAATGACAGAATGATCAACATAAAAAACACAGACACTTCGAAGCAACTTTCTTAACAGGTTGATTTCACCTGGTAGTGAACTGTTAAAAATCAGGAAACAATTATGGACAATTGTAATATGTATCAAGTAAAGAGAATATGATTCGAGAAAAATGAGTAAATTCAAGATCTAAGTGAAAATAAAGAATGAATGGATTTATGCTACGGTGATCGATTCTGAATCATATAATCCAATGTCTCCACTTATTCATCGCAGTTATCACGAGGACCCCAATATGTATTCATAAGCATAGCTCAGATCAACAGTGAATCTCTTTATGGATTGACTCTTATTCTCGGTTTGGTCACAATTAGGTTTCTTCTAACCTAGTAGAATCTCAACCAGTACTACGCGTTAAGATACGTGTTGGTTGACAATAAATGCAACACATGTCTCACGCAACTTCAGTCAATCACAACCCATGCTAATGCTTAATCAGAATATTATCACATCTTTAAAATGTATATCAATAAAACTAATCTCATATAATTAACACAAATAAAATGTTATCCTATCATCGTTGCCATAAAAACAAACAATTAATTATAATAGAAATGTATACATAACACTAACTTTTTTCCGGTGTCTCAATAATCTGCTCTAAACTCCATTCACTATACAGAATATTATTCAACGCTTGTTCTTGATCATGATTATTATTTTTATTATCATTAGTAATAGGAGTGTAATGTGAATTTTTCAACAATTTCTTTTCACCAACAGCTCGAACAACTACAGAATATAATCGGCCAAATTGTAAATTTTCTAATTTAGCCCAATTCTCAGTTACACTGATCATATGTTGTGTTCTATCAAGAGGAGGCAATGGTGGCGTAGGTGAATCTTGTCGACGATTTTCATCTTGAAGACAAGAAAAAAGTAATAGTCGATGGAAGAGGGCGATTAAGAGAAAATATGTAAGATAATATCAAAATAAACAAGAAGGAATATTAATGGAATAAATAATAATTTATGAGATGAAGTTGATTTTTCACTGCACGATAGGAGACGAACCGGGGGTGAGGATTGGGACTAAGTAGAATAACAGTTTTTTTTCTCAGCAATGTACACGTATAACACCACCACAGATCAACTCCTAAGTTTCCAAGTTTCGATAAAAATAGTTTTCAAACAATTATAAATTGACAATCATATTTATCTGGAAGTATTTACTATCAGTTCTGCTCCAATGATATCACTTTATATTGCAGTATATATTTAAAGTATGAATTCTATAGTAATCACCTTCCGTTTCGTTAAGAGACAGATGAGGAAAAAAGTATACAAACCGTTGTAGTGGTATTTTTACGTTTGCCAGTAATCGAACTCGCGACTGGTTAACAAACATAACTAGTTAACGAAAACGGGAAAATTTATGACAATTAATGCACATTGGCAAAATTCTAAGAGACTGTCACTGAAAATGATATGGATTGACAATCAGAAGTAGCCTAATGAAAAGGTCAATCGATGGCGATGAGAGGTGACATAAAGGACAAGTGAATTTCATTGACTAAGAAATGGATCAATCTCCTAAGGATCAGAGTGGTATATATGTATGGAAGAGTATTTGTGCACTTCATCCGGTAGCCCAATACACTTTCTCGCTCACTCTAATGTTCTCGCTCAAGTAGTCAGTTAGGAGGTTAGCGCGTAACACACCGGACACCGCCCGTCACTACAGAAAGCAGACCTAACAATAGCAAATCCTCCCAATTAGGCACGCAATCAAATATAATATTCTTCCCTGATAATCCCCTTTAGTTTTCCATCAGTCAATTGTCCAGTTCAGTCAATAGTCATATACAACGTAGAAAGTGACATATGTGCATCGATTAAAGTTGCCACAACGTACCAGCACACTAAGATGAAAAAATCAAACATCCTGGATTAATAGAAGTCTTAACAGTATCAATAGTAGTGAAAAAGATGGAGTGTAGAAAAAGAAAATGAAAGATACAAAGAGATTTCGCGACTCAGAAACTAAGGCAAGATAAAAAGTGATTACACCTGAGTCACTGTGGAAAATTGTGGATCATGTCACGTAAAGTTTCCAACCATTGATTACGATAATCGCATAGACCCCAACTAGATAGTTTACACTTAATTAAATGGTTTATTCAAACTTTCAACAAATTCATGGACTAATATCACGTTCATTTTAGTCGCCCCATAATCTTCTTACTACTCGAAAAGGCAAAAACCGTTATCATATTTATTAGATGAAGCAATTATGTAATGTACATGATATATTTGAATTTGTATTGGTTAATGTTGAATTATCAATGAAAGTTATTTCATAAATGCAACATCAAAAAGAAACTGAAATTTTGAAAGATTTGAGTAGTGGACAACTATATCACATTGTAGAAAACATTGGTTCACATTTGACCATCAAAGTTAATCAAATAATCATTCAATGCAAAAGGCGTTCAACTTTTAGTCATTAAGTCACTAGCTCAAGCTGCATTTCATCTACTTTTATTTTTAAAAAAATCAGGTAGTATAACTAACCTTTATGCTCACAGTGTGGCTCAACGTCACGTAATGAATTAAATAAACAGAATATACCCATTGAAACATAAAATAAGAAAGATTGGTTCGACGAAAAGTTCTCTTCTCGGTGGATTCACTTTCAAAGCTATATATGCTTAACTTTCAGGATGATAATAATTACAGTAATCAGTCAGTCAGTTACAACGTAGGACCAGGCACATATATGTATCGGTCCAAGTTTCCACACCTCATTAACACACCAAGGCGAACACCAAATTCATAAAAGTAGTTAATTCAGAGGTGGTAATATATAAAAGATTGCAATAAGGATATAGTACAGGAAGAAACAGTTAGTTCGTAGAAAGAAAGATATGAAGCAATTTTAATCTCTTAGTTTAAGGGAAGATAGAGAGTGTATACACCGACACCATTGTGATAGATTCTGAGCCATGTCACCAAGAGTCTCCAGCCATTGGTTACGATAGTCACACGGACCCCAACCAAGTAGTCTGCATCTCCCAACATGGTTCAGACTAGAAGTTAGTGACTGACAATAATAGTGATAATAAAAAAATTTTGACCTAAATATGGTAACAGTAAGGTAAAATAAATCAATAAATAAAGGCATAAAAACGTTAGATTTTTTTAAGGAAACTAATAATAATTTTTTTTGTTGAGAGCTTGAAAAACTTGTGAATGCGAGAAGGTTCATTTTGCTAAAGTAAAATGTTGAAATTGAGATGAACTGTAATCAGGAGGATCATAGGAAGTCTACTGGACATTGTCACCCAATGACCTCACTTGGCTACTACTGATTGATTCATTATATCACAAATCATAAATTTTACATAAATACATAGAAATGTATGCTTACTTGTTATGTGTACATCAGCATCACCAACATCATTATTCTCCTTCTTATCTACATTATCTCCATCATTATTGAAATTTTTAATTCTAGTTCGATTTGATGAATAGCCAATTATTTGATAAGCAACTTGATAAAATTTAATGAAATGTTTATTATTATTATTTAAACAATCATTCATAGTCGATGCTTTCAGTTGATTTGATTGACTCCTCATATTAGTTCTCCTATTCTCATTAAGACCAGCATTATTGTTATTATTATTATTATTATTGTTCTCGTGTGACTGTAGGGTACATTCTGTTTTATCCCATGTTAATATTGCCCAATTCGAATCAGATGAAGAAACGTGTAAATTCAAGGGGATTGGCAGGTGTTCACTAGCTATTCATAATTTTAAAAATATATATATTAAGCAATTATCTCTCAACAAATCATTACTAATGATGATGCAAAAATGATACTTGTTGAATAAGCTAGTAGTTATTTGGACTTAGTATCACAGTGGATAATGTATTCGTTATTTGAAGCGAAAGGTATTGGGTTTAAGTCCCAGTTCGATGAAAATAACAACACTGGAGTCTAGGTACATGCAACTAATGAGTGTCTCAAATAAGACGGGATGCAAATTTTAAATTCCACTGCAAGCCACAATTCATCAACTTTTAAATTGATTACTGTTTAGTTGTGGTAGATCCGTTGATTCTAGTATGTTCATGTTGAATTTATAACGGATCAATATCACAACTGGGGGAACTAGTGAGATCAGAAAGAATTGAACTTAACTCAAAAGTATACATCACCAGCAGCATAACAAGAGATTCAACACGAATTAATAACATAGAACTAGAAGTTATCAAATTGATTTATCTGTTACACAAATGCTTAACACTAACTTCTTAGCCACTTTCTACATTTTCCAAATAGTCCTAGACTTGATCTCCGAAAAGAGAAGAAAAGGCCTAACGCAGAAACAGGAACTTTACTTCAAGATTTGTTTATGTACACAAAACATGTTCACTTATGGGTTTATTGGTAACCTTTAAAATGTGAAAGCTCCTGGAAACGTGATAGGTCAAGTAACCGAGTAATTAGTCCAATCAGAGTTCGACAGATTGTTAATTTTAAAGAAGACTTTGTGGTATATACGGATTGGGAGAAATGTCCACAACCATCTTCTGACTTCTGAAAATCTTGTAAAGGAATCATCGTGAGATTCCAATATAAATGTTAGTGTCAGCGCAAAAAAATAAATGCATAAGTGAGACCGAAGTTCCTTGGTTCGATCCCTATTTGATGGGTCATGGGTGACCATTGACACTCAGGAGCCTCATACTAGAACAAAAAAGCTCTCCAATGCTTATTGGTTTTGAATAAGTATCTAACTAAGATCGATTCGTCTTGACCTTAAAGGAACTCAACAATCCCAACAAATTCCCCATCCATACTCATAAAATATAGTTATGATTTAATGCCATGTACGAAACACAAAAAACAACTGTGAAGACTAGAACAATAAAAAAGAAATCAAAATATAAAGAATATGATTTATTTGAGGAAAATTAAACTACTTACAAGAACTTGGCTTTGTTCTAGCCGATATAAAAGCTTCTTTCATCTCATGATTTTTACCGACTACAACTACTTTAATAAAATAAGTAGTATCTTGTTCTACATTAGTGTTAAAAAATTCAAGAAAAATGAAGCAATTAAATATAAAAAGCAATTATTACATTATAAAAACAACAAAATAGTGCTTGCTGTTGCATTATTTAAAAGTTCGTTTTATGTCTTTCATTCTAGCAACTCAGCAATAATAACAAAGCTTACGTCAATATAAACGAAGGTGTCTGGTTTAACAATATGTTGAACAGAAAATTTAGGGGAGTCTAGAAAACAATCTAACACAAACAAATCTATGCAGCCATGAGTGTTGGAGTCAGGTAATACATGGAAAAAAGGACATTTTTAGCTAAGAACCTTTAAATGTCATGTTCCAAAATCGAATGCATAATGATAAAAACAAATGTAACTACTTTGAAAGTTGCCAGCAATGGAATCCAGGATGTTTCATAATATTTAGGACTCATTAGCTGAGTGTAGCTTCGTCCTAGTGTTGGTAACCACTCCAGGACTCAAACCCAGTGCTATTCACTTCAAACATCAGTGCGTTATCCACTTACCTATCGACCCCAGATAGCCGCTGGCTTATGGAACGAAGATGCTTGTGATTGATGGCGTTAACATGCCAATTGGCTCAGGATACACAGATGCCAAAAGAGACTGATTAATTTCAGTCCCCAATACCTAAAGCGTGGACATCTAAACACTCACAACTGAAGTGTAACTGCTACTTATATTTTCCTCGATTTCGAACAGCTGGTGATCATTATTCAGTGTACTCAGGGCATCGATCAACACTTTAGTCGTGTGAGAGCTAATGATACTAATTTGCTGGCCAAATTGATCAAGTTCCTATGCCATTGACCTAAAAATCTAATTTTCACTCGTTGTAATACATCTTAACGTATTCTTTTGACAAGGAGACAAAATATGTGTATGCTAAAATTTACCTCCACGCACGACTTAGTCAAACACTGTCAACACTTAATTCAGTAATTTTGAATATAACTTCCGAACAGAAGAACTTTAATCACAGATTGGTCTAAGACAATTGTAAATTTCTAATTCAATATTGTCAGAAATTTTATCTGTTCATGCTTGTACACACAAACACATAAAAATACAAACGAACAGTATAACATACCTAATTTCTGTATGGAATAACTTGTCTGATTTTTCGGCAATTCAACAGAATCTGGTCCAGGATGCATTTTACCCCAAGCAACTATATAATGTGATATATCTGTTCGATGATCTCTGCTACCTCCTCTAAATTGAATATTCGAAATCTTGTTGTTATGATGACCATTACTAGGGGGAGTACGAGAAAGTCCCGATGAATAAGAGAAAATCGGAGGTGACCACATTACCAATAAACTTTGTTCTTCAGCTAAAAATTGAAGATTTTCGACCTGAAAAAAACAGACCAATAGATACGAGAAGTGAATGAATGATAAATTTCTGTTGACGAAAGTTTGTCTTGAGAAAAAAAAACCATTGATATCAACAACTATGAACCCAACAGCTGACATGGTTGCTAATAATCACTGATAAAGTGTGCTGAAGCTTTGAGTAGACTTTGAGTGTTATATCTTGAGACGCTAATCGATAATGACGTGTTGTGTTGCCATTAGTAGAGAAATTGTATATACATGAGTGTACAAATATCTTTCGGTTCGGTTTAGCCAACAAAAATTTTCCTTCTCACTAAAATAGATGGTTGGGTTAGCTAGAAGGAAGCTCGTTTGCCAGCATCAGAATTTTATGATCATATAACGCAACAAAACCATGTCGAGAATAGATTATCTTATTTTTATTATTACAAGTCAGTTTCTTTCTTTACAGGATAACCACGATAGCATTTTTCTAATTCATATTTCCACCAAAACCTTGACTGTTTTTGATTAGGTGTTTTGATTGTGAACTTTGTCGTGTGCCCCAAGGTCACTTAGTGTCGCTTTATAAAAAGGGTTTTTCTATTTCAATTTTGACTTCTGTACGGCATAAAAATTTTTCCTATAAATCCCATATTCTATATTAACATTGAAGTGTTGTGGTGTTGCAGTTTGTTCAAGTTCTTATTCATTGAATTATATGAGAGAGTCCTCAGTCATTGGTCAAAAAATTCATCACAACAAAACCGAAAATCTTAATACCTTAACTGTTCTTCGGAAGATATAACAAAAATAATGGCATATTTCTCCCAAAATAAATGACAATACAAACGTACATATCTTCAATAAAATCGGTCAAAAAGATCTATTGTCGACTCACTCACACACACACTCTCTCTCTTTGACTACCAAAACCAATCATTACAATCGCATTTAAAATCAACGACAGAAAAAAATTGAAAGGACAGAAAAATAATACTTTTTTCCTATATTCAAAACTTCCTACTTACCGGTCCTAACACAGGACTAAATAATTTATTATCTGACAACGAAGATGGTTGACGGTGCTCAATAACTGGCGCCCCAAAATCCTCTGATAAAGCATCCTAAATAAGAAAAAACAACCAAACAGGAATAGTAATGACAGAAAACAAACAAATGAAAATGAATTCTTCTGTCGTCTTGAAAACTGCTATTTAGTGGGTGGATGGGAGGTGGAAACTAAAAGTGAGAATTTTCTGGCTACTATTTTACGTAAGATTATTGTATATATTTTTTCTTTTTTGGTTATTAGATGCTTAGATTATTGTACTCTTGTATTCTCCTATTTGTAAGCTTTCGTTGAATGCATAAACTATAGTTTGGAGTTTTACCCTGTTTAAGCCATTGATAATTCATAAAGGACCCACTAATTAATTCTCTTTCACTAATAGCATAGTTATGCCCATATTGTAATTTCGTATCTATGTTGATCTGTGGTCTGGAAATTAATCAATATTATCACGTGTGATTGGGTTATGAATCTCATTTACTTCTTAATCAGAGATGGATGATGGCTAGTAGTACAATCCAGGACTCGTCAGCTGGATGTATCTGTATCTCAGAGTTGATGTTCATTCCGGGACCATAATACAGTACGGTTCGCTTCAAACGCCATAGCTTGATCTACTTACCAACTGAGTCCAGATAACCACTAGCTTGTGCAATGGGGTGAAGTTTAATTCATTTTTGTATTGTCTATTTAAATCTTCCCATTGATTTAATGGCAATATGAATGCAATTCATACGGGATGCTTATATGCCAAAACAAGACTGCTCAACTGCAATTCTAAACATCAATAGCAAGATTCAATACAAATGAACTTAAGCACTTCATGCAAGGTAGACTAGACAACTGCACCATGGATCAATAGGGATCAAGCATTCGATTCGGTTGTTATCTCATTGTCATCGAGTAAACTTATTGTTCCTATACACGCAATCTAGGTGGGTTAATCAATATTCGAATTAAATAATAGAACTACTCCCCATAATAACAACCTAGTCACATGGACTCAAATACAATTCGAGAACTTATTCCGTGTTTTGGCATCACATCAAAACTCCTTAACGAAGAAAAAAACATTAAACATATTTTACCTAGTGTACGAATGATTTGAGACCTATAGTAGGAACGCCTTCAAATTATCTAGTTTTTTTTGTTTTTATTAATAAATAGAAGTTCTGATAAATAAGTAAATCTTTCACAATTTCTAAATCATATTGTCACGCTGATTTTTGTTATTCTCCGACTGAGTAGTTTGAAATTTTGTCATATGGTCCGAAGGTCGTTGCTGTTGTCACACAAAATGAGGTTGTTATATCATGTTCTTGACTTCTGAGAACAGAAAAGCTCTATGTTTAAGAACCATCTTCTCTTCCCTTCTTTTGTGAAGTTGGAGAGATTACGGTTACGTAACAGAAGTAGCTACGAGGAAGACTTCATACCTTAATGTCTAAGTTCATATCTGACTGTAGCTGCTACCTCGGTGTGGAGGTCGGACTTAGATATCGTGATGACATAAGCGCGCTATACTGAGTGAAGAATTCGATTTTATATGTCTTACTGTACCTGGAAGGTTGATTATAGGGTGGTTAAACTAACAGAAAATTTAAAGGCTCAAATCATATCGACTGCACAGAGATGTAACAGTAGTAATGTGTTTCTCTCAGACAACTGTTCGGTAATGATGCTGTATCCCCACAATGTGGAGGGGTAGGAAAGACAGGGTATAAGAATAACACAAATCACCGTTCCCCATGGATTCCCGTCTCCAGCAGTAGAGCCTTATCAGTACGAAGCTAAGACGCCTAAAACTAATCATAAAATAACTATGTGCGACCGTACGAAAGCAGTTGTCTCATCGGCGCTACGGTCACGATCCCAGGTCATCTAGGCCACTTGTAACTCAATTTCCTTTTCAATGCACTCATGAAGAAATAATCTTCCACACTATGGGTAAGCAGGAAGTGATAACACCACCAAACCTTTCTAACAGATCTTCATACTTATCAACTGAATAAGATTTCTAAATATGATATCATTCATACGGGTACTTTCGATTCATGTTCAATCCCCTCAAGAGAAAGGGATAGAAAAATTATCGATTTCACTGATAATGATTAAAAAAGAAAATGGTAACATACACTGGATAACATATAACCATCATTATTCTTGTTATTTTCTGCATCAAAATCCGCTTCATTCTTTTGAGTCATTGTGGTAAATGTTAGAACTTCTGAATCAGGACCATTGCCTGCCCGTGTAGCCGCTGAAACTGTTAACTCGTATTCCATACCAGAAGTTAAACCTGTAAAGATGATAAAAACGATAAAACAAGGAATGGAGTAGGTGAACTTTTAGAAAAACTTATCATTACTCTGCAATTTCATCGAAAGATATATTTAAGTTCAAATCCCACACAAGAAAAAGATATTAGTTGTATTAATATCTGAGATTTCATTTAGCCATAGTAACATACTTCCAATACTGATGAAAGTAACCCTATGACCTCAGGGGTTCGAACCCATATCATCCAGACTCACAGTTTGAGACGCTACCAGTGACATATTCAAGCCGAGACTAACCCGTCCTGCAGGATTGAGATGTAGTTACAATTGACTGATCACTGAGTAGTGACCAATGTCATGAATATGCATGTATATATTTAGTCACTATTATTATTATTTTGTAAATTTGAGAACAAATACAAAATAGGAAAATAACATACCTTGTATTAACTGACTTAATTTATTCTGTACCATAATATGACGTGAACGTAACCAATCCTCGCATGAAATATTAATACGATAAACAATCAATTGACCATTTCTATACTTTACTGGAGGTGGTTCCCATGATACGGTGGCTACATGTGCACCAATCGAGTGTACACGAAGCTTGATTGATTGTGTGGGAAAACGTTGGATTAGCGGGGTAGGGGCAAAAGTAAAACAAGAAAAAAAAGGGAAAATTCAATTCTGCAATAAAACATCATATACTCACCAGTGACTAACTTCGGGAGAAAATTTTCAAAGTTCTGGTAAGAAGCTGTAGTTCACTAGGATTCAACTATGTTTGATATGGGGAACCTGATGAACAAAGTGAAGATGATTGCGCAATATCATGCAATGACTGAATTTAGACTTTTACACCATTGGACTTCGTCTCAGTGACCCAGAGGTTAAGCGTTTAACATTGCAATTAAGTTATAGGTAATTAAAACAAATGATCCAGAAAAATTGCATTTAAGATGGATGCGTTTAGTGTTGTTGAGTTCTACACGAGGTGAGAGCTGATGATATTGCTCAACACGATAATGAAAGTTTAGCGAATAAATCATCTTGCTTAGAAGATTCAACATCAAAGTCTATACAAAAGAGAGTCAGTCCAAACGATTACCATTCAAAATTATTGCATGAAAATAAAGTATAAATCAGGAAGGTTTATCGCAGTATTTCTTTAGTTGAAAAATAGGTGAGACCACTAGTGAACTTAACCGATAAAGGCTTCCAATACCTGGTAGTATCATCTTCCCTGATTTAGTTTTTAATTTTGAAATATTATTGATTGTCACATATTTTGTAAGTATTTGAAGCCAAAAGTTATAAGGCCAAATAAAGCACTGTCAAAAATTTAATGTGTATTTTCCTCTGGAGTAGATAAATCATCTCCAGCGGCGGAATCCAATAACAAAAGTTTAATCCTCTTCGGTACTCACTAGCTGGAAGCATCTGTATCTGCGTTGATTTTCATTACGTTGGGACTAGAAGTTAGTATTTGTCTTCTCAAATGTCAACGCACAGTGATACGTAACTTATTTAAAATGGCTATGTTGAGACAATCAACATAGGATGGAGTATATACCAACAAAGGCCGATATAAATTCAGTCCATCTTATACTGACAAAATAATTATGGGTTGAATAATAACATGACGTAGGTTACTTAGGAAGAACGGGTTTGATTTACTCGAGCTTTTATATGAAGGCTAATATGAGGATGTCCACCTATCCAAACCAAACTAGATGTGGGTATGGTTTGTTCATAACAGTTGAAGATAGTTTCATTGAAAATAAACATTCGCTCAACTACATTTTTGTTCGTTTTTTTCATAAAACTCTGCAGAGATCTTTAACTAGGTTATTCATATTTCGCTGTATAATGATAATTTAAGAATGTATTAAGCAAATTACTTCAATCCAGCCCCAATGTACATGTCGGCTTTTTGAATGTAGTTGAACATTCATATTAGGATGAGACCATTATAGTCCATCGCCAACAGTGATACCTGTACAACTATATTGTATACACTAATGGATTGTTCTTGAAGTTATCCACTACAGATGAGCAACAGATAACAAATTGAGTGAGGTTAGAGAAACGTGAAATATTAAAAGCCAACTCCATGGCTCAAAGAAAATAGGCTGATTGTAAGGCCCAATGGTCGTATAGGTAGGTGCGTAATGCTGAGGGGTCACCTTTTAGAAAGAAATAATTGTTTAACACTTTCTCATATAAACTATATTCACATCTTCCTTCATACACTTAGTATGGGTCTAACACTGAGATCCAGAATGTGCATTTCGTCCTATTTAGGACTTGTCATCTGAACGTACCTACATCCACCCCAGTACTGATGTTCACTGTATTGAGACTCGAACTCAGTAATTCTCGTTTCCAACGCATTATCTACTGAGCTACTGAGGTCCATATAGTCACTGAACTATTCAGCCATCAACAGATCTCGTTAACATTCACGAACGAATTTAAATCAGTCTCTAACGTTATATATACATCCTGAGCGAATCGCCATGGTAAAATATTAACCTTACGTACAATCTCCTTGCTAATATTCTCGAACATAATCATGTGAGAAATAATATTATTATAGCAATAACAGTTATTGATATAACACAAATAGCAAAAAATTCCTACTTACATTCATTGGTGGTTTTGATGGTGGCCTTGAGGTGACTCGTGGTGAAGATGTCAAATAGGCAACATGACCAGTTATATTGGTTTCAGTGATAGGATAGACAGTAATTTGATAGAAAGCATCTGGTGTTAAATTTAATACCGTATAACTTAATCGATCACCGTTATTGGTAACTGTTAAATTCGATGTATGTACATTGATTTCAGTTAGTAATTTAGGTGATATGGGATCGGCATCAGTATTATCATCATTTGGTTTGGACGTAGTAGTGAGTGAACGAAGTATGATTCTATGAATTATAAGAGAATGTAATGATGATTTCCTTAAAATAAGTTGTATGTATAGTATAGAAAGAGAGGGCGGTTGGATAAATTTTCTCAGTTACTTGGATCTGAAACCAACACAGTTCTCTATCTTTTGTTTTATAAGATAAACAGTGTTACAAAGCTTTGTGGAGAACATATTGGCATCAATCTGAGTAGATGAACTTGTGTGAATAGGCTTTGCGTCACACTTTAGTGTGAGAGGTTTGTGATACAACCGAGTTGCTCAAGCCGGAATAGATAAAGGGATTGAAACTTATGACATAGTAGTTGAAAATTGAGCAACTGAACAACTGAGCCACCGTTTCTCACAAATATAAATACCAAATACATTGATTTATCACTGAATAAAGACCACCGTTGACATTTATTTAGCCTTTGGTAGTGATGATTGAGTCCTATCGACTAAGTTTCAAGGTGACCGCTGTTTCAGCGTTACGTATTTGCAAAAAGAATATTAAAGCTATTCAACGACAACTTTACATTAAGTTCTCATTTTAAGTAATAGTATATGTTATAATAATTCAATACTTTATTTGATAACTGTAATACTACTCCTATATAAATATTTTGATAATATCATAACAGAAATATAGATCTTCAAAGTTTACGCTACAGACTGATCATCGTTAGATAGTCACTGAAAGCCAGGAAGCACTGAATAGGTAGTTCGTCTTAGTGTGGGATTTCCCAGCTCAAGGGATCGAACCTAGGACCCTAAGGTATCACAGCGAGCGTTTAACCGTGACACTACTGAGCTGGCATTCAGCGGTGTATATATCTAACTTCAATTGATCCACGATATTGTGTAACCATCTCTAAGTGCCTGTGGTGGATAACTGTTTCATACCTGACATACTTTTACTGCACTGGCTCTTCACTAAAACTCCTGGGAATATCTGTCAATATTAGTCACTATTAAAGAACCTGACTGTTATTAGTATATGAAAGTTTATAGAGACAGTTGAATAGGTTACTTCACTGAATGACCTTTGCCAGACAACCATCTAAAAAAGGAAATACAAGACGTCTGTTTCGCCTTAGAGACAGTGCACATCCACTACTTCAATGAGGACTGGACCCAGGACCTTTGATCTCGTAGAGTCTCCAACCTTTATATTTATATTATAAATAAGAACGTACTGGTAGGAAGCAATTTTATCATTCTCAGAACCATCAGACAATGGAGTCTTCCATGAAATAGTCAGTGTGCCATAGTTCCACGACACAGCAGATATATCTTTTACAGCAGGAGGACGATGAACTTCAAAAATAAAAAAAATAAAAATAAAACAGAAATACAATAATACACACAAAGCTTTGGACGAATAAAACATATCAATAACAAGAACTGTATAATTTATATTTAAGATTATTGGTGAACAATGATCGGCTGGAGAATACTATTCGCAATGTTTCTGCGAAGAATGTTCTTTCTAAAGAATCAGAAATTCTCCTCTTTAAGACTTAAGTGGCTCGGTCACCCTTAAAGTCGATGTTCATGTATAATGTTCTCTTTTCTACTGTAATTATTTGTGTTTTAAGAGTTTTCGATTTTATGTTCTTATCAATGAATATCAAGGAATACCCGTTTTTTATATTCACAAATACTTACAGTAGAAAAGACAACATTATACATGAACATCGACTTTAAGGGTAACAGAGCCACATAAGTCTTAAAGAGGAGAATTTCTGATTCTTTGAAAAGAACATTCTTCGCAGCAACATTGCGAATAGTATTCTCCAGCCGATCATTGTTCACCAATAATCTTAAAGATAAATTATCACAACTGACCAACTCAATGTGCATTTACCAATTTACCTGCTCATGTGGAGCCAGGTATATAAGTCGCTCGATCCGTACTTTATCTAAAAGAATTCAAGAACATTATCCGGCGTCGCTAAGAAGAGAAGGAAACGGCTCAATAAGAAGTTCAATAATCGAATACCTTGTGAACACAGGTCGCTCAATCAAAACAGACTCTGCATTCAAAGTTATCTACAAGGTAAGTAAAAGTCTTTTAAAGACAATTAGACTGCATCTTCTTTGCATTGCCGAAGCATTAGCCATACATCTGGGAAATCCAGAATCGTGTGTGCATAAGAGACTGGTACAACCTCCTCTTCTACCATGGTCTTAATGTCGTATAACTTTTTTCCTCTTTCTCATACTCTTCTTCCTTTAGAGCCATCTGCTTCACCTTCCATCTTCCCCTTAAATCCTCTACCCCCGAATCGTTTATTTTGTTTCCACGATCATTCCGATTGCATTTAATCTCAATTCCAACATTTTATCTTATGATGTTGAGCCATCCTTTCCCAATGATACTTTCCCTTTTGATGGAGTTTTGTTCTCTGAGCTGGATGGTTTGGTCGTGGAGCTTTCATCGTTCTTCGGAACGACATCAGCTCAGCGAACAAAACTCCATCAAAATCATCCACTTGAGCTACAAATCTTCTCCACCATCTCGATACTTTCCCTATCTATTTTTTGATGAATACTTAAGCCATTACCAATTAAACGATTATTAAAGTTTCCTTGCTTTATAAAAAAAATTTTTAATACCTTTGTTTGTTTAACATTACTGTCACTATGCCTAACAGAAGTTTATTATCAGTATTATTATAATTATTATCATCCTGAAGAAAAAATAGGTATATATATATTTGAGATTGTACAGCTTTGAAAATGAATTCGCCGAAAAGAGTACTCTTCGCTGAACTAATCTTTCTTATATAATGTCTTGATGGGCGTATTCCGTTTATTAAAAAAAAGATACACTTATCACATAGATAAAAATAGATAGGGTAACATACTCAATGGCTTTGTAGTAAAGCGAACCGATGCAAAATTATTATTATTAGATCGTTGTTGACTGAAATCTTTTGTTAAAGCTGGAAATATTTTTAGCGTATACTTAGTTTCCGGTTGAAGATCAGCGAGTAGAATAACTGATTTTGTTGTATTCACAGTGAGATGACTGTAAAGAAAAGAAGAATAATGTAAGCAGTATTTAGTAATCAAGTCAATAAATTAAATTAAATTGTTTATCACAGCCTTCACAAGAAGTATATTTAAAATGGAAAAGATTTGTAGTGCAGCATCTACATGAAGTAGGAGCTGAAGATGGTGTCTAGAAGAACAATCAAAGCTCCCAGCAATTAAACCATTTAGCTCCAAGATGTCAGTACTGCCCAGAGCATCCAACTGAGCTACAAATTTTCCACATCATTTCGAGATGATTTGTAGTGTAGATGAAAATCAATTCGATCAACCCAATACTAGAACGAAATGGCCGGCCAGTGCTTCTAGGTTTTCAATGGTGGTCTAGCTTGAATAGGCTCATGAATCCAACTAATAAAAGTATGACGAAGAGTCTACTTTCAGCAAATACTGATAAATACTGTAATGTCTCGAATTTGGTAACAAATTTTCATTGTTATTACCCTAGTCATGTTATCTCGCACGTCTATTTCGGATAGCTAGGACCTTATACACCATTGTTTCATTGAGAAATCTAATCAAATGTTTTATTTTGAGACAAATAGGTACAAATTTATTTTATACATCAATGGATTTTCAATGCAAATATTTAATCATAATCAAGTCCATGACCTTTACATTTTCGGTCAACCGAAATTGTCTCACAAGCTCTTAATATGCTAGGAATCCAACACATACACACACACAAACATTCCTTTTAATAGATTAAATCCTAGCTGTTCGAAATAGACGTGCGAAATAACATGACTACGGTAATAACAACGATAATTTGTTACCAAATTCGAGACATTACAGTATTTATTGAAAGTAGACTCTTCGTTATATGTTTAGGAAAATACGTTTTTGGTTGGTCGTCAAGCAAGAGAACATATTTCACACCGTTGAAATTTTTATTCTCTTTTTCGCTGATCCATTTTATTAATATGCGCCCATTGATATACCACAATAGTTAAAATTGTCACATATACAAAGTACACAGTGTACTTCAAATGTTATCTAACTCATTTGTATTGTGTTTATTAAATATTTAGTTTATGGTAGTTTTATATTACTCTTATTGTAAGCTTTCATTTCATTGATTAACTGTTGTTATGTGTTTTGTCGTTTCTAAATTCTTACCAATTTAATAATGAACGTATTGCTCAGTTTTATATTATATATGATCAAATTATGTACAAAATCTGATTTCTTATATGTAATAGGTTGTGGTCATACAATTGAGGTATATATTCCTTAGTTTTTGAGTCATGATAACAACATAATAACAGAAAAAAAACCGTTTGTTGTCTTTGTGTTCAGATTGTCCAATTGGGAAGATGAGGTGTGTGGATCAAAATTCAAGGTGTTAAGTTATCGTTGAAGAGAAAACCATTAGTTTGGTAGTCGTAAGCGAACTCGTAATTTAAATACACTACCAGTGATTGATCAAAGTGAATAAGGCACATAGAAGCTGCAATCTACATACAACTTTAAATCAATGATAAATAAGCATTTATATCAAACATTACACAAATCGGTCATGTTATTCGATGTTGTCAAAATAAATAACATTTTCTGGAAAAATAAAACTATTTGTTAACCAAGTCATATAGTTTTGGAGTGAAGACTGTCCATACAATATACCAAGCTGCCGAAAACGAAGCAGGGTAGGAGCCGAGATTTGAATGTGATGTATGTATCAATGGGAATAAATTATGAATGAATTGAGAGCGTCCATCTACTTATTAGGGTTAAGTAAGGGTTATAAATTATTGTGAGGAATTAAGACTAGGGTACAGAGTTGGACGTTGGGATCAGGAATTTCAGTTAGGTTTTTCATCACGAACTAACATCATTTATAATGCCAAAATGCGATTTAGCCATATGGATGAATGAATTTCGTGCCAAAATCCAAGACCTGGTATGTTAAATCTGATCTGATTATCTATTACTTAGTCTAGCTGAAATCCGAATGTGCTTTAACAAGTCTTATTTACTGGGTGAGTAATGTGAACTTCTTCCGGATAAAATCACAATTGGTATGGTAGTCAAAGCTTCTCTATGAGGATAGTATAACACGAAAGGAAGAAGATTCGCCAATCAATAGTTGATGCTTTCTCAGGATGTATTTCTCTAAACGAGATAGTTTATAACTGCAAAGTTTTTATCGCCTCTCTAAACAATATCGTAATCATCTACTTCAATATGAGGTTCAGAGTGACAATTAAAGCTCAGCAATTAAATTATCTAGGTCAGAAAACATAATACTATGGTACGTGGAAAACAATTAGTACGTAGTAAATTATCATACTTGTTATTTCGATGAAAAACATAGATATCTTAGTTGAATTGTATGAGGTCCCATGTGATCGTGCCGTAATGATAGGAAAGCAGTTTTTGTATGACCCCTCTCTCGCTCTCTTCGAAGTCCGATTATCCTTATCCTCAGCTATATTCCCAATAAGACTGATAACCTTTTATGTACCAAACGTCATACCGACCAATAAAAATGACCACGACATTAACACTTATTCATCCTCGAGCTCCTTCTAACACAATGACCATTCAGAAGACGAAGACAGGAAGCAGATCAGTTTCCTATTCATTTATGATTTAAGTCCCCTACAATTATTAACTTCAAATGCCTAATCGCACAGCAACACAACTAAGGTATTACAATGCATACATAACTTAGTTATAAGTGATACAAAACTAGAGTAATAGGGGGATGATTAGTTTAACGATAAGTCCGCAATATTAAAAAATATGATAACAATTTAAAAGTTGAATGAAAGCTTAGATATGGGAGAATATAAAAATATATTGATGATAATAATAAAACTTCATATGTTAGCACTATTCGTCGCAATATAACAATATTATACATTTTCAAAGAAAAAATATATACATTTAGTCAACCGTGATAGAGTTCATTCATTACCCTGGTGTATCATCTGATTCAATTTGTATAAAATACATGAACGGTTTTGACAAATACCATTGTGGTTCATCCCACATAACGTAAGCATGTGTATCACTAATGTTCCACACTTCGACATTTGTAGGTATAAACATATATAAATTATTATTATTATTATTATAGTCAACTCCATCTAAAAATCAAATGATATTTTAAGAAAATAAACAACAAAAGTTTAATGAAAGGTTTATTAGTTGATAATGATACTAGTAATAATAGTAATTCTAATAATAGACAAAATATTGGTTACTACTTTGTGATCAGTCAACTATAAATACATTTCTACCATACAAAAGGTCAGTCATCGCTCAAACACCTCAGGAGTAATGTCTAGAACTTTCAAAATGAATGGCAAGCGTCCCAGTCACACAGGGAGTATTAATTCCCTCACAACCACAGGTATGTATTGATGACAAGTGAGCAATAATACAAAACATAGGTCCAGAGTTTTTTTAAAGACTACGTCCATCCACCTAACACCTTATTCCAGGGCACACTATCGCAAGTCATTTAGACTAGTGACTACATTGCGACTCGGCCGACAGAATCCGATTTTTAATAAAGAAATAGATAAACATGACATCGACCACTAATAAGTGGTCAAATAGTTGTTAATAATCTATTAAATTCAGAATCTTGATTCTTAAACATAAGGTGGATAGAAGCTGAATCCAAAGTATTTAGTGAAGTTTCATTCATCGAGCTGGATGATTTAATCATGGAGCATCGATTGTTCTTTTGAATGACAATATCAGGACAAACTTTAGCTTGTTAAACATATGTGAATTATGTGTTGTTTAGAAGATTATGTTGTTTAGAAGAAAAATGGATACTCCACGATAAAACTACTCAGCTCAGGAAATTAAACTTTACCCAAATCATTCGCCTGATCGATAAATCTCCACTATCTTAAAATCATATAAGCATCACGATAAAGTCTTGATTTGAACATCAACACTAAGATACTAATGCACCTACCTATATATCCAGCTGACGGATACTTAAATAAAAGAAATCGCAAGTCTTGAATCCCCCCTATAGTTGAGTTACTAAGTTTAAAGTCTACCGGAGCTCAACTTGCTCTTATGATTTATTAATGAGCATTACAAAAAATCACATCAAAGGTAGATAGTTCACTTGGTATTGTTTTGCTTGAATCTTCCCATTGAGGTTTAAGACTGAAATTGATCAGTCTCTTGTTGACATGCGTGCATACTGTGAGTATTGCCTCGATATTGCCTAAATTCACAAGCTTTGTAAGCAAAGATGGACAATGGCTAGTAGTGGAATCTAGTTTAACGCACGTTTCGTCCTATTTGGGAGTCATCAACTAGATTTACCTACATCTCAGAGTTTACGTTCACTCTGGGACTCGAACCCAGTACCATTCGCTTCAAACGCCATCGCGTTATCCACTCAGCTACTCAGTCCTGATAGCCACTTACTTGTGCAATGGGGTGAATTTAAATTCACTTGGTATTGTTGTGCTTGAGTCTTCCCATTGAGTTATAAGACTGCAATCTTATAAAGGTGGATAGGTTAGTCTTTTCCAAAAGTGTTTGGTGTGCTATCCCAGGGTAAAAATTAACTTTGAAATTCCTCCTACTCTGTTATTTTGACCAAAATGAAATTTAGACTAATATTACCCCTTCGTCTATTTATGGATCCATGTAGGACACATGGTTAACATTGGGCAAACTCGCTGATCCGATCATATCAGTCAACTACTGATTGATGAGAAGACAGATGTGATAGTGTTGAATTTTATTCCACATTGAAATTTAACCTTCTTTAACAAATTATATTAAGAGGATTATCATTATGTGTAAGTAGTAAACAGTTGATAATGAGGAGCTTAAAAATGTCGGATGTGAGGTTAGTTAACTTCAAAAGACAATGTAAGATATTCGCGTAATACCCTGAACTAATTGAAGTTAGACATGTACATAAATGAATATCGGGCTCAGTGGTCCAGAGGTAAAGCGCTCGCAGCGAGACCGGTCTCCGATGGAGTTGTGTAAGCATATTTCCGAGGAGTCCTCACATTAGGAAAAAACAGCTGTTCCATACTTCCTGGTTTTCAGTGGTTGTCTAACTGAAGTCGGTTCATGATGTGAGCAACATAATAATTCTATTTTGATGCACTAGTCAATATGACAAAAGACCTTGAGGGAGCTTGTTCATGCTTACTTCTACTCTATAGTACTAGCGAAAGCAAATAGCTGCCACATCCTGAGAATTACGCAGCTCAGGGGTCAAAAACCTGCTTCAGTCGATCACATTCAATGCCTGGTTTGAAAAAAATTGAGATAGCTCGATTTCCTGGACTACATCAGCTCAATGCAATGAAACTGACAAGATGAATGGTAAAACAATCGTAATTATCATAATCGCCATCATCTTAAGCAAGACTAGACATTGAGAATATGATTCGGAAAGACTGAATGAAAAGTTATGTAAGGAGTGACATTTAAAATCAAGATACAGGACAAGATGGAAGGTGAATCCGTGCTATTGTGAGCAATTCTAAGCCATCTTATCCAATGTCTCCTACCACCGATCAAGGTTATCGCGCAGACCTCAAGCCAGTAGTTGGCGTCTACCAACATGGTTCAAACCAAAAGTCTTCACGGATGAGAGCCATGTTTTACTTTGGTCATCTCTCCCAACTTTCACACTAGCTAACATCGAATTTTGATATAGACAATGCTCTAGGCATATTTGACATATGCCAGATATTTCAGACAACAAAGATTTTATAAACTCATAAACTGATTTGCCACATTAGAGTTGTACATTTATTCGTATACTAGTTGCTTACACTTCAATCAACTCAATCAAGGCTAATAATAATCTCATGAAAGTATAATTTATCATTGAGATCATGAACCGATTAGTGTCAGACCACCATTGAAGACCTGGAATTAACTTCCATAAAAATGAACAACAGAACTTAAAAAAAGACTTAACACCCACCATTTATGTAATCATTTGAATTAGATTGCACAACATGAAGCATAATTGTATGTTGAACAGAGCCAAATCTGAAACGCAAATAAAAAAAATGAATAGCATATATAGTGGAACTAGAAATCACTAGCCCCACGGCAATTTTTTTAAAAAAAAACCCCAACCACCCTTTTTAAAAATGTTTTTCAACCCAAAATTGCAATATTTTTCATCCCGTTTCGTCCAATGAAATGGCTAGTTTTGAAGTTCGTTTTTAATTTGTTAGTTATGTTTTGTCGGATTGCTATAAAACATCAGTACTTGTCGACCAAGTACATTTTAATCATCATTATGGAGGACAGTAACGTGCCTAGTACAAGCGCTGTTGTTTCTCACGTAGTCACAGAAACGGAGAAAGTATTTTTGACTACATTGTTTCTTGTAGCGTTCCAATCAGTTGAAGCGTTGAAGTCCGCTATCACAAATTATGAAAGATCTACTTACTGTCATTATGTAGTTCGAGATTCGCATTTGTGCAGAAATGAAAACTCGTACATTAAATTTGTGTGCTGGAGACATGGCCGTATAACATCTAGCGGTTCGTCACAGCGAATTAGACAGAGGAGGTAATTTGATTAATGTTATTAAAAATTTTTGTCATGAAGGGCTTCCATGAACACTCAATGTCTGGCCTTCATGTATTGTAAGATTATAGACGGCTACTGGACTGTTGTACGTGGGAATGTGCATCACAATCACGAGTGCAATTCCCTGAGGTACCAAAGTAATTCATGGGTGTGCAGGTTAACAGAGGCCCAGTTTGAAAATGTGCGACCGCTGCTAATATCTGGTACCGCTTCATTCCACATTAAGAATTATGCTTACCATTCTTATGGGAAACTTCTGAATGATCAAGATATCTATAATATGCGGTACAAAGTGTTCTCACAGGCGAACATTCCTGGTAAGCCATTTGCCAATTTATAATGTAAACGATAGGTGATTACGGAAAATTGAAAGCTCACATAGCATCTTTGCGCGGGATTTGCGAATACGTATGAGACGATGAGAATTGTCTATCGTACTTTTTCTTCACGACTGGTGATCAAAGACCGTTTCGCTGATGTTATTGGTTTGGACGGAACATACAAGACGAATAACGAGAATATCTATTTATATCAGGTCGTAGCCCTTGATATGAATTTTAAGGCAATACCCGTTTGTATTGCATTTATAAGTCGCGAAACATCGACTTCGATTTCTCGATTCCTGTCACAATGCCTACCACCTGTCGACTGTTGGTTGACCGTTGGAAGAACGACAGGAATCGAGAAATCGAAGTCGATGTTTCGCGACTTATAAATGCAATACAAACGGGTATTGCCTTAAAATTCATATCAAGGGCTACGACCTGATATAAATAGATATTCTCGTTATTCGTCTTGTATGTTCCGTCCAAACCAATAACATCAGCGAAACGATCTGCAAAAATCTTTTGATCACCAGTGCTGAAGAAAAAGTACGATAGACAGTTCTCATCGTCTAATTCGTATTCGCATCGCCCACCCAAAGATGTTATGTGCGCTTTCAATTTCCCGTAATCACCTATCGTTTACATTATAAATTGGCAAATGGCTTACCAGGAATGTTCGCCTGTGAGAACACTTTGTACCGCATATTATAGATATCTTGATCATTCAGAAGTTTCCCATAAGAATGGTAAGCATAATTCTTAATGTGGAATGAAGCGGTACCAGATATTAGCAGCGGTCGCACATTTTCAAACTGGGCCTCTGTTAACCTGCACACCCATGAATTACTTTGGTACCTCAGGGAATTGCACTCGTGATTGTGATGCACATTCCCACGTACAACAGTCCAGTAGCCGTCTATAATCTTACAATACATGAAGGCCGGACATTGAGTGTTCATGGAAGCCCTTCATGACAAAAATTTTTAATAACATTAATCAAATTACCTCCTCTGTCTAATTCGCTGTGACGAACCGCTAGATGTTATACGGCCATGTCTCCAGCACACAAATTTAATGTACGAGTTTTCATTTCTGCACAAATGCGAATCTCGAACTACATAATGACAGTAAGTAGATCTTTCATAAGTTGTGATAGCGGATTTCAACGCTTCAACTGATTGGAACGCTACAAGAAACAATGTAGTCAAAAATACGTTCTCCGTTTCTGTGACGTGTGAAACAATAGATCTGTACGTTATTCACATTCATAATTTAGATAAAAGATGATCAGTCGAGAAATAATTACGTTTTATATGAATTTTTAGAAATAACTGACAAATAATAAGGAAATTAATTGAACTACACGGGATGAAAAGAGTTTTTCAAATGATATTTCCATGTATGGCATAATATTTGAAGTGTAATGGAAGACATGGGCGTAGCAGAACTTCATATCACACATAAAACAGTACGTTCATATTCCATTTACTGACGGAGAATCTGACTTCCTTTCTTTCTTTTTATGGGGACAATCTGAAATGAGAAGACACCGAGTAGAGGCCCTTTCTAGGGCCACGCTCAGTTTGGTTTAAACTTTGATTTTTTTCAAGTAATTACATACAGCACCAATTAATTTATGTTAATCGCACTCTATTTACGTTTGCTACATTCGCAATAACAGTTCAGCCGTCTTTGCATTTTACAGTTGCATCTGCTGTGTTTCGTATCATTTCGGCAACAAAGTTTACTAGGCCTTCATTCATGAAAATATAAGAAAACCTTCATCTGTACAATTATGAAATCTTCCTTTTGTGCACTAAGGTTAGTTTGTATTAGTATTCATCGATAAGTAATATCTATTATCTTTGTGTATGCTGTTATATCCTGACGAGAATAATGAATGGTAACTGTTCGGATCTACTCATGGACTAATACTATACATATATTCTTACTGCATAATTATTAAGGGACTTAACTACGTATATGTGCATTCCTCTTATTATAAGTTCTTAGTTGACTTATTGGTTACCGCTATATTTAATATTCCCATCTATTAGTCACAGTTTCTCATAATCGCTACCACTTTTGGCTTGATCTTGTACAAATGTAACTTTCTATTTTATGATGTGATCTGGTCTCATTTCGCTCGTATATAAACCAAGCATGTTTAAAATACATGATATTTATCGCGGAAGATAAAATTGGCGTTCTGGACTTAACAGGCAGGGCTAGACGGAAAAAGGACCAATTGGAACTTAAGCTACCCGTATTGATGTATGCGTCATTAACTTGATCGTATAAGTCAGCGTATTTAAATTTGGCAATCGTATTTCGCAATAATCATATAGCTAAGGACGTAACATAGACCGTTATGTTCAATGTGAATGAAATGATATAATCATTATACTCTTTATCAACACCTGTGAACTCCTTTCCTACGTAATACGATTCAGTCAATACTGATAAAAATGTTTCAGTTATCATTATGTACTAAGATCAATACATTGGTACAACAAAATTATTTTTATAGGGATTGCCAACTAAATTAACACTGATAAATTCTAATGAATCCCTAGTGAATAAGCTACATGAATCTATTGTGAACAATAATGATAATGTGATTATAGTTCATATATTACCATATTTATGGGGGGTTTTTTTCATGTCGATATCATCTAATGAACATTGATCAGCTTGACAAATGTTGGCTTTTATTTATTACATCGAAATTAGACGTTGATATAGCTAAATGTCAATTGATACAGTTGACCTCATTCGTATTTATCAGTCTAATCAACCTAAAAAAAAAGGTATTATATCAAACCTAAGCCTATTCACTTAAGCCCTTAACATGACCAATATTTCAATTACTTGTGATAATGGTTATTTTTGTAATGTTTAGCTGTCTCAGGTTTTAAAAAAAACATTCAAATATGTACATAGAATTCGTTAATGTCCCTTTAAATTTCTTTAACAGATAAATTCGACGATTTGAAAAATGATTCCTGGCGTGAATAATAGAAATTTATGAAGTGCATCATGTCATTAAGATGTTAAATAAGTTACTTTACAATAAACGACATGGCGTAAAGTAGACAGTAATGATTTAACAAATGGATCCGCCAGTTCGTCTAAGCTAGACCACAAATGAAAACCTGGGAGTACTGGACTCATAGTATGGGACTCCCCAGCAGTGCGCATCCACAATCCCGCACGCAGGATCCAAAGTCGGGACCTTCGGTCTCGTGCCCGAACGCTTAACCTCTAGACCACTGAGCCGGCATCCAATGGTGTTAATGTCTAACTTCATTAATTTCTAAATTTGTTCAATCACACCCAAAAAATTTTCATCATTGCGATTCAACAATGACAATAATCGTCAATCTAAAAATAGCTTATTCTCACCTTTGACCTACCCTAACCTGGTAATACTGTTTTATTATCCATCCTGGCGTTTCATGTTCTTTTTGAAAAAAAATTATTTGCTTGTCTTTGTTTCTTCTTACCTCCCATTTGTCTATTTGACCTTTTATTTTTATATATAAATGTTCTTAACAAGTATATGTGTGATCAGACTGTTCGAAATGTATTACGCTAATATATCACATAGTTCTGACAATTTTCGTCCTATTATGACACTAATAAAGCTTATCAAAGAAACAAATTGTTTTAAATTTCTGATAGGAACATTTTCTCCCCATAAAAATCATGAGATTGTCGTGTTAATGAATGAGTAAGTAGTCAGTTAGTCATACAGGATTTTAGAGGTCAGTTAGTTCATTGGTTAATTCAACTAATATGTACAAAACTATGTATGTGGTTTCCAACTACACTGCCCTGATCGAAGTAGGTGAAGTAGAGTCTAAAATAGGGCTTAGTGGCGAAAGTTAGGTAATATAACTGCTCAGCCGACGCTCTAGCCATGTACATCTGTTAGAGACACACCACTACTGCTTCGCAACATGTATAAAAACAAAGAAGTGATTGTGAAAACAAAATGAGATTTGGAAATAAAATCTCAGTGAAATGGAATGCAAAATCTCGAGAAAGAAGATTAACGACTGAATAAATAAGCGTTATTATCATCAGTATAGGCTCAGTCTGATTAAAGATACGTGATTGTTATAAGGAAGAAGGATTTATTCCTTCCCTCTGTAATCCAGGCAATCCCACGTTATGACCGAGAAATCTAACAGTCAGTCAGATGCGACGCATGACCAGGCACATATATGCATCGGTCCAAGTTGCCATACCCCATCAGTACAACAAGATGGATAACAAATTCATAGAAGCAGTTATTTCAATGGTAGTAATATGTAAAAAAAGATTGCATATACATGAAAAAAGAAGTCTAACAGATTTTTAGGGAATGAATGATTTGTGCGCAGCCATCACATACCCACTTCATATAGACTATTGAATAGTATTTTCGCAGTTGAATAATATCCTGTTCATTCACATTAACAATCACATATCTCGCACACTTTTCAAATCATTACACTCTACAACAGTGACACATGTCTCAACCATCTTAGGCGAGGTTAGTTGTTTCAGTAAACAATCATATTTTCTCTTCCAGTTGAATTTAGGTCGAAATTAGACTAATATATTACCAAGCCGAATTTAAAATAGGGGCGGATAGTTTAGCAGATTAGTTTTGTAAGCTTATTAATCTCACTGTTTGTATATGACAACTAGGGAAAGTGTTGCGGGTCTTGAGTGTGATTCCTGGTATAGGGGAGGTTGATGCGCACCGCTAAGGAGTCTCATACTAGTATGAAACGACTGTCCAGTACTTTTAAATATTAAGCGGTGGTCCAGCTAAGAACTATTCGTGTTTTAGGACATGGAAATTCTATAATCTTTATAGCCCCCCCTATACCGAGGATATTAAATTGTCCATACCCAAGTCAATAGGTCGTTGTTACCCACGGTTAACTGGACAAAACCCGACTTTCTATAACCGCTCAACCACTACTCTGTGTAGAAATATTAAATTACAACAAAATCGCTAGTCTGCAAACAAAATAGACGCTTCTCTGATTAACCAATGCCTCTTAAGTAAATAATGTATGAATTTAATAAAAACGGTAATAATAAAAAAACTACCTGTTCTCTGCTAAACACTGAAAATAACCTGAATCATTCGGTAAAATTCTTTGTATTTTAATTTGTGTCATGATATGTTGCTGTTTCTGTCGGAGGTACTGATGGTGGTGTTGGACATGATTAGATTGATTGGAAAGTGGAGTAAAATTATTTGTGATACGAAAATATTCACTATCTTGAATTATTTCACCATTTTTACGCCACTGTACAATTGTTGGATAGTATGTTTCAAAATTGCACCATAATATCTGTTCGAACTGTAATGTGATAAAAATACGTAATTATGATCAATGAATTCAAGATATACAATAGATATAATAAAAATTAAGTTTACAGTCGAATGATTTAACTGAGCGGTGGAAGAAAAAAAGACATCATTATTTTTATGTATTTATTTAAGCACATAAACACTTATTCAAACAGTCACCAAAATATATATGCTCATAAAACAAATCATTGAGTTTGTGTGTGAGATCTGGGATACTGTTTGTGTGCCAAAACCGAAGCAAGTAGTTCACGTAGGGTAAGAACTCTCCGAGCCTTTGATTCAATGATCTAATCCATAAGACAGTGTAGTAACGTTAGGAGATGAGGTCTCATGATAGCCCGTGATCAACAATAGTTTCATACATTATTTGTTTCCTCAGGATTGTAGAGTCCATGCGCAACATTAGTTTAGAATCAACGTTCTCCAACTTTTCTAGGTGGATGTGCCGTACCCATATACTGGGTTTAAGCTTCCTCCACATAGTCGCTTCTTGTCCTCTCAAGTTCGTAAACAACATCCCTGATGTGAGAAGGTAGTGAGTGAGACTTTTCTGGGGGTGGCTATATACGTGTGGCCATATAAGAGCATTTAGAAGGGGAAAGTGGACTACTCCCATCTTTGACCGTATCAGAGCATTTCAAAGTTGATCAACCCGTCAATATATATATACATAATACGTTTTCATACGAAAAAATAAAAATTTGTTGGTTGAATTTATTCGTAGTCTTAATACTCTTATAGTGGTATACATCTAGCAGTCATTGTTTGCATAATACCAAAGAATTCCTCATATTGTCAAGTTATTTTGAACATTAATTGTTTAGTTGGTTATAAGCTAGCTATGTAGAATATAGCACACATGTTCATAAACTCAAGTATCAATCATTCTAAACTATAATTTTCAAGTATTAAATCGGTCTAGAGACTAACTGTTATAGTTTTAGGATTCGAAGTTCTTTTATCGTTAATACATGAAACGGTCAAACTGTTTTTGGTTTTTTATGGATCCCGTTATTTATTTGCTTCACACAGGAATATCGGACTTGGTAAACACTGCCTCAAATTAGACTCATTTTTCAGTGAGAGTCCATGAGATGTATAATATATAGGGTTCAGTTTATCATTAACGTATGTCTATTGGATTGATGTTGACATTATCCAGGAATAACTGCCAACCTAAGTTTTCAATGGTAGTCTAGCTAAGATCAGTTTATGATTTAAACTATGAAAAAACTGTTTTTAAAAAAAATAGAGCTAAGAAAACGTTATACAACTACAAATTACTTTTATCTACACTGAAAATCTTAATTTCATAGAACTTCACCAAGATACATATTAAGAACCGAAAAAGAGCTGAATACATTTTTTCTTCCTAAGAGATTAATCAATACGCAAAATCCTGTTAAAGGTTGAATCCACAGCGTTCATAAGTTGGGTTTATTATCTTTAAATTACTGATCTAGCACCAAATGGTTCACATTTTAAATGTCACTCAATTCACAATCTATAGATTGTGAACCATCGTCGACTTATTTTGATCATATCTATCATTTTAACACAACACCAGTCACAGCTATGCACCTCACTTAATTACAGTCTATAATATACAAATTATTCGTTCTCTTCCCTAAAAAGAACAACATAATTCACCCAGCAATTAACTTACATGTAATTTTGCCTGCAATTCAGTCGATGAAGCATTCATTAGAACAGGTGAGTTACCAATAATCAATTGAATAGTTGTTTCATCTAAGACGGAATTCATCATGAAATTTACGGCTTGACATGAGTAAATGCCAGTATCTTCAAGTTGTGCATTATTTATCAAGAGGCTAGCACTTCCAATTATACGAAAACGGCTAGAATCAATGAGGGAAATAGATGAATTTATAAATTTTTGAAAAAACTCAGACAACTAATAAGAAGGTTAGATTCATTAGATGGGAAAATAACGATTTTATACATTCATCAAAATTGAAGAAACAATTAGAATACATCTGAAGTCTTCTTTTCTACGAATTATGAAGGATTTCGATGGTCTCGTTGTAGATATTGAAAACTGAATGTTAATCAATCAGTCTTTTCTGGCATAAGTACACAATCCTGTACAGATTGTTTTGACATAGCCATTTTGTATAAAATAGATGGATTGTATCTAACAGTGAGATTCAGAATGAGCGTTCCACCCTACTCGGTACCCAACAGGTGAACACAAATGAATTGGATTATTGATGATCATCGCACTAGAACTAGAACGCAGTATCTACTGCGCAAACGCCTAACGCGCTATTCATTGGGCTACTGAGTTCAGGGAGCAACAGGTAGACCAACTACATCATCATAAGGTTTTAAATTATCCCATTTTTGATATTTAGGGTTGAATTTCGATCAACTTTTGTTAATATTTATAGACCCATTACGGATTACCTCGATATATAATGGGGTTGCGTCTAAATATGACCATCTTAGTACTAAGGATGCAGGATACATTCAGCTAATAGGTTACAAATACTAAGAAATACGTAACACTGGGTCTCACAACTGGCCACGATCTATTTATTCTAAAAGTGAGCATCAAATATTAGAAAAACAGTAAGGTACTCGTCAAATGGCTACGCATATATAGCCACCCCCAGAAAAGTCTCACTCACTACCTTCTCACATCAGGGATATTGTTTACGAACTTGAGAGGACAAGAAGCGACTATGTGGAGGAAGCTTAAACCCAGTATATGGGTACGGCACATCCACCTAGAGAAGTTGGAGAACCCTGATTCCAAACTAATGTTGCGCATGGACTCTACAACCCTGAGGAAACAAATAATGTATGAAACTATTGTTGATCACGGGCTATCATGAGACCTCATCTCCTAACGTTACTACACTGTCTTATGGATTAGATCATTGAATCAAAGGCTCGGAGAGTTCTTACCCTACGTGAACTACTTGCTTCGGTTTTGGCACACAAACAGTATCCCAGATCTCACACACAAACTCATTGATTTGTTTTATGAGCATATATATTTTGGTGACTGTTTGAATAAGTGTTTATGTGCTTAAATAAATAATGATAACATACGAAATGACAGACACAGTATTTAAATGATTTGATACTATGTATAGAATTTGCTATGGTTTCAGCTGAATTCCAGCTTAAATCACTCTTCAATACCAAACACCATAAGGATATTTATTCACGTTAACCAAATGTGTTACACCATAGACCACGACAACTTGCATCTTAAAAAAAAACAACAATCCTTCAACTAACACTATCGAGAATTTTATTGTTAGTACGAATAAAATAAATGAAAATAACAACAATTACAATTCTCACAATCAGCATACATAGTAAATAACAGCAAATACTTTGAAGAGATCAGTGAAATAAAGAGACTAACTCCCACCCTGACCTTAACAAAAATGTCTATAGCTAGTTGCTTCATAAACTTTTCGAATGGAAAAAAGTTCACAAAGTTCTATATTTCGGTAGGTAAGTATGCAACAATTATTACTAAAGAAATCTTGTTAAAAACCCAATTCAAATATAACACATTGAAAACAACATAATGTACAAAATGCTGTGTGTGTATGTGTTGGAGTGAAAGATACACAAATAGTAGCTAGGACATCATGAACAGTTAACATCACTAACAATGATAACAATAGTAGTTAAAAAACTTTTTAGTCATTAACAGATACTTAAAGGAGAGAAAAAAATATATATCGAACCAATATACACAAAAAGTTTCCATTATAGTATGCTTTACACATTCATCAACTGTGTTTAATGTTTATAACACTTAAAAATTTGATATAAAATAACATCAAGAAGTATGAACTACATATCCTTAGGTTAGATAACATTACCTATAACCTAATATTATGATAGAGAATAAATCAACTTTCTGATAAAGAGGAAATTAAGAAACGACGCTAGATATGTATAGGTCACACTGTATGGAAATCATTATAGTACAACATAAATCAAGTTCTAAATTGAAATACTCAAAAAGAAAAAAAAGGAAGCCGAAGAATAATATATTGTGCAGAGAATAGGATAAATTACTTACATACATACTTATTAATCAACATTAATTCTGTGTGCCTAGATGGCTTTCAAAATCAATGTGTGTCAAATGATTCGATCAATGTAGGAGGTAGAAAACCAAGCTCATCGATAGCGAAACATATAATTGAGTCGGGGCAAAAAATTGACATTAATACAGCATTTAAAACTTTGTATAAAAATTGTCAAGGACGAATTCTTAAGTTTATTGAAGCCTTGGCTATTCGTAAATTTAAACCCTCTTTATGTGTACAAAAACAATTTGTCGTAACCTTGAATTTACCTTGGTAATCCTTAAGTCATTCTATGGCCTAGGATAACGCGACAATTTCTTATTCTTTCTCTCCCCTTAGTTATTTTAATTGAACTTTTATTTGTTTGACCTTTAGTATTTTCATATAAAAAATGCCCTGACAAGTATATGTGTGATCAGATTGTTCGAAATGTATAGCCCAAGTTCAGTTTTCAGTTAATGTGATGGTTACTCAGTGTAGTATTTGTTTCCTTTTTCATGTATGATATTTTATCCTGTATTAAATTAACATGAACTATGCTCAGCATGACATGCAGCATGTGTATTGTTATAACTGGCTGTACATTTTTTTTGTACAATTTTTTGTTAAAGTACTAATTGAGTGAGGAAATGTGAACACGAATGCGTACAAAAGAAGTATGTCTTATCGTTATCGTTACCTTGACCTCAAAGGTGATGATGTCGCACACATAATCAACAAGAGATTGAATACTGCGCTAGCCAGAACTTATCCGGCGGCTAAACTTTTAATTCTCTATAAAACAACATGTTCAATAACTCAATCAAAGTTCGACAAGCACCCCTTTCATGTTACCACCAACTGTATTTATAAATTTACGTGTACCTGTCAAAGCAGCTACATTAACCGAACAACAATGATGGCATATCTTAGATTTTTTTAACATGTTCCAAAAAGCCTCCGAACAACAGAAAAAAAAGACTCTAAATAATGCGATCACCAAACATCAGGTCGATACCCTACAATCATTCAAGGTGATTAGTAAGCAGCCAAACTCCGGTTTGCATGATATTTTATTATTATTATTATTACTGCATTCTCCTTTACTTATGTCTTATATTCTCATTATTTTATTCATAAATACTCATCGTATCACCATATTTATTCTTACACCTCTTATGAACTTTAATTATTGTAACAAAAACATTTTAAGTTTTTGATTGAGATCATGAACCGATTGATGTTAGACCATCACAATTGAAAACCTGGAAGCACTGGACGGTCGTTTCGTCCTATTGTGGGACTCCTCAGCAGTGCGCATCCACGATCCCGCGAGCGGGATTCGAACCCAGGGCCTTCGGTCTTATTATATTCATTGAATCTAATATTATTATTCGTATTATGTAATCTAGTATCGTAATCTTTTTATTAAGTCATCTTGTCTATTCGTGTCCACATTTCTTCACGGAATTAGTACTTCAATAAAAAATTTTCATATATATGCGATTGTACAACTTGATAATAAATAAGTTGAAAAGAGATCCCTTCGCTGAACTTCGTGTTTTTAATTTTTAATGTTTAAATGGGAATTATCTGTCAGCTGGATATTTTCATATATGTGATTTCATTTGAACCAGTGATCAAATCGAGTATCCAATCAATATATAGATGGGTGTATCTTCGACTAGGGTTGTCGTCGTGTTTTGGGATTAATAAATCTTCACTTGTACCAGTGTTTATGTTCTTAATTCGCGTCGTAGGGAATTGCTGTGATTCCTCGTTTTAAAAGTATAAGTAATAAGCGATTCCGACATAACGATAAGCGACAACCAGATATAACAATGGGTGACGCAGTCATAACAGAGGCAGATGTCAAAAGAATGAATAGCAACAATGAACAACTGGGAGAGAGAGTCCAGAGCAGAGTTGAATGAAGATTGCTGGTCAGTGGCCTATGCTCCACAATCAATAAGAAGTATAAGTAAGACAACGAGAGAAATATCAGCTTATTTCGAATCAATTTGCATTGATTGCTAGAAAAGCATTCAGCTTTCAACTAGAGGTTTTAAGCACCTGATCTGGATCAATTCATTTAGGCTGTCAGGCAAAGATATCATTATTTCTCAAACAAAAAAGTGTAGCTACTTTACCCTCTATCAATAGTTTAGGAGATGTTGATCAAACATGTTAAGATTGGTGTTCATGGCGATCAAAAGATTCTGTATTTTGTTAGCGTTTTCACCAAAATAGGACTAAGTGATCTATATATTCGAAATCATTAAGTAGACATTGTAGAAGGAGACCAACTTCTGAAAAGTTAGATGAAGTGTACAGCCTTGATGAACACTACCTGAAGTTGACAGTTTTAATGATAATTCGCTACATGGTCTAAACTGAAAAGTAGTAAAGAGCCTTCAAAAGGTTACTGAACCTCTTTAGTGAGCCTTTCAATGACGAAGTGTCAAAAATTTTTCTGTCAATAGAGTTGAATGCTAACTTAATATCAATAGATATTACTGTAATTGAGCGTCGGTATGTCTATGTTCCAATACCGGATAAATAGTTAATATCCACGTCTGGGTCTGAAACCAGCCTGGTTAAGCCGAATTTCCTGTTCAACCTAATTCTCTGTGATGGTCATAAGAGAATTCTAACCGTTTCTTGTAAACTAAGATATCTAGCGATCGAGACCATTATTATGGAATTGTCTAGCTTTCATATTTTGGCTAAAATGTCTGCCGATATAACTATTAAAACTGGGGTATTATTCTTAAGGATCCCCAAAGTGAAATACCAGTGCTTTTTTCTTCAGATTAGAAACGGGATTTATTGCCACATAGGGCGTCAGAGTAGACTCATTTCAATCTCTTATTCCAGGGTTGTTTTGAAATGATGGATAGACAGAGAACAGATAAGCTATTTTCTTTGAAATATTTCGCTCATCATTCCAGTCATTTTGACTGAGAGTATATCACATTGCCTCGACTTTGTGAAGATAGTTTCAATAAATTGTAAGTAGTCTCCTAGTCAGAGTGACCTGTTATTACGACTCTTCACAATAAGATCAAGTTTATAACCCATAGGCTATAATACCAAACGAGAACGAGAAATTTAAATCATGGGATTAGTCCTTCTTAAATTAATTTGTAACATAGCAACAAAAATTCTCAGAATAACTTAATAAATGATTTACAACAAGATTTAACCCATAAACTCAACGTCTTGTTGACAGTAAAACATACGGAAGTTTCTAGAACGGCGGAGGAAATTATTACGACAAAAGTGAATATATATTATGAAATAAATAATGAAACTGAGAATCTTCAATTGCTGTATTCATCGTCAGGGAGTCAAATGATTTTGAATTATAAAAATAATTTTAACAATGAAACTTCTCCTAGTTTTAGAATCGATATTAAAAATGACGTAATGGAAGCTTTATAACTGCAAACATACAATCGAAAAACGTGAAAGAACCCCTAATTGAAATGATGGAGATTTGCAGCTCAGCTGGATGCTTTAAGTGTTGAGTTCTATAAGCTGGTTAGTTTCACTGTGGAGATTTCATTGTTGTTTCGTGTGTAAGATATCTGAAAAATCACTATCCGAATCTTTAAATCTTTTGAAATCAATCTCGTTTATAAATAAAACACAATCACTTCACACCATTTTAGGCAGATCAAAAGATACAACAGCGAAAGACAAATCCAATGTCATTCACAAAATAATTTGTGCCCGATGTAACAAACGTCACTGAACAAACTGAATATACCCCATTTACGCACACACGAATACAATCTTTCAGTGGAACAACACAATATGTGATCGCTGATATCAATGCATGTATACAACTACGGACATGAATTCGTCTGACAGATGGTCGAAATTCAAGATTATGAAAAAGCTGAGAATACCAGATTCCATGTATGGAAACATGGAATTCAGGTCAGTCACAAATCAATAGACGCATCAACTTCGACTCGAATTAGTAATTACTTCAAAAAAGGTCAAGCAATAACCAAGCCAAAGGTCAGTGGAACAAACCAGTCAACTTTAGTACAGACAACTGAAAGCTCATGAGGATAACCAATCACAATCTAGGCTGCAAAGACAAAGTGATTAAGGACTCGTAGAATAACTAAAAATCTCTATTCCGCATGAAGTAAGCGGTAATGATATATATATTACCTGGGGTTCATTCGAAATTGTTTATCCGATAAAATTTCACCATCTTTCTTCCACTGAATACCATAACCATCAGTTAATCGACTTGAATTAAACCAAAGTATGCCAGATCGATCAAAAACATCGTTATTATCATTACTGAATCGAATATTGCTTGCGCATAGAAGTGTAATTGAAGAGTTCACCTTACGCCATAATTCATTATGCCGCTCCTGAAGTTGATGCCGATTATTTGAATTAAGCTGTTGATTTTTTACATCATGGTCGGATGATGATGACGATACTGCTGAAATAATCTCGATAGAATGCATGAATATGGATGGAAATTCAACTTGTACTAACTCATATGCCTGAACAGACCAGACAACTTCACCTAGAAAGGAATTTTTACGAAAGATAAAAAAGATTCGTAGTTTATAATAATCTAAGATAACTAATCATTTGCACTAGAAAACAATTAAGCACATCCAGTAAGGAAACTTTGGAATGGGGATGAGCTTGAGCTATTCGGGAAACCGAAAGTGTACATCTGAACGAACTTGAGATGTGAATTGTTTAGCCCAGTCACGAATGGGCGAAGACGAATGATTTATTATGCTAGAAATAAGAGTGAGAATACGATTTTATAACTAACGCTGATATCAGTTCACGATTAACACTAAATCCTAACATTAATTCTTAACCCTATCTTTATGTTTGCGCTATTAATTTTCTCGTTCCTCATTGGTTCGTCTGCATACAACAGGTTAAACAAATGCGCTTAAAATTCCACTAAAATCATAAACCGATCGATATTAGACCACCATCAAAAATAGCGGAGCATTGAACGGCCCTATCGTCCTAGTATGGGACTGCTGAGCAGTGCACATCCACGACCACACATGTGGAAATCAAACCCAGAACCTTAAGTGTTGCGCACGAACGCTTAAAATGATTGTATGGTTTTAAAGCTATTTTTCGCAACAGAAATGAAAAAACCTGTTGGTTTAGTGATTTTTGAAAGTTTGTTGATTTTTCAAAACGTACTACTAAATATTATAGAAATATCGCCAACATTATTACCTCATTAATCCAAGTGTGAATTCATCCTAGCTAAATGCTTCTTTCTACATCCTTTCAATAGTTACAAACAGTCCTACTGAAAACTTATCATCGTCTACAAAATCTTAATCGGTAAATTTACTGAAGAGTTATCGAGATAAAATTATAAACAAAGCCATCATTGCCGCTATACCAATAAAAGGATGTCATACGTAAAAGTTATCATTTATTTAAGTAAACTTTACTTTATCAGCTCATCTAGTAATCTGTGAACTACGAATAAACTGTTTTGGGTGAGATTGTAGTATACCGACAATATTAAAACAAACGCGACTAATTTTCTGCCAATATAATGTGTACTGAATAACGTGACGTAATATTCAATTCTATTTTACAACTAAACGACAATTTCAATTAAACATGATTTGAAAAAAGAAACTGTTGAACATCAGAGCTCAAAGAACAACTATTTTAAGCCAGTTACACAGTCTTTGTGTGAGAAATTCATTATGTGTTAGTTCCGTGCCAAAAACAGCCTTAAAGCTGGAGATGGAAATTCATGGGATAGGATGGTTACATTATTAGGGTCGACTTTTCCTTATGTTGTGAGAAGACAGAATCGTTTTAGATGCTGATTGTTTGAGGAAAATATCTTACTGCCATTGCACCACTGTATATTTGTGGATAAAACTTTACTCTCGAACCATGAGTTCGCTGCTTTTACTGTTACAGTTTCACAAAAGATCTGCCTGGCATGGCATCATCTAAAAAAAACAATCATTACGACCGAAATAGCTCGAGTAGTTCAGTATAATAGCCAAATCTAATCACGATATCAAGGTAGCAGCTCAGACCATAAAGTCAATTGATCCGAGACCAAGTTCCACAGTTGGCATTAGTTTCCTAAAGATTGAGAATACACATTGCTGATGGACAGTGACTAACACAAAACATAGATCGGAAAGAGTTATCTGTCGACAGTTCCCAACTAGCTAACACAATTTATCACCACGTACATTCCAAATAGTCCGTCCGTAACATTAAGTCAGGTTAAATACTGTTTTTACGATTAAAAAAACGTAGAAATAAATAATCAATTTATTTCAAATGGATATTATACTACAACTCAGCAACGACGTATTGATGGGATGCCAGCACAAGTCTAGGTAAGTGTTTGTATTGCGTCAGATAGATACGCATATCATATTATTATGATCATTACCAATACGCTTTTGTCTTCATGGATGCGATAGAAAAAATCTATTCAATAGACGTTGCAACACCTCCCAGCCCACAGAATGAGGACCAAATGTGTTTGCGTGTATGTATGTATGTATGTCAGCAATTAATATCACTAATATTGTTACAGAAATATTTTCACGTGAAAAAAATACCCACAGTAACGTGTCGAATAGAATACAGTGCGAACCTACGTTTTCATTCGGGAAACAGTACTACTATATGTTTCCCACAGTGTATCTAACATACCGCTTTCACCTGAATTTAAAACTTTGATCTTTGAATACAAATATTTGTCAAAACAATCACAAGGTAAGACAACACATAGAGCTATAGTCAAAACCGGAGCATTGAGTTGGCTGACTAATGTGAACTCAAAAATGACTAAAATAGGAAAATAGATGGAGCCATATTTAAGTTTTTTTCGGTGAATATGTGCTTCGAATTCAAAGTATAATTTTTTTACTCTTTTCAAAACAAACATTTGACAGTTTCATGCAGCGGTTGTCAAACCTGCACTATATATAATAAAAAATAACAACCAATTCTCCACAAACACAGACAAGCACATTAGACAGACTGCCACTATTATACAATAGACGGGTATCGAGTCTTTGTTCTGTAATTATTTCAATTGTATATCAATGTGTTTCAGTTCACTGCTTTATTGTCTCCGTAGAGTTCTATAATTCCTCACTATACTTTGATAAATTGAACGGCTACCATACATACATATGTGTGTCTCTTTGTGGGTGAGTGAGCGAGTACCAGATCTCTCATTGTATTTTGCATTCAATAATATAATAATAACCCAATATACTACTTAAAAACCTAATAAGTATAGTTATTTCTATATCAATGTTTTTTCATTTAAAGGATAATAGGAAAATGAGTTTACATCGATAAAAACATAACAAGCCAGAAAATGGGAAATATATAGGATCATTTTATCAAAAGTGGAATAAGCAGGTAAGTCCAATAACCAGTAAGTGAGAGTCATATAGAGTATCATAAATAATATCATATATATATATATATATATATATAAGACGTATGCATCATAGTGAGGCGGGGACAAAAAGACTAGAAGAGAGGAAGAAAAAGGACAGACGAGAATAGGAAACAATCCAACTACGACAAAAACGGAAGAACATTACTAGGGTTCATATATTAAAAAAAAATTAACTGGGTATTACATTAAAATGCATACAAAAAAATTTCATCACTCTTACACTGTAGATTAATTTCATGAATGTCGGCATCCGTTTTGACAGAAAAAAACAACGACAATTTATAAAAATAACTTCAAAAGTAAGTACTTAACTGTTTAGCCATTCCTTTTTACCCCTTCAGTAGGTATGATTTCCTAATACTGGAAAATAAATGAGTGAATTGTCACTTGGTTGTACTTAGTGTGTGCGTGTATCTATGTGAGTTATCCTGAATCCATTATAATAACAATATGCTATATGAGAATATTTATTGACAAAATAGATGAAGATGTTCTTAATAATTGATTAGCTACTAATGTTATATGAATTTCAGACTACTAGTAGTCAGCTTCAACAATTACACGCATATGATCAAAAAATCTTTCTGAAATGTACAACTTTTGAGGAAAAATTCCATGTTGGTGTTTAATTCAACTAAAATATTTTAGAAACTAGGCATAAGATATGCATTCGTGAATTTGTTCCCAATCAATACATGATATATATGTAGAATATCCAGCATCTTCTCATTCATTTAGTTAGTAATGAATGTTGCATGTAACTACAGAATTTTCATCAAAGATATCATTCCAAGCTCTCATCTTCACCTCTTCTGTTTTGCATTTTCCGTCCGACAAGTTGAGATGCACTGCAGTGGTGTGTTCATAGTAGACATATGTACTGATAACTCTAAGATGATGAAAGGAATGTCCCCAGTGAAAATTACACTCTTATATACCAACACTCACTCAGTAAATGTATGGGAAGACGCTCGAAAATGCTAAGTAGAGTACTTTTATTGAGCAACGAAGAAGGGTGGTTATCATTACCACAGAGTTATTGCATTTCTCAACGTGGTAAATAGATAAAATAATCAATTATTTGACAATACTATCAGTCTAATTGATTGTTGTTTCTTTGTTTTGTCTCTGTCTAGTTCAATAATCAGTCGAATACACTTAAATAAACATGTTTTTATTTTCTCCACAACATGTTTTCTTTTAATCATGAATGTTTGTATTACACATGTACCTTGTATATAGTATATGGATAGTCTCAACAATATGTGTGTGTGTGTGTGGAAGGTGTGTTCAAGTTCGGTATAATTTATTTCCGTTTTACCCCACAATGATATTCCACGAATTAAATTATAGATGAAGTGTATAGTGTGACAAATACTTTGTAGGAAACGTCTCGTTGATTTATAGATGAAGAAGTGAGATAAACGTAAATAGCTATTATTACAATATTGTCAAGTACATGATAATTATTAATCTTGTGAAATTCTTTTTTTCCCGATATTTAATCTATGGCAATGTTTCCATACAACGACATAGTGTTCTGTTTACTTTTTGGTTTCAAAGAATCGAATGGTCCCATTATTCCATGATCATGACAGTCCCTCTCCCTCCTTTCTTTTATCTCTCACACGAATAAAATATCATTATGGTTAATAGTTAGTACAATTTAATGGATTTTTAAAATAAATTGATTGCAAACTTTTAAAATGTGTTATTTTATCAGCTCGACTTTTCGAGACTCAAACACTGCAAACCGGCAGACTGAAGTTATAAATTAAAACCATTGGATACCAGCTCGGTGTTCTAAAGTTTAAGCGTTCGCGCGCAAGACTGAAGGTCCTGAGTTTGATTCGTGGATGCGCATTGCTATTGAGTTAAACACTAGGACGAAACGGTAGATCAGTACTTCGATATTTTCAATGGTGGTCTAACTTCGATCGGTTCATGATTCCAACGAAACTCAACAATTTTCACAACCTATTACTAAAATTCATTTGTAATCATTGGTCGGTTTCGGACAATACTTGTGATACTACTCAATTTCACGTTAGTAGCATTAACATTCGATGGATAAAATTTAA